GGACCTATGAACCCAAGGGGAGGTCTGAGGAGACGGGTTCCAAAGTCACTCTCGCCCGGGGAGCGAGTTGGGTGGGGCGTAGGAGGGCTAGAGGGTTCTCCAGAGGGGCAGCGCACGTATTCTAGGATGTGTGTACTGGGGGGGAAGGGGGGAAGAGCTGTGGGGGGTGGGGAGCGGGGTGACTGATTTCTCTGTGCCCGTGGTACACGTCTGACTCTCAAGTCTCCTGAGTGACCATGAGGATCACGACTCTATTGGATGGTCTCATCCAACGCCTGGAGCAGGCAGCCTTCCATCTAATTGGTTTATCAGTTCCAAACAACCCTGAGGCCTAGGATCCCAGGATGGAGCATAAGGGTGGCTTGCCTTGAGACCTCCTGATGCTCATCCGAGAAGCAGAACCAAGGGAAGAGGCTCTTAGCTGATGCTCTAAATAGTGTCAGGCCCATCATACTCTCTTTAGCAGCAACCGGTTTGCTTTTACTTTCCTTTTGCTTTGGCAGAAGCTATGTAAGGACTTTGTTCTTATTCTGGCTGCCCAATGAGCAATCAGTGGGCCATCCCTACATACCACTTCTATTATTTGTCTGTATGAGGAAGTTAAAGATGACTAGGGAAGTTTTGAAAAACCTCAGGTTGCTTGTGTCTTTCCTTTGTAGCTGAAATTCCTCAGAGTGATAGGTTTCTCAGAGTAGGTGGCATTCCCCTATCTACATCAGGAACCCATGAGTGGACTTTGCTCTGATTTATACTTCTCCATTCTTCTTTGACCGTCTGTGTTGGGAAATACCAAAGGTTCTATATTACTGGAAGAATTCTATTCTACCTGACCCATACTTTAGATAGGAAAAAATTATTGCAGCAACCTGTCAAAGCAGACTAACCATTCAATCACTAAGCTGGTTTCCATGGATCTTCACTTTAGTCCTATTTTGTCTCACCCATAAAACACAGGATTTCCTTAATTTTTGCAATATCTACAATCTCTGTTCTTTCCTATCAACCCAAAGCAAAGAATATTGGCTTAACTCCATCCTCCCTGTGCTCAGTCCTCACAAATTTTTGTTTTCCTGCATCCCTCCTCACCCTTAGCGGCTGCTCTGGTCAGCTTTTTCACCTTCTTAAACCACACTTATGGCTCTGTTAATGCTTACACTGAAATTTTGAAACTCTATAGACACTTGGCTAGCTTGTTTGGCAATGTGTCAGCTTCACCAAGCTGATAATAGCTTGCACCTTGTCGTGTGTTAGAGGCTACCTTTGCTCAGGTGGTCTCTGTTGCTCAGATGCTGGAAGAGTACCTCAGTGTCCTTGGGGAAATGCCAATTGCTTACCTTTTGCCTCTGGTGAGAGTTAAGTGCTTGAAGTAAACCAGTCCTTTAGGGAATCTCACAGTGCCCAGTCTGAACACCATGACATCGTGACTCCAAGTAGACTGCCACATCAAGTAGGTCTCCAAGTAGACCTATCACATCAGAACCTGCTTTTAAAATAGCAAAGAAGTTTGATTTCTTTCTTTTCCTGCAACTGTGCATTCTGCATGCATAGTTGAGACTCCTGAAAATGCGCAATTGCGTGGGCTCTGGAAATTCCCTTGTGTCTAAAACTATTACAATATTCATCCTTCTTGCCTTCCCAGGCCCTCCTCCTCTCCATTTCTCTGTTGTTATAAAATGTTGATATTCAGTTTTTTTTTTTTAATGTACAGAGCTTTTTCATTTAGGGCTTTTAAGACAGGAGTTAATGATCAGAAATATGATTACTAATGATAGAAGTGGACATACTGAAATTCATTTTCCATTTATTATTCTACTTAGCTGTTTCCTCTGTAGTAACAATAGAATGTTTCTATAAAACAAAACATATAAGGATTGCTACTAGGGTAGTAAAGGTTCGTTCATCAACTTCTGCCTTTTATACTTAACCAGTAATGTATTTGAAGGTAAACTTTCATTTCTATTTAGTACCAGAATAGGATTATAAAGTATGCAAGGTGCAATATAAGGCTAACAATAAAGAATCTGTTTTCTAAATCACTCTGTAGTTAACCTTTTCAAAGTATAATACATGTCTGAAATACTTTATATGCCCTTATTTAACAAGTTGTCCAAATAAATTATTTTCACATTTTCTCAGTCCTTGTTCCCACACTTCATTCTACCATCCCACTCTTCATACTTAGTAGAAGACTGAGACAAGACTGAGGCAGACTGAACAGCTCCTGCACAGAGTAAGGAAAATTATGGGGAATTGTTACAAAAGAACAATATTCTCCCTAGCTTACATTATGTGTGCACATATATTATGTATAAAGGCTAACAACAAGTTTCCTTAAGTCATATTAGTAATAAATGTCTGTGGTAAATGAGCACTAGAGCTGCCAAACATTAATATTACATATTTGGGTTAAATACTGCTTTTCAGTCAAAAAAGTATTTAAATTTTAGATGTTGCAATTAGGTAAGGTGTCTCACAGCTCCTTTTTTACATAGCTACTTCATGCTACTCCATGGTCTCCTGTAGCCTTTCAGAGTTCCTACAAAGTTGTTAAATCCTCAGATGTCCCAGTCATAAAACACAGAGTAAAGAAGAATGTTTTTTTTTCTCTTCCAAAGAATATTTATAAAACAGCACTGTCATTGGAATGAAAATGACCTTAAGTACTACTAGCATTAGCATGGCATAATAAAGATGTGGGCATCTGTTCAAGAGCAATATGCAGTAGTGAACTTAGCACACTTATAAAATCCAGACTTTGAAAACCCACAAGAAGACTTGGAAAACTTATCATATGGAAGCATAGAATATTAGTCCTAGAAGTGGCTTAAGTTACTTATACTTCACTGCTTTCATCTTACATTTACATATACAAAGACCCTGGAGAAGCCAGGGGAAGATTCCTACTGTAGTGTAGATTAGGCAAAGGTGGTGGCTAACCATTCTCCCACTGGAGCAAGCTTCTTTTTTCTTGCAGTAATTTCTGATACTTTGGAATGCAAGCTTTATTGCATTTCAATATTGGAATTCGTTGTACTGGAGAGGTGCAAGAGAGACTATTTGTGAAAGAGAGATCAGGGATCTGAGTGGAAGGACATTAGAGCAAATATGAGCAACCATCTTCTAAGACAGTACATTTCCCCTTTTTGTGAACTATTCTCCCCATAAGCTAAGGAACGATAAAGTGATGTCAAAGAGGAGAAGAGTGGAGTGGAAGCTGCTATGGCAAACACACTTAGCTGCAACCCTAGGTGTGATGTTTTAGACATCTGAAAAAAATAAAGTTTCAAAGGATGTTTTTATTCCTCTTGTTGCTGCTGCTGTCATTAAAACAAAAACTTCTGTTCAAAGTAGTAACTGAATAGGACTTAATTTTATAATTGTTATTAACATGAAAGTTCCTCTCATATCCTTGATATGAGGCATTTCCCTTCAAGTTCCTGGCAATAGGATTTTTAACTCTGAAAGCCTGTAAATTATTATTACACAATGTATTTAGTGTTAGAGAAGCCAGTTTATAAAGCTGATGTAAAAATGAAAGTGGTTTTGGGAAACTAAAATCTTATAGGTCCTTCTGCTGAAGGCTTTGTGGTTTTTGTTCTTAAAATTTATTTATTTATACATAGAAGGGTTGGGGTGTAGGCCAGAGATGCAGGGGATGAGAGGATTCACCAGAGACAGAATGGGAGCAGAACAGGCAGATTGACTGAAATACACTACTAAAGGGAACAGCAGGCAAGATAGGAGAGGTCTGCTGAGCCATGTATGTCAGCTTCCTGGCCAGAAATTAAATTCAAGCCACAGCAGTGCTAGTCTGACAGTGCTGAGACTAGCATAGCACTGAGACTTAACCACTGCAATACAAGTGCAGCCCTGAACCCTTTGGTTCTTTCACAATGATTGTTTAAGTTTGTCTTAAGTATTTCAACTTCACTATCACCAGTACGATGTTTTGTGCCAACTATAAAAAATTTTCTCTGTAAAAGCACTAATCAAACTGTTCCATTGTACTTTGTTTAACAAAGGTGAACCCTGCGCTACAGAATCAAGAAAAATGCATTACTTTATTTGCATTAAACTAAATTAAAATATTATTCTGAGTTTTCATTCTACAGCTTAACAAAATTTCAGTATCTTTCTTTGTAGATATCTCCCTCGGGTGATGCAAAAGTTGCCAGGACACTTGAGTCATCAGCCCACAGTTTACTTTTGAGTTTCTCCTTGTTCAAACCTACTGGATCTTTAATCCAGTAGTTTAGGTTTGACCTCCCTAAGCAATTCACACTGTCAATTATCCCATCCCTCCTTCAGGGGCTTCCTAATACCTTCCTGGAGGTTCTATGATGGAGTTGGCCACAAGACCTCCTACCCTGGGAACCCAGATCTTCATTTCTTCTGATCCCTTTATGCCACTATCTACTCTGCCTCCTCATAAGTCTCACCTCCTTTCAGAAACTTTAAGGTTATGTAATAATTTACCCTGCTGTAGTAGCTAAAATGTTAGCAAGACGAAGTTGTCCTAAATAGACTCAGGGTATATTTCGTTGATGGTAATTCACCTGTCTAAGGAAGAAGAAAACATTTCCTTCATCTTGTTATATGAGGGGCAGGTGGTATCCTTCATGGAATAGCAATAACAAGTATGTCCTCTAAGTGCTTTGCATGTATGAACTCACTTTATCCTCATATCTATTGTATGGAATACTATTTTACAAGGGAGGAAACTGAGGCATGGAAAGTAAATGTGGTTTGTTTATACAGCAAACAAGTAGCAGAGGCAGTCTGTGAACCCAGGCAGATGGTCCATGCTCTTAACCCACAATGTACTGCCTCTGTAAACATTACTGTCCTTTGCTCTTGTGTAATATATTAGTTTATGCTGCTTGAAGGTGGGAATGTTTCAATGGTGCTTAGACACTCCTTTGCAAGCAGGATACAATACACACTGACCACATAATTCACAATCCTGAACCATCTTTTTCTTTCTTGACTCAGGCAATGATCCATTCACCATTGTGAATGAAAACACTGGCAAGTGTATCCAACCATTGAACGACTGGATAGTAGCAAAGGACTGTGACAAAACCAAGGACATGTTATGGAAGTGGGTGTCCCAAAGTCGGCTCTTTCATTTGCAATCCCAGAAGTGCCTTGGCCTAGATATTACCAAACCCAAGGATACCTTGAGAATGTTCAGTTGTGACTCCCATGTCATGCTCTGGTGGAAATGCGATCACCGCTCTCTGCATGGAGCTGCCCGATACAGGTTAGCTCTACAGGATGGACATGCTATAGCAAGTACAAATTCATCTGATTTCTGGAAGAAAGGAGGTTCAGAGGAAAGCCTGTGTGGCCAGCCATACCATGGTGAGTATTGGAGAGGGATTTGACTCATTTGCTATTGTGGTTTTTTTTTTTTTAAGATTTATTTATTTGTTCATACAGAACTGGGGTACAGGCCAGAGGCTCAGGGGCGATGAGAGGCTTCACCAAAGACAGAGTGGGGAGCAGAACAGGCAGATCTATGAAGTACACTGCTGAGGGGAGCAGCGGGCAGGTCAGAAGAGGTCTGTCACGTCATGTGGTCACCTCCAGGGCAGGCGGGAATGGAACTCATGCGGAAGTGGCTTTAGCTTCTCAGTGCTGTGCCACCAGGGAGGGCCTACTATTGTGTTTCATAAATGTGGCATTGACAAATTGACTACAAATAAAGCCTTGGACTGGTAGGACAGTGAGCTAGTATTTAGTTCTAGGTACAGCACTGTCAAGTTACCTCTGTGAAGTTGATGTTTTTTGCCCCCTTTTTACAGATAACTCTAGGAGAGGTTACACAATCAGAGGTTACACAGTCATTCTGTGGCGAGCCTGGAAAATCTCTCTGATATCTGATCATATGTACTTCTTTTTTCTAAAAAGACTTGTGTATTTATGCGTAAATAAATATAGGCCAGAAGTGAAGGTAGGAGGATTCACCAGAGACAGAGTGGGAAACAGGACAGGCAGATCTACTAAAATATGCTACTGAGAGGAACAGCCAGGGAGACAGGAGAGGTCTGCTGTGCCATGTGGGTCAGCTCCCTGACTGGCAATTGAACTCATGCTACAGTAGCTAGAGATTGCTTGATAGTGCTATGTTTTTAACCCTCGAGCCACCAGGGAGGCACAGCATATACACTTCTTATGATTGCATTCTTCTGAACTCCATGAAAAGAAGTGTTAGAGTAACAGGAAATCCTTCATATGAGACAAAAGTCAAATTGTCTAGTAAAGTTTAAACAAGAAAGAAAAAGCATTAATGGAAATATATTTTTCCTTGTCTGCAGGTTTTAATATAATGGGAAGTTTTAAAGAACCTCATGTGGGTTCATTTATTTTTATTTTTGGCATAATAATCACACTCTGATGTTTTTATTATTCTGCATTTTGAACTTTTCTCACAAGTCCATTGCTTCCAAAAATAAATATATGAATGTTCCCTTTGGGGATTATCTTAACCATAACCTTTGTTTAGCATCTAAAGACTAGATTACAATAAATTTCCAAGATTAAAAAGAATAATTAGACTTCTTTTTTGAACTTCTAAATGCTAATAGCTATCAGCCAAATGAATTTTTTTCATCGCATTGCTCCAAATTATATAAAATGTTGACATATATGTAATTATTTTATCTAAGTCCTAACTAGTCCTTCATCTGTTTGTAAATTTACATCATTATATAGAGATTTTCCTTTTCTCTTAAAACACTTTTAAGTTAACTTTGACCTCCTATCATTCCCACTACCTGCACATATTTTGCTTTATAGGTAACCTCTTTCTATTTCCTAGAGACAATACAACAGCTTCCTAAGATGTCAAGTTCTAATGTTAAGGGGACATACTAGAGAATTAAAGATGGGGCTTCCTTTTTTCCAGCCCTTGGGTACAAGGAAACAATTCTATTTTCTGCTAGTTAGCTTATTTCTAGCCTAAAAAAAGAAAATGCTTTCTGGCTACCACTTAACGGCAAGTTTAAATTTTGTAATGCAAAAGCCTTTATCTTGACAGTTTATGGAAAATATGAACCCAAACAAAATGCCTTTTGAACTTGATTTTATTGGTTTCATTATATTTATACCTCAGAAGGAATAATTTTCTTGTCAAGACTCTTTCTCCTGCTTTTAATTCCTTTGTTATTGTTGTTGAATTGCATTTTAGGCTTTTACTTCACACAGCAGTGATTAGTTGGTTAGATGATACATTGCATCAACTTATGGATCCTTATTCATAATTTTGCCCACTAATGTCAAAGACAGTTACACACACTACACTGGAATCACTGCATATCCTGCTTAATGAAGTGTGATTCTCCTCCTTGTCCTACTAGTGCAATCTGTGCTGATTTCCAAGGTGCAAGGAGTCTCTTTCAGTGTACAATTATTACATGTTTGTCTGAGGATTGAAGGAATCTTTATTGCCATCTTGATGTCACCTCTGCTTTCAAGTCTTTGAAGGGACATAATTACATGTTAAACAATTATAAATCCGTGCTCAAAATTCCTCACTTAGATATAACTAGTTTTTATACTCTTCAGGGAAGATGGCCCCTGGGCTTCACATGGCTGATTAAGCAACAACTGGTACAGAAAAAGGATTAGAAGTCACCTAGGGTAGCACCCTGGAGAGAGATGAGAAATAACACCAGTAAGAGCCCAAAGACACAATGTGGGCTTTTGTCCTTCCAAACACTATATTTGGAACAGTGTTCCAAATTTCTAGTAGAGAAATTTATTTTGAAAGAAGGTGTGGGATACATATAATTATAGCTAGTCAAGATATACCTCAAGTATTAATTGGCAAGAGGCCAGAACCAAAGCTGCCTCCTCTTCTACATCTCTGTCTCAGTGATAGATATATCCAAGTCACAAGCATCAGAAATCTACACGTCATTGTTCTGCTTTCCATTCCACCTTTCAAATTAAATCAGTATTAAATTCTGGCCATTTCTCCCTCCTTGTTCAAAGAGAGCACTGTCTGAAATTAGGGACTCTGGCTAAGACTGCTGTCTCAGACTCCCAGTATTAGTTCTTAACCCTACCTTCCTGTCGAGTTGTATAAAGATAAGACAGGTCAGATTATTGAGTCCCAACAAAATTAATTCCAATATTATACAAGCTGTTACATGTAGGTAAGATTCAAAACCAGGATTGTGCTCCCCAAATTTAGTTTCTTTATCTCTCCCTTGACTTCAAGGTTTAGATTAGATTTTATTAAATCTCATTTATTAGATTAAATTTTAACTTCTTTTGAAGAAGAGTTCTTCAAAATTCAAGATAGCCCTACACCTACATTCCATTGAAAGTTTATTTTCTCTGCATAATTCACAAAATATCCACAATTTGAAGTGCTAGTGGGGTTGAGCTATTAGATATTTAAATGCATATCTAAATGTTAGTCAAAGGCAGTTTATCATAAAATTTATACAAATAAAGTTTTTCCTGAGATGCCTATAACTCATACATGGGGATTATGGATAGAGGCAACATAATGGACTAATGGCAAATTAGAAGTTAAAATTTAATCTAATAAATGAGATTTAATAAAATCTAATCTAAACCTTGAAGTCAAGGGAGAGATAAAGAAACTAAATTTGGGGAGCACAATCCTGGTTTTGAGTCTTACCTGCATGTAACAGCTTTAACCATTGATGTGATTTTGCCTAATGTTACTAAAGAAATTAATTTTTAGTTTTTTGTGTGAGTGCCTAATCGAGAATAAACTGTTCTTTTAAGGGTGCAATCACCATATATGCACACACTAAGAGAAGATCCTTTTCAGGAAAGTTTGTCTATTGAGTTTAAGAGGTTGAACTGTTCCAAACTATGTGTGACACTAAAATTGCTAGTGAATAGTTAGCACAATTTTGCTGCTGCTGTGGTGGTGGCGGTTTTGCGCTTATCATTCTTCACAGCATACTGAGCACTGGAGATGTCTTATTTGAAGTTGCTTTGAGCTATGAAAAGACTGAAAGCCTGAGAAGGCAGGCATTCATCCCACAAGGTGTCCTTAGCAGTCCAGGACACTGGCTCTCCCTGGTGGCACAAATGGGTTAAAGCGTAGCACTGCATGAAGCTGGCCATGGCCGCTTGGTGCGAGTTCAATCCCGGCCCTGGAAGTGATCCACATGGTGCAGCAGACCTCTCCTGTCTCACTCGCTGCTCCCTTCAGCAGTGTACTTCATCGATCTGCCTGTTCTGCCCCCCACTCTGTCTCTGGTGAATCCTCTCACCTCCCCTGCATCTCTGACCAGTACCCTAGCTCTGTTTGCATAAATTAAAAAATCTTAAAAAAAAAAAGTCAAGGACGATACTCAGAGAGCAAGTTCTGTCATTTATGATTGAGTAACGGAATGGTTCATATAACTACTCAGCAAAAATGGGGATTTCATTAACAAGCATAATTCTTGCTCTACTGATATTACAGGGTGGTGGTAAAGAGAAAGAGAAATGTAATTGAAAGTACTTTTATAACAGAAACACAAGTTCCTTGGGGAGAAAATGATGGCTCTATAAGTAGTAGTTATGCTCAGAGGCTGTCCTTTTAGTGTTCTAATGTGTAATAGAAATTGGACATGAGCAACTTGAAATTTGGGGTATGGTTAAAAACAGAACATGAGTAATAAGCTGTATTCTTATCAGATACAATGTGAACATACTTTAACAGAAGTACCTTGTTCAAAACCATTTTTATGTCAGAAGAAAATAAACCAGTGTTCCTTAATTAAGGATTGTAATTAAAAACATCCAGATTATTCTTGCCCTTGCTATATTGCAGCTTAATACATTCTAAAATGTTAGATCAGTTTTCACTCTTCAGTTAAATGACCATTTGAGACTAATGAAAGATGTAGAATTAAATACCACCTTAAACACACTTTTTAAAGAAAATATTTATTTTATTTATGCATACAGAACTGGGGTACAGGCCAGAGATGCAGGGGTGGTGAGAAGTTTCACCAGAGACAGAGTGGGAAGCAGAGCAGGCAGATCAATGAAGTACACTGCTGAGGGGACCAGGGGACCTGTCAGGAGAGGTCTTCTGCCCCATGTGGGTCACCTCTAGGGCTGGGGATCTAACTGGTACTGAAGTGGCTGCAGCTTGCTTGCAGTGCTGCATCCTAACGCACTGCACCACCAAGGAGGGCCCAAAAACACAATTTTTTTTTTTAATTAAAAAGTTTATTTTTACATCATTTTTCACATTTTTTTTTTCATCTCAATTGTAATCCCCACGGGTTTCCCATCACCAAATCACCCCTGTGCCACCACCATAGTCCCGTGCATTTCCCTCCCTTCCCCCCCCCCTGTTTTTGATCCCATTCCCCACTCCACCCCCACATAATGTCTCTGGTCTATGGTTGTTCATTATTTTTGTTATTTTCTCGCCTGGTCCATTATACTCCTGCTATGAGTGAAACCATCCGGTATTTTTCTTTCTCTTTCTGGCTTATCTCACTAAGCATGATCTTTTCCAGCTCCATCCAAGTTGCTGCAAAAGACATGTGTTTCTCTTTTTTGGTTGCTGAGTAATATTCCATTGTATATATGTACCACATCTTTCTAATCCAGTCATCTACTTTTGGGCATTTGGGCTGCTTCCATGTTTTTCCAATTGTAAATAAAGCAGCAATAAACATGGGGGTACAAGTATCTTTTTCAATCAGTGCAAAAACACAATTTTAAGAAAATCTATCAACCTGAGAAAGAGTGGTACCTCCTGATTTTCCATACTTAAACTTTTCTGTATTTTCATATCAATGACCATGATTTTAAAGAAATCGAGTATTTGGAAAAAGGTAACAAATATATATATATATTTATATTTATATTTATATATATTTATATTTATATATTTGTTATTTATATATTGTTATATATTTATATATATATATATAATTAGGTATACTATGAAATACCTTTCCAGGGAACTGTTAATTTGCACTTTTCCTTGCATTTCCTAGCATATATGATGTTGAAATCAATTTTTAAATCCTCTTTGTGTACCAGGAAACTTATTAAAATGAAAAACTAGTTCCACTCTCTGAGTCCTGCCTTTTCCAGCAGTTCTTCCTCCTTTTTTTTTTAAATCAGTCCTTACCCCAATATATTTCCTGAATTTCTTCCATTATCTTGTATCTGCCTCATACAAGTTATATTATATGTATACATTATTATAATATTTATATTTAAAATATAAAAATATAAAGTCACATTTTAAAATTAAGCCAAAGCACAATACACACCTACTTCATAGTGTCATGTTTAAGAGTCAGAAGTGTTAGGGAGTGAACTTTGGCTTTTAAGGGTAGCATTCAAGATTTTTCAAAATTTCTTGGCCAACCCAACTCATCTCTCAGTTATTTGTTCTTTCCCTTTCATTAGTTTAGGAAGCACAGAGATGTAATGTGCCTTATCTTTACGCTCACAATGGACTCTAATTGAGGCATGGTTTTCTTCCCCAGTTCCTTGCCTGGTGACCTGCTGTGTTTTTGTTTGTTTCTTATTTATTTTCTTACATCTTTGTTCAATTTTGAAAAGTATTTGATTTCTCCGCTCCACTGCAGTATCTGTAGTTCTCTCACCACCGTGGCACCTGTGATCCATCACCACAGACCCTTATGCTCTTCCATTCCTCATTTTGACACCTTTCTCTTTATGTCTCATACTTATGATCATCTTGCAAGTTTTGTCTTTTTCCTGACACTTTGTTTGTTTTCTCTATATTCCTCATATAAGTGAAACCACTCAGTATTTATCTTTCTTCTGCTGGCATATTTCATTTAGTTTAATTCCTTCTAGCTCCATCCATGTTGATACAAATGATATGAGTTTATCTTTTTTTGTTCACTAAATAGTATTCTACTGTCTGGATATACCATATCTTTTTTTTTCCAAGGATTTATTTATTCATACAGAACTGGTGTACAGGCCAGAGGTGCAGGGGCAGTGAAAGGATTCACCAGAGACAGAGTGGGGAACAGAACAGGCTAACTGATAAAGTACACTGCTGAGGGGAGCAGGGGACCTGTCAGGAGAGGTCTGCTGAGCCATCTGGGTCACCTCCAGGGTGGGGATCAAACTCATGCAGAAGTGGCTTTAGCTTCTAGTGCTGTGCTTTAACCTGCTGCACCACCAGAGAGGGTCTATACCACATCTTTTTGAAACACTCACTTGTTTGGGCATTTAGGTTGTTTTCATATCTTGGCCATTGTAAACAGTGCTGTAGTACATTTAGGAGAGCAGGTTTCCTTTCAAATTAGTGTTGTTTTGTCTTTTGGGTAGATTCCTAGGAGTGCACTCACTGAATTTTATGGTAGGTCCAGTTTTAGTCTTTTGAGGAACCTCCATACAACTTTCCATAGTGGCTGGAGCAGTTTGCATTCCCACCAGCAGTGTAAGCTACATTTGTAGCTTCTGGTGTATTTTAGTAGGGCTATTCTCACAGGTGTGAGTTAGTATCTTGTGGTTTTGATTTGCATTTCACTAATAATAAGTGATGTTGAGCTTTTTTTCATATACCTTTTGGCCATTTGCATTTCTTTGGAGAAGTACCATTTTAGCTTTTCTGACCATTTATTGATTGGGTTGTTTGTTTTTTTGTTTTTAAATTGAGTTGTAGATCTTTAAGCAATTCTTGCTCTTATGTCCTCAGAGCCCACAACCTCAAAACTACCTCCAATCTCTGAACAATGGGGCTGTTTTGTTCATCTCTATTGCTTGACAGTTGGTTTCAAAAAGTCCACATCAATCTTATTGTTTCCAAGATATTTGTCTGCTCTTGCTAAAGTAAAGAAAATGTAGTGTAAGTTTAATCTTAGAAAGGCAACCCTGTGGGGTAGCTCTCTGCCTCCCACAGTAGTCTGTTGAGAGAGCCAGGATTTTCAGCTCTTCCGCAGTGGAAGAAGTTTTACATGGATTATCTAATTGAAACTTTATGAACAACTCTGAGCTAAATACTGTTGTTCCTAATTTGGAAATGTGGAACCTAAGGCTAACAGAGGTTGAAGTCCAGACCTGAGAAGTCAGCATCCATGCTCATGATTTCTGTATTGTGCAGCCAACCCAGTTACTGTGTTTGCATAAGTAAAAACAACAATCTTTATTTCAAAGCAGTTTTAGAAACCATTCAACTAAAGCTAATTATTTTTAACACCCCTTTCTTCTACCCCCTCTCCAATTCACAGAGATATATACCAGAGATGGGAACTCCTATGGGAGACCTTGTGAATTTCCATTCTTTGTTAATGGGACCTGGCATCATGAATGCATTCTTGATGAAAATCACAGTGGGCCATGGTGTGCTACCACCTTAAATTATAATGTTGATCAAAAGTGGGGCATCTGCTTAATGCCAGGTATGTATGTGATAGTAAGCTTAATAAATGTAAAGAATACCATTTATAAAAAGCAAAGGGGAGAATGCAGAGTCTAAAGTGACTCAAAAATGACTGCAACAAATATAGAAGGTAAGGAGTATTATATCTGTATCTATAGATATTTTTATGTATCTATATGGAAAGAGAGAGAAGTAGTTCTTCATAACTCTGCCACAAACATCTCTAGATGTTTGTCTCCATCTAAGAAATGAAGGCAGTAAGGAAGGGACCTCTAAGGGCCCATCTAGCTTTTGAAAGTCCTTGAATCTGACATGTGACATATAACTGATTTGTGGTTAAGTGACTGGTTATAGGAGGCCCTTTGAAAGCTCCCAGTAAAGTCTGAAATGCACTTAAACTCATGAGAGGTTATGAGTATATATTTGAGCCAGTTGTATTAAGACCTGTATATCTCATTCAGGAAACAGTTTATTCTTTTGAAATTATACATGTGCAGTGTAGATGGAATTAATCAGGCTTTTTATACCACTCACCTCTGCAGCTATCGCCTGCTGGCTTGATTGTTTTGATGCAGAGGCTCTTGGGAACTTAGGGGTGGGGCAAATCTGCCTGATTGCGGTCACCTTAGGCATGGGTGTGTGATCATACGTAAGGGTGCGCACCTTAGCCTCTACGCCAGCAATATAAGGGTGACGTCATTCCGAAAACGGCTATAGAGAACCAGCAACACACCCACAGAAGAAGAGAGACACAAGAGAAAACCCAGAGAAAAGCAAATGTTAAAATGCTCACAGGGCTCTGGGAAGTCTGCCAGCCTCCCCGTTCCCCACACCTTACACTGGCCCCCCTGCCCACCTTTGCTTGGTTGCCACTACCATATGTTTTATAGATTTCTGTTAAAGAATATGTCCATTATACCTTTTGTTAAAGAATATGTATGGTGCAGTGTACTTCTCCATTTACATACATATATACACATTTATGTATACATTTCCATACGTTAGTTATGTAATGTTAGTTACATATCATATAAGAATTTACTAAGGAGAAAGTTGGACTTAGCTTCTCAAATACAATAGTCATTTGGGCTATGAATCTTGGTCATTGAAGCAGTGTATTTACACACACACATAACCATACAAATAATGGTTTAACTGTAAGGTGTGGGCAGACCTTTCTGTAGTTTGCCACCATTTCCAGTAAGCTTGTTTTCCATTAGTTCAGGGGGTTGACAGTGTGAGCACAGTTGAAGATTCCTACCTTTAGGCAGAAGACAGGCAAGTGCTAAAATATAGCAGCGTAATTGATAAAGAGAGTGACTGGTAGGAAATGGAGGTGTTAAGTAGTCTGAGTTATTTGGTATCCTAAGACTTCAATTTCCTTGTGTAATCAAAGAATTAAAATATGGTCTAGTGAAAGACCAATATTATCAATCCTTAAAAAATGTAAATTGAAATTGTGGTATTTCTAAGTAACAGAAAACATTATGCCTGTACTTCAGATCACTAACATTTCTTTTATCAACAGAAAATGGCTGTGTAAATAACTGGGAAAAGAATGAGCAGATTGGAAGTTGCTATCAGTTTAATACTCAGACAGCTCTTTCTTGGAAAGAAGCTTATGTTTCATGTCATAATCAAGGCGCTGACTTACTGAGTATCAGCAATGCTGTTGAACTAACATTTCTTAAAGGTATGTTTACTTTGTGTGTGGTATGTAAAGATGCTGTCTGTCTTCTATTTTTATATCCAGTTATGTTGTTTTGTGTATATATCTTTCTGTCTTCTCTTGGGATTTAAACATCAACACTGAGCCCTCAAACAAATAGTAGTGAGTTTCATCCATTGAAAATGCATCCTGCGATGGAGACGAATGAGAGATTAATATTCAGAAAATGGGCTGGAGAAGCAAGATTAAACTGCTGCATATGACTAAATGAAAGAATTTGAAGAATGATGACCAATAAACTCTTTTTCTTTCTCCCAGCCTCATTTTTTTTCTTTTTGTTAATTATTATTATTTTATATACTTTTTACATAATTCTTCATTTTTATACAATGTATTCTTTATCATCTTGGGCATAGTCCTATGAAATTCCCATCACCAGTTCATCTATGTACCATCACTGTAGTCCCTTGTGCTCTTCCCACTCCTGTTTTGATCCAACTCCCACTTCCCTCACCTCTGAAGAATATCTGGTTTATAATTGCCTATTGATTTTGATTTTTACTTTATCATTACTTTTTCCCCCTGACTGCTTATTTGGGTTCCCTACATTCCTCCTATAAGTGAAACCACCTGGTATTTTTTTCTTTGTCTTTCTGGCTTATTTCACTGAGCATGATCCCTTCCAACTCCATCCATGTTTCTATGAATGGCATGAATTTATCTTTTTTGTTGCTAAGTAGTATTCCATTGTGAAAAAACATTTCCTTGATCTAAGCATTTATTTTTGGGCTTACCTATTATAAATAGTGCTGCAATAAACATAGGGATGCAAATGTTCTTTTGAATTAATATTTTGAATCAATGTTTTTGTGTCCTTTGGGTAGATGCCCAGAAGTGGAGTTCCTGAATCATATGGGAGATCCATTTTCAGCAGTTTGAGGAACTTCCACATAGCTTTCCATAGTGGTTGGACTAATTTATATATTCCTGCCATCAATGTAGGAGAGTTCCTTTTTCTCCACAGTCTCACCAATATTTGTTGTTACTAGTTTTTTTTAACATGTGTCACTTTCATAATGGTATCTCATTGTGGTTTTAATTTGCATTTTCCTGATTACAAGTGATTTTGAACAGTTTTTAATACACCTGTTTGTCATTTGCATTCCCTCTTTGGAGAAGTGTCTTTTTAGTTCTTCTGCCCGTTTTGACTGGGTTGTTTACTTTGTTTTTGTTGAGTTTCATCAGCACTTTGTAGATTTTTGTGATCACTCTGTATCATTTGGTTTGAGTGCAAAACTTCTCTCTCAATCAGTGGGTTGTCTCTTTATTTTAGTTAAAGTCTCTTTTGCTATACAAAATCACCTTAATTTGATGTAGTCCCAGTTGTTTAACTTTCCTTCACTGTCTTTGCTTTGAGTGATATGTCTTTGAAGATATTATTGAAGTGTTTGTCACGTAGTGTCTCCCCTATATTTTCTTCTCATTAAACTCTTTCTGCTTTGAAAAGAAGAGAGTTCATAGATATAAAGATGACTGAGTCTCACCAAGTGGCTTCAGTAAGAGGTCCTCACTTTTGAGTAAATAAGTATATTCCTCAGGGGCAAGGAGAATTTTAAGAAATCTTAAAGTACATTTAATGACACGTACAAATGGAGTATAGTGTAAAATTGTTTTTGTAGACTGGTGGTGGTAATTATTTTTAATTATGAAAACTCATAAAAAAGAATGGAAAATTCTAGGCCCTCCCTGGTGGCGCAGTGGGTTAAAGCGCATCACTAAGAATCAAAAGCCACTTCCGCATGAGTTCCATCCCTGCCTGCCCTGGAGGTGACCACATGGCGCAGCAGACCTCTCCTGACCCGCCCTCTGCTCCCCTCAGCAGTGTACTTCGTTGATCTGCCTGTTCTGCCCCCCACTCTGTCTCTGGTGAATCCTTTCACTGCCCCTGCACCTCGGGCCTGTATCCCAGTTCTGTATGAATAAATAAATAAATCTTTAAAAAAAAATGGAAAATTCCAACCTGGAAAGAGGTCTATATAACCACTACCCTGACTTACATTTAGTCATATTGCTTTATATTCCTCCCCATGCCTATCTTTCCTCCTTCTCTTTCTTTAAAGAAACTAAAGGCTAATAGAATTCATCTAAAAGTCTCATGTCCACCAAGGTTTTACATGTATAAACAGTATATGTTTTTTTATTATACTATTGTTTTATATTTTAAAATAATACAAATACTATCTTATTTCTCCATTTGTAAGTTTATCCATTATTAACTGATGCTTTGTAAATATTACATTGTATGAATAAACCATAATTTATCCATTGCCTTATTAGGAAACAGGTCGTGTTCTGCTTTTGCTGTTGCAAATGCTTCTGCAAGGAACTTCTTTATATATGCTTGTCGGCAGACATGTCTGAGAGTTTCTCTAGAATAGGAACTGCTGAGTCATATAGTGCTCATTTCTTCACTTCTAGTCAAAAAATTCTGATTGCTTTCCAAAGTGGAAGGAGTTTATACCTCCTCCATTGTTCAGTGTTATCACACTTACTAATTGACTGATATAATGGGTATGAAGTGGTATTTTATTCTTCATTTATATTTCCCTTACAGTTAAAGTGGTTTGCATCTTGTGTTTATTAGGCATTCAAGTTTCCCCCTGAACTTTTCCAGTTTATATCCTATTCCTGTTTTCTGTTAGGTTGGTTGTCCTTTTTTAACTAATTTGTTATACTACTTACATATTCTGGGAACTAATCTATTGTAGGATCACAAATATCTTTTCCTAGTCTTTGCTCTTTTCACTTTATTTTTCTACCTCTTTATTAAAATAATGTTAATTTTAATTCAGTCAGATTTTTTCTTTTCCTTAGTGCTTTGCACTTTTTGTTATTAGCTAGCAAATCCTTTCTTAGCCTTAGTATAATAAAGATACCCTCTCATGTTTTCTTCTAAAAACTCACAATTTTGCTTTTGAAATTTATATTCTCAATCCATCTGAAATATAAGTTATAGAGGTAGATATCTAATTTATCTTTCTTCATGTGAATATTCAATTGATCAAGCACTTGTTTATTTTAGATTTTCCCCTCTGATGTATTATGCTGCTTTTAACATAGATAGACTATCATGTGTATATTTGGCTGTTTCTAGGCTCTTCCTTCTGTTTCTTTGGTCTGTTTGTTTCTGTTTCTACCCCATGCTATTTTAATTATTCTGGTCTTTTGTAGTAAATCTTGATTTCTAGGTAAGTAAATGCTCCTGTATTCATTTTTCTTTCTTGAATTGTGTTGGCTATTTTTTTAACCACTTATTAAATTCAATGGCAAACCCTATTGGAACTTTGGAATTGAATTGAATTATAGATTAATTAAAGAAGCATTACTGTTACTACATTATGTCTCCTCATCCATGAAAACGATATGCTTTTTTACTTATCTGGGACCTCTTTTATGTACTCAATAAAATTCTATGACTTGTTCTATTAGTGTCTTGCTAGAAAGTTTATAAACACTTTTTACATTATTTTTAAAAAATTGAACCCAAGTTACTGAACCCCTGATAATTTATTCAATTAATGGGAAAAATCATAATATTTGATGATGTTGATGATAGTGTCTCAAAAAGGATACTAAATAATATAATACATTATCATATTTAATCCCTTGTACCAGCCCTTTGAAGTAAGTATTTATGGTAGTGAGGATGATGCTGGTGAGGAATGTGATGCTCAGATAAGAAATGTGACTGGTCCAAGTTCGCACACAAATAATTGGCTGAGGCAAAATGTGATCACAGTAAGTCCAACTTAAAAAGAAGTTGTAAAATACTCATTTCCCCCTTGCTCTTATCCCAACAACCCTTCCTGTCTAGTAGCTTCAGTTCAGAGCTTACGCTCTTGAAGATAAGTCCTATGCACTAATAAAAGAACGTTCTTTTTACTTTTTGCTTGCCCCATACTGAATTTGTTTTGGTTTTGTTTTATTAATATAAGAGTCTAAGAGTGAGAGATTGGAGTTTTTAGTTGTTGTTTTGTACCCACTGGATTTTGTTTGGGAATGAGATTTCTTAGGGTTCTGGTCTTCCAGAGGTTCTCTAAACACATTCATCCCAGAAATCCAAAAGAGTAACCACAGAACTGGTTGGGGAGAGCAATTCTTTCTAATTGACCTTCACTGTGAGGAGCTGTTCACTTTGATTCACCTTGTTATGTGCCCCAAGGTTAACATACATCTAGGTCATGGTCCCCACTGGCTAGGGCCTTTCTGATCTTTAAGATACTCTTCTGTGCCTTATCTAAGATGTACAATCATTACCAGGTCCTGATGTCTTTCATGGTGGGGAAAGAAATATAAATATAGGCTCATATCTGAACAGGAATCTGTCTCCAGGACAGCCAAAAAATATTTACCCGGTGGTCTTTCCCATTTGACTACGAATGAAAATTTAAGCTAGCAGTCATCTACTTCTTGATAGTAAAAATGTGATAAGCATACCTCATATTTATCAACTTTGCCTAGACTATTTTTTTCTTTTTCTTTTATTTTTTACATCATTTTGTACTTTTTTCCATCTCAGTTGTAATCCCCATGGGCTTTCCATTACCAAATCACCTGTGTAACTTTGCCTAGACTTTTATAGAAAAAGTCCAGCTCCAAATTTTCCAGGTCATGTAAGAATTGTGGCCCAACCAGAAGATTTAGAATGGATCTATTTCCTAGTCACATCCTCCTGGCATAAAATTCATGAGGAATATTTGGATTTGCCAATGTAGTCATAATTTTTAAATCTTGTGATTCTAGTAAAGAATAAGTCATCAATACAGATCACATATAAGATGCTGAAATGAAGGAAATTAAAAGCCTGACAGCATCCAAAGATTATTTTGTTCCATTGAAAATGTGGGCTTGCCATATGCAGGTAAATGATAAGATTATCAGAGGGAATAATAGAATTATTTGGACTCCCTCTGGGAGACATCTGAAAAATCTTCCAGGAATAGCATTGAACGTGGGATGGTTACAAATAGTCATCCATAGTACCCTTGATTAGAATGAATGAAAGGAATTTTAAATGTCAGGATATGGTTGAGTCTGGAATACCATAAATGCATCCTAGTTTACAGAGATTCTTTATGAATGCTGGAGAATCAATTGCTTTTACTAAAGAGGAAAACGTTACATTTGATTAAGTCTTCAAGGTCTTTGTATACAAGTACTGACAACATTTCTTTCTACTAAGGTAAAAGAAAGGGTGAATCCAGAGTTCCCTTCAGAATTCTCCTAAATCACCTGCTCCAATACCAACTCCTTCCTTAGTAGTATATCATTAATATCTATATTCTTGATATAAAGTGAGATGAATCATAGCTGCTAACCCTCATACTTATCCAAACTATCTCCCCTCCAGTTTGTTCAAGTTTAATTTCTTTCCCCAAGCTCTTCCCATCCACACTGTTTCTTGCATCTCAAATTTTCATTGACTTTTCTCCAGCAGGCTATAAACTTGATGAAATTTCAACCATTACATCCTGTAGTCTGTCTTTTTCACAGCCAAACTCCTGGAAAGTGTGGTGTATTCTTGCAGTTTACTCCTAACAGTGCTGCTCAGTGGAGTGATTATTGGGCTTATTTACCTACGAACCTCTTGCCTATCTTGTGAATATTGGTATCTGTATTATTACTTTTGGCCCTTTTAATCTTGGCTGCTGCTATTCATGCTCTGCCCAGGGAAACTCTTCCTCGCTGAGTGTTAGTTCTAGTAGGTGACTTGTTTTAGGCATTTGGATTCTAAATTCTATAGTAAAATAAAAATTGTGCATAGTCAAAATCACCCTCAAACTGTCCTTAAAGCATGATTATGATTATGGTTATTTACATGATTTCTACATGTAAATAAAATATAAAGTGTAAATATAATTTTCTACAAGTAGAGCACAAAGATTTATCTGTAACTGCAGATAGATATGTATATGTGTGTGTGTGTATGTATTACAGTAATATATCACACATAATCCCCTGGGAGGTATCAAGAAACTTATTAAATATTTAAATATTTCACCTCTGGAAATATTTCAGCTTTATAAAAATTCCAACCTGTTAACTCTCCCTGTTTGTGAATATCATCCTTGTCTTCTGTAGACCACTTCATTAATTGCTCTATTTCTTCTACCTGGCCTAAATAGCTTCAAATTCTTCTTTGTAGAATTGAAGTATTATCAGTTTCTCAAACAATGCTGTTGACTTCCTTGACAGTGATGTGAAAATCCTTACAGTCACTTGCATATACTTTTCATAGTTTTTCCAGCACACATGGACCCACACAAGCATGACTGCATTCCTCACTGTGGGCATACACGCATTGAGTGGCATGTTGGCAGGTGGCTTCACAGTTTACATTATTTCTGCTTCTCAATCTTTTCTTTTCATTAATGATATTTAGTTACTGGATAATAGATTTCAATGATACACCTCCACCGTGGCAAACATCTGTATGGAGGGGTTTATGGTATCTGTCTATCTTCAATATTTCCAGACTGGTTCTTTGGATTCTAGAGTAGTAGTATTAATGCCTATGAGATAACTCCTCCACACATTTCTGAAACTGCACTAGTCACATTTTACCATTTTAGAGGATGCATACTGATTTCCTTCTTATAAGTTGAAATCCTCATGAGGCCAGAGACTGTCATTTTGCTTTTTATAGCCTTAGTACCTGGTAAATAACATTTTCTCAAAGAACGTAAATTGTCAGCCTGGAATACATTAAGATCTATAAAATCTAGATATATAATGGAAACTGCTTTTTCTATATTAGCACAGAGTTAAAAATAGTCAAACAGCTATTCTGAGAAGATTCTGCTTTTATCTTAGAAGAAAAGGAACTGAACAGCTAACAGGAAAGTAGAAATCACTTAACTGACCAGTCTGTGGATGTCTCAATAACCTGAAGTTTTGTTGTCTGTCACATTGTCTGTCTTTGTCGGATAGTGTCTTGTAGGAATGCCTACCTTTCGATATTTGTGCTATTAGTAAAAACTTAAGTCTGCTCAGATAATAGCTGTTAATTCTGTCAATCTTTAAAATTGTGAACTTTTACAGAAAAAGAAGGCATTGCTAGAGTTTTCTGGATAGGCTTAAATCAGCTATTCTCTGCGAGAGGCTGGGAATGGTCCAACCACAAGCCATTAAACTTTCTCAACTGGAACCCAGGTAAATTCTTCTTACATACTAAGCACAGAAAAAAACGCTTTAAGAAATAGGAGATTTCCACTTACTGAGACCTTCTAAAAATATTAAATCTTGACAACTCTTAATATGGTTATTTCTCAGGAGAATGTCTTTCTCCTAACTGTCCTGTATTTTGATATTAGTCAAGTTGAATCACACCATGGAACACGGAACATTTATCTCCAACCTTTAAGCAACCCTCCATTTCTAGTTAAGAGCAAGATGAGCCCCACCACAGGCCCAGAAACATAATGTGTCTGACTGATACATACTGTATTACCTCTACAGCATCTCTCTAATACAGAAATATTCGTGTTTTTTTTTTTTTAACTCTTCAGGATCTCCCTTCTATAGCACCCAAGTGCTGACAACATAATGGTTATATTTTATTACACATTAACTAAAAGGACATTTTATAGTGAATAAAATAAAACTTTAGTTATCCAAAAGATATTTCCCCAAAAAGGTTTAGATAACTTAAAAAAAAGTTAGGTTTATTTTGAATATAGACTTATATATTAACACTTCAGGACAAAGCACTCTACACTTATATAAGAGAACTAAGTTCAGTAATTACTGGTAGGTCATTTTAATTAATGAAATGCTATTAATTGTAAATACTCTTCTCAGTAAACAGAATCTTAAACATTATTTAATCTTTAAGACCATAAAGATCACCAAATCATAACTCAGTATTTTTATTGTATAAAGTAGATAATCAAGAGCTGCTGACCATAGGATATCACAGGATATGACATGGTTTTTCAAGGGGCAGAGGTTTGGTTTTTGGTTTTGGTTTTGTCTTTTAAGTCAGCTGTGTTCTATCAGAATATAATCCCAAGAAGTCTGTATTATACAAGAATGACCTGCATTAGCATATAATTGTCCCCCGAGGTTTATACATTTTATTTATTAAGTTTCAACTGTTTAATGAGCTCCCATGGAAGCAAAAAATTAGGAATATAAATTATTTTTTCTAACCACCACCCTGGTCTAAACATCTCCTTCTAACTCTTTGAAAATCCTGCCATTGAAGAAATGCCTAGTACACCGACAGTAGGTGGATCAAGCTGTGCAAAAATGGATGCTGAGTCTGGTCTGTGGCACAGTTTCCCCTGTGAAGCTACACTTCCCTACATCTGCAAGAAACCACTAAACGACTCAGTGGCATTAACAGGTATTTTTCTTACTTTCTTTTACAACTCTATTAAAGTCACAGTTTTGTAAAGGAAATCCACTTCAGGTACTATTTCCTCCTAATCTTGTCCATGCAGAAAAGCATTTGATTTTTGACCCTGTGGTTAGATATCAGCAACTGTATATAAGTAAAGCCTGGGTTTGGTGTATTCCCATAGGAAGATAGAGATATGCTAGATAGGAAATATATTTCTGTTCTTTTTCCTTATGCAATGATTCTCAAAGTATGGTCCTTAGAACAAAAGCATCAGCTTCATCTGCACTATTAGAAATGTAAATTCTCAGGACCTACTCTAGATTTCCTGGGTTAGAAGCTCTGAAGGTAGGACCCAGTGGTCTATATTTTAAACAGCCTTCTAGATGATTATGTTGCACACTCGACTTTGAAAGCCACTGCTCTAGGGCAAGGTCTTCTGTATTACCTGCCTCTGAGAAATCAAAAATGATGGACACAGCAGTGCTCCCAGACTTCCCCAACCCTTGACCCTCAATGTCTTCCCCTCTTCCATCCTTCTTTGCCAGACTGGTTCTTTAGGTCTTTGTGTTGTAAATCTCTGGAAAAGGAGAGATGCAGAGGGACAAAATGTATACAGAGAACATGTCTATTCCAGGAGTTTGAAGGACCTGACACAAGAATAGCTAGCTTTTTGAAGAGAAGGAAGTTTACCCTTCCTGTCTTGCACAGATCCTACCATATATCTGGCATTTGATTGAAATCTCACTGAATATGAGACTAATAGTCAAAACTGGGAGAGGAAAAAAGAGGTTTTAAAATGTCTTGCTTTAGAGAATATTGAAGGAAGGGAATAAAGAATGAAGTGGTTTATCATCCATAAAAATTTCTTTAGTATTAAAAAATGAGTATATAAAATAATGTAGGGGCCTGTTTTAAAATAGTGGGGCAAAATGAACATTCATTTTCCTAGTTGAGTCAATTCACATTTAGTCCATATAAGAAAAGCCATAATAGAAAAGACAGCACAAATGAAATTTAAACCAGAGTGACTGATAATAGATCAAATAAATATCCTATAGTAGCAATTATTAAGTAAGCCATAATGTTCCTATATGACTGAGTGGTAGGCATTTATTAAAATAATTGTGCTAGCAGAAAAATACAAAGAATAAAATTATATGCCTACTTACCATTTTAATTTTATAAAAATATGTACTTACAGAAACAAAGACTAGGATAAGAAAATGATTAAGTTCAATTATGAATGATTTTCTTCTATTCCTTTGTCATAACTATAAAATGCAATAGCAACAGCTATTTCAGAACATTTAAGTTAGTTATCTTGCAAGTGAGAGAAGCTAGTTAAACCTGAATTATGCCCTTTAATAAAAAACAAACTGTCCACATTATTAAATATTGTTTTCATTCAACAAACATTTCAAACAGTCACAACTATTTTCTAGTTTTATGAAGAAAGGTAAAAGTATTCTGTGCAGTTTTATACATCACTGTTTTTCAGTAATATTTCTTCACCACTATTTGATTATCTTAGCCTGGTCACAACAATGAATCACTAATTCCATGAAGACTCTACTTTTAATTAAGGGGAGGGAAAAGGGATGCCTTTGCCCTTTCCCTCTCTTGCTGCCCTCTCTTGAGTATAGAGTGTATAAGTGCTGTTCCTTAAACCTCTTTCTTTTGTTCAACAGTGAGCACTAGTGCATGTCACCTTGCTAAATTTACTATGTATGAAAGGAGGGTCTACCTTATCATCACCTCTCAAAGACAGCAGGTACCAGACAAATCTCAAACTCAAGAAGAGATTTGTCAGCCATGGTTTCCATACTATCTTTTTGTCTACTGGGGCTAAGGGCAATCCCTTCTTAAATAGTCTGAGTCCAGCCATGTAGCACATTTATATCCCATAAGTCATATCGTTATCCAATCCCCTGTAGTCACTTTTATGTGCTGTGTATACATTAGACACCACATAAATTCATGTCACTGTACTATCTGATATCACATTCCCCAGTTTTCTAGAAGCCTTGTAATTCAGGAAAAAGGAATTTACAATGTTATTGATTCAAAATAATGTATCTTTACTTGAATATAAATAACTACTTTTCCCACAGATATTTGGAGTTACTCAGACACCAACTGTGATGAAGGCTGGCTGCCAAATAATGGATTTTGCTATCTGCTGGCAAATGAAAGTGATTCCTGGGATAAGGCACATACGAAATGCAAAAGCTACAGCAGTGACCTCATCAGCATTCATTCTTTAGCAGATGTAGAGGTGGTTGTCACAAAACTCCATGGTGGGGGTAAGTTTCTAAAATATCCTATTTGAGAGGTTTGAAACATTTTAAAGTACTCCTATTTTCAGAGTCTTAGCAAGAATGAAAGCTTATAATTTGATCCTGTGGATAGTACTGTCCAGTAGAATTTTCTGGGATGATATAACTCTTCTGTAATCTGTGCTATCCAATACAATAACCACTGACCACTTTTGACCTTTGAGCAGTTGAAATGTAGCTTTGGCAACTGAAGAGCCAAATTATTACCTTTATCTTATTTTTTAAAAATTTATCTGACTAATTTAATCATACAGCCATTGATTGAATAATTTCCCTCTTTTCTTGATTCCTTCCAGAAAGTTAAATAATGATTATTTCACTTTTGTAATTATTTGAAAGCTAAAAAATGAAAACTCAATGTCCAGTGTTACAAACTCCTCCTAGGATTCACTAATAATAAGAACTATTAGAAGATACCTATTATGGGCCAGCATGGTGCTGTTTTTCCTAAAAAGCAGCATAGTAATTCAGGCTGTGAAGGACAATATTCTTGTTCTAGTTTGGATATCTGTAGTTGTACTTGTGCAAGTTTATTATTCTCTACAAGGCAGGGTTTATCTTAGCCAGATAACAGAAATTCCCAGTCTTCAGATCATAGTACACTGTACTATCTACTCTCCTGCCTAAGTGGACTGAATAACCCTCACCACAGAGTGTGCTTAATTACCAACATTTTAATAGACTAATTAAAAAAATCAGGGCTCTTAAAACTTCATATCAGAATGCCAAAATCAGTAATACATACATACCTACCTACATACATACATATGTATGTGTGTGTGTGTACGTACTTAAGTAAAACCAAACAATAAAACATTTTTCTTTTAGATGCCAAAGAAGAAATATGGACAGGCTTGAGAAACATAAATACACCACCTTTATTTCAGTGGTCAGATGGTACTGAAGTTACTCTAACATACTGGAATGAGAATGAGCCAAATGTTCCCTATAATAAGACTCCCAACTGTGTCTCCTATTTTGGACAGGTAAGAAAACTATGGTTTATATCTTATTGCTGTGTCTAATAATAATATTGAGGTTACTTTGGTTGGTATATCTGTGTTTAAAGAAGAAAAGAAAATGAAAGATACTTTGATAACTACTGAGAAGAAAGGGAAATAATTACTAAAAAAACAATCTGTTTCCTGTCTGAGAGTATCTATTTTGTTCTGAAGCAGAGCAAGAATATCCCTTTAGGACTCAAATTCTCCTGCAAATTGATTCTAATAAGCTGCTTTTTCTTGAGACCATCACGGTGATATTTCGCCTATAGCCACAATTTTACTTGGGAAAAGAAACCTATCTTCTGAACTCATGTTCAGGTTGTTTTATAGTTACCCTGCTTTGAGAAGTGGGAAAAAATCATTTTTATTAAAAAATTAGACCAAACTTTTTCAGAGATTCTCTTACTCCTATAGAATGCTTTAAAGTCTATTGAACATGATTTAGTTAAAAATTCAAGAAAGATAGAATCTTGAGCCAGAAGGACCCATCATGTTTATACTAAATCACTCTCCTATGGACTCCTAATTGTTTAGGTGGCTGATTGTGTCACCCAACCTTCTAAAGAGATTTAAATGGAAACCACAAATAGTATGGGTTTTAGAAATGTTTCAGTAGCAAAATGTGTTTAGAAAAGTGTCAAATATCAGTTTAGAAGAATGTCACATCTCTATTTAAAAGGATATCCACTTTGTCTCTACAAGAGTATCAAAGGTTAAAATGAAGTGTCATAGGCAAGAGTGAACTGATAGCATACTAAAGAGCATTCTAAAATACAAAACTGACCTTGATCATAACTGACATGAAAATTTAAATAGAAGAAAGCAGAGTGACTTAGTCAATTAAGCAAAACAAATGTTAAGTAGCATATTTAAAAACAAGAACTTTGAAGTTCAGACTACAATTGGAGGAAACTTGATTGTGGACTCCTTAGAGAGTAGCTATTATAACCACCATAGTCATCTGACATATAAGGAAGCTGAGGCAAAAGGTTAGTTGATGTGCTCAAAAGTTTTTAAACTGTGTGCAAACTTTTTCACATGAAAAAAAAAATGCTAGAACTATGCTAACTATTTATAGTGTCTAATTCTCTCTTCAAATTCTATACTGTCTTTTGATACTTTTATAGCTTTTCTTATAAGAAACTGGAATTCATCTGTACTGTGACCTTGAGGTGCTGCTGAAGTAATTGGCTGTGAGCCACAGCCGTGCAGGCCTATTGGGTAACATTTTCTAGAAGTATATTCCAAGATTTAATCATTCATTCGTTCATGTTGAATCTCTTCCTTCCCCTCCCTCCTTCTCCTTCCCTTAAGTTTTGTGCAAAGAAACTGTGTTGATTTAAAATAAGTTAAAGTTCACTCTAAATATACAGCAAATAAATTTTTAGTGGAATTTTTTTTCCTGTTTTTTTTAAAAGGTAGGTCAGTGGAAAGTCCAATCCTGTGAAGAGAAACTTAAATATGTATGTAAAAAAGAGGGAGAGAAAGTGAATGATACAAAGTTGGAGAAGACATGTCCTTCAAATCAGGTATGTACTAGTGACATGTGTGTGTCACTTTTATGGGGAATATAGAAAAACCAACAGAGTCATATACAGCTTAGCTAACCAGTAACCCCAGAAAACTAACATTGTGTGCTGAAGCTACCAACGGGGGGCAGAAAAGAAGGGGGGCGAGAACGAAGTGGGGAGAAAGCATATTAGACTATAATGGTGGACTGTGGGTCTATTGGTGGTGGGTCCAGTATGGTAACACCTGAAAGGGGAGAGCCTTTACTTCTAGAACAAACAATATTGTAATCCAATGTTACGCCAATAAAATATACTAAAGTAAAAAACAAATTAGGTATTTAAAATCCCAGTGTTAATTTTTCTAAGCAGTATAATACCTTCTTATTTTATGGTTAGGGATGGTGTTGAATAATTCAGACATGAACTTAAGCAATTTAGATTGGAAAATCCAGGATATTACTAGCACTGTTTGTTTATGTTAGAATGAGTCAGAGGTCAGGGAATCATACCATACTGGTGTTCTTTAGAAGAAACAATGCATTTCTACCCACAAAAGGCATATGATCATTAACCTCAATGCAGATATCTTTAGTTCCCCTACTTATTCCTATTCAAGAATAATTCAACTGTACTGTACTCTTAAGGTGAAATAGGCACTAAGGATAAAAAGAATTAAGACACAACTTCTATATGACACAGAGCCACAGTCTCTGGAGAGTATCTGTGAAACTGTATCCTGTCCTCATCATCAGGTGTATAAATTCACAGACTAAATCCTTCATTTCCACAAGTTGTAAAATGTTATCAATGTAACAGAACATTGCTTGTCTGGAGATAGTTTGACAATATGTCTCTTCTAACTTAGGGCTGGAAGAGACATGGAGAAATCTGTTACAAGATTTATGAGGATGAGGTCCTTTTTGGAACCAAGTGCAATCTGACTATAACTAGCAGGTATGTATCTACTTGTGAACTTTTAACTACAGGTTCCTTTGCCAAATGATCTTATTAAGAAAAAGAGTGCATCTTCAAATGATGTAGTACCCCAATCATTGTAATAAAAAAGAAACATGCTAATTTGATCTTGTTTTGTAGATTTGAGCAAGAATATATAAATGATATGATTAAAAAGCATACTAAATCTCTAAGAAAGTACTTCTGGACTGGCCTGCGAGACATAGAGTCAAGTGGAGAATATAGCTGGTCAAGTTTTAATGGAAAAAAGGGAGCTGTAACCTTTTCTAATTGGAAATATCTTGAGCCAGGTAAGTGCTTTAGCCCTCATAGCGTAGAATTCAGTGACTTGTAAAATGCACTGTCCCTCCCAAATATGCCCTGTACTTACCTTTGAAAGTGACATCATTGATGAGCTTCAAGACTAAAGTCTCCAGGACCATAAATAGAGACAATGACTATCCTTTTCCTATGAAAATCCTTGGCAATAACTCATCATAAAAAGCTATAAAATTCCCTCAGAGCTTCCTGAGTAGTGATTTGGAGAACGATGTACCTGGAGAGGGCACGGAAGCTCTTGCCATTTCCCCATCCTGGGCTCCATGGATCTCTGCCATTTGGCTATGGATCTGTATACTTTATTACCCTTTGTGATAAATCAGTGATCAAGTCAACATACCCATAAAAGATTTAGAAGAAACTGTTGCAAAAGATGATGCAGAATTGACACTAAATAAAGTGAGCAAATAATTTGTGGGAAAGGAGACAAGGAAACAATTGATCTTAACATTTTAAAGGCCTGTACTTATGGTTTAGATATGAATGGGTTTGCCACTAACTATGATTGTGGACAAGTCACCTATTCCTCATCTAGAAAATAGATATGATAATATAAACTATCTTTTTTTTTTTAAAGATTTATTTATTTGTGCATACAGAACTGGGGTATAGACCAGAGGTTCAGGAGCGGCGAGAGGCTTCACCAGAGACAGAGTGGGGAACAGAACAGGCAGATCGACGAAGTACACTGCTGAAGGGAGCAGCGGGCAGGTCAGGAGAGGTCTGCCACGCCATGTGGTCACTTCCGGGGCAGGCGGGAATCGAACTCATGCGGAAGCAGCTTTAGATTCTCAGTGCTGTGCTTTAACCCGCTGCGCCACCAGGGAGGGTCCTATAAACTATCTTTTTATGTTGTTGTGAGTAAATAAAATTCTGGCTGGCATAAATAGTAAGCAATTATATGCTACTACATACCTATAACTTTCATTGTACCAACACATCCTTTGAAATGTATAAAGTGTCTTCAGGCTTATTGTTATCATTTAAAAACTCTTCAAAGTTGTTAATGTGAGCCTCTCAAGCTGCCCTGACAACATAGTGGTTTAAAGTACAACTCTGGATGTAGACTAACTAGATTCTAGTCCCAAGTCAATCATTTACTAACACGGGACCTTGATTAAATCATTAATTCTTATTGTCTCTATGATGATAGAGCCAAATGAATTGGATCAATTCATTTAATCCTCTTAGAATAGTGCCTAACAAATAGTAAACACTTCTCTATATTATTATGTATAATAACACATTTCTCTCCCCCTTTTCCCTTCTTATTTTTTCTCTGCACATTGCCTCAAATAAGGGGTAGTGGAACTAGAAAATGCTTGGACTTTAATTTTAAAATTTAATCAAGGGCCTCCATGCTGGCCTATGGTTTAAGTCTCCATGCTATCACCACCATGGTCAAGGTTTGATCCCCAGCCAGGAAGCTAAGGCTTATGGCACAGCAGACCTTTCCTGTCTTTCCCACTGCCCCCTCAGCAGTGTATTTCAGTAGATCTGCCTGTTCTGCTCCCCACAGCTCTGGTCCCTACCCTCGTTCTTCTACATACACAAAAAAGAAAAATGTAACTTAAAGTTTCCTATTTAATCCTAGCTCTTCCTGGGGGGTGTGTGGCTATGTCTACTGAAAAGTCTCTTGGAAAGTGGGAAGTAAAAGACTGCAGAAGCTTCAGAGCACTTTCAATTTGTAAGAGCATAAGTGGACCTGCTGTACCTGAGGAGACAGCCCCCAAGCCTGATGACCCCTGTCCTGAAGGCTGGCATAGTTTCCCCACAAGTCTTTCTTGTTATAAGGTAAAGTAAAATTCTTGTTTAATGACTCAATGAAGTTATCTTTTTACCATGTCCTGTACAAATTAGGTTGCTCTCTACACATATATTTGACCTACCTAAGTGTTTGGGGGCACAGAGCATTGATGCTCTGATGTCAGACAACAGAGTCCCACAGACCACTCATGTCCTATCCCCAAAAAGAGATTCAGAGCCAGAAATGACTCTTTCCTAGTGTTTGTTGTTGTTGTTGTTCTGGGAAGTAGGGTGAGTGGCTTGCCAGACTGACACTTGGCTGTGATTCTCACAGCTCTCTAATTCTTATTGTCAAAAGAAGAGTTCCCTCACTTCTAACAATGTAAAAAATATATGCTGAAGATGTGTATCAGCCCACTTGGCCACCTTCTGCCAGTATTCACACACCAAAGCAGTCTCTTCTTTGGTTCTTCCTGTATTCGTAGATATCTAACTTTATTATGTTCAAAATGTGTTGTTAGCACATTTTTTGGGTGTCTACTCCCCAAGACATTCCTGTACCCTTTACACCCTTTCCTCCTGGATCATTTTATCTCTCAAGGTCCTAGTTTCATAAGAGAGCATGGTAATTTTTGGAGCAATTTCCCAGCTTGGCTGAGGAAAGCCATCATTCTGACAACAGTGGCTAGCACTGTGCTGGCCTTTGGTTGACACTTTCTTCAAGACTGTCTGTACTATGATTTATGTGCATTCATATATGTCTTCATGTACCTATAAGAATCCATTTCAGGAGCCCACACATTTGACATTAATTGACCTTCATAATAGAAAATAAATGATTATTATATTTCGTTAAGATATTTCATGCAGAAAGAATTGTTAGAAAAAGGAATTGGGAAGAAGCTGAGAGATTCTGCCAAGCCCTTGGAGCACACCTCCCTAGCTTTAGTCATGTGGAAGAGATAAAGGAATTTCATCAGTTTCTAATGGACCAGTTCAGGTAATCTTTTTAGATTATAATCTTCTATGCTAAATGTGTTATCACCACAAATCTTAGTTCCCAGTTATAAACATAGTAAGCATTTAGTGTACATCTTTTCTATTTTTATATCCTTAGACATATATTTTCCTCAATATACAATGCTTAATTTTTTCTAATCAAAAATGATTTTTTTCTACATCAAAAATGATGTATACTGAATTTAAAAAACAGAAAATCACAAATAACAATATAAATTGCCATCCTTTTACTCATAGGGACTATACTTACTTTGTACACTATTCTATTGGCTAACGCAAGGCCATATTTGTGTTACCTACATAATACATACTCCATTAATAAAGAGATTGTTTGCCCACACTGCTCTTAGAAAGAGAACAAATTTTGAAACCAACACTGTACCATAGTTTGAAGAGAAGGAAGAAAGAAACAAATTCATTTGTAGCAGAAAATGATTCTAACTCTTTCTCCATGGACACCTAGCTTTTCACCACAGGAAATGACCTTTCTCAGCAAGATGTCCATTGCCCAAATTGTGCGTTGCATAGCAAAGAGTTAAGTCAGATTAGTTCGATACTTTTTCTGATCTAAATTTCCCATCTCTATTTGTATTTCAGTGAAAGGGATTCATGGTGCACTGAGTCGTTAAGACTTAAGATCTTTGTGACTGTTAATGGCAGCCAACCAAGGAAAGCTATTGTGGAGCAAAAGCAGTCATAAGATTAGAGAGGAAAGCCTTGCTTGCAGTGCCATCGCTGCTGTGTGCACCACCTCCCATGATGTGGCAAGATGGATTTAGATATAAATCTAAGGCTTACCAGGCTAAGCACCCTCATCAAAGAGTGTTTATTGGGGGTTATGGCAGAGATACTGTTTTTCCTCAGATACCAAATGCAGCAGGAAATTTGGTTGAGTAGGAATTTTAACACAAATACACATTTACCTTTTATGTAATGTCTTCTTAACCTAATAGCCTTAAAATCATATTCTTAGTGCTTGAAGTAGAAGAAATTTATAAAAAGAGAATTTCGGTTTGACTTGATTCCCCAGTTACAATCAAATTTTTCCTTCAATTTTCCTAAAATTCACTTTATAGGTAAGTTATTAGGAGTTCCAAACTCTTCTTTTTCTCTGCCTACAAATAAGCCAAGTCAAACGAGGACTATGACAATTGAGGAAACATTTTCTATCTCTTACTACACACAAAAACACAAGTAGCTACTATTTGTCTATATAACACGTTAATAAATCCCTTGAAATCACTCTTTTTATACTGACTATATAGTAAATGCAAATGGCAACTACTCTTTGATCATCTGCTTGGTTTTACTTTTGACTGTATGAAGATAAAATGCCTAATGCTTACTTAAAGAAGCATGGAATTCTGTACAAATACCCCAGGCCCAAAATACATATTGTGTAAAGAGCTAGAAAAAATGAAGTTACATTCACAATTAAGTGTGAAGAAGCAAACTTAACCTCGTTATTTTAGCCAACTTACTTTTTAATTATACTATATTTGACAGTTATCTAGATCTTGTAGTTTAGAAATCCAACAATTGGAGAGAATGTTGTATCTGAAACTTATTAGAAACCTCTGACTAGTTGAAACCACAAATGCATTTTTCTACTATAACTGCTAAATTCAAACTGTATTTAATTGTTTCCACTGGATTTATCTAAAGTCTATACAAATCAGTGATCTTTCTATATGAAGGAAAATAGCAAAAGAAGAAAAACTGAAAGAGCAGTCTTCACATTCTATTACAATAAGTTGAAAAGCTTGAGAATGAAAAAAATCTTTATTGATATTAAAATATGAAGGGATGTTGAACAGAAGAAAGAAGTGAAGAAAATAATTATTTTAAATTGAGAAATTAAATTTGCTCTAATTTTGATTCACTAGCAAATGTGGTGGTTTTTATTTGTTTGTTTGTACTTTAAAAAGGCAGGCTTATTAGTAAAAGAGAAGGAAAGTGAAGAAGTTGCCTTAACACAGGTGGACAGAGAGCTACTGCTTTGAAAGGGGAAAAAATTTTCTGCATAGACACAGGCTGGCATCTCTGGAACAAGAGCCACTAGCAAATGTTTTTAAATATAGGCAACTTATATTTCCCACTGGCCTGGTAGCTATACATTTCTATATACCCTATAGTCTACTAAAACTTGGGAGTAGGAATTATTTTTAGATTTGGATCCTACTCCTTCTTTAATATATTATATTCATAAGCCTATAACATTTATATATGTAAATATATATGCAAATATGATTTGCACTCCCATGTACTCATATATATCATATGCCATTAAAAGGTTACACTAGGCACCCCCTGGTGGCGCAGCAGGTTAAAGCACTGCACTGAGAAGCTAAAGCCACTTCCGCTTGAGTTCGAGTCCCGCCTGCCCCGGAGGTGACCACATGACGTGGCAGACCTCTCCTGACGCGCCTGCTGCTCCCCTCAGCAGTGTACCTCGTCGATCTGCCTGTTCTGCTCCCCACTCTGTTTCTGGTGAAGCCTCTTGCCACCCCTGAGCCTCGGGCCTGTAGAAACCTAAAACTGTGATACATGTAAGAGAATATTCTGAAGTGGGGTTAGAGTTTGTAATTTTTTTTTAAATGGCTATACCACTTCTTTTTAAGCTGTAAATATCTTCCTGGCTAAAGCATAATTTTAATTGAAGGGAAGAAATTATTTACAATGCATGCTCCTGCTAATAAATGTTATGGTGTATATTATTCTTTAGAGTACCAATCTGAATCGTGGCATGTGTTAAGCACTCAGATAATGGCTCCAAAGAAACATTAACTATCCTTTGAAAATTCATTTTGTCCTTCCAATAGCACAAAATATTTCCTGAATTCCACAATGACCTTTCCTTTTTCTCAACTTTTATAGCATATAAAATATATTCAAATTTTATATCATTTGATGGATTTCAAATATGTTCCTCTATTTTCTTTATATATTTCTTGTCTCCTTCACTAGCTTATGTGCTGTCACTTCACTGTGGCATCATTGTAACTAGCTTAATATACTACTATTAATTTTATTAATAATATAATTATTAACTTTATTAATAATATAGTGTTATTAGTCATATACTATTATAGTAGGTATATTAACTAATAATACTATCATTTTAGTATGATGATTATAGTATGGGTATAGTTAAAGGCTTAGTTATACATGGTTTCTGGCATTTAAAAATATTTGACTATTTGTTTATTTTAAACTTTTTCAAGGAGTAGGAATGATTTTTTTATTTGTTTAGTAAAAATTTAGCCAAATAGTTTGTTGTTCATTTGAAAGAGAAGATATTTGATAGTATTACATAAAAATGTCTTAAGGAAATGCCATTGTTGTATTAAACTGTATTTGAAAACATTGTCTAATATTGAAGCTCTGTAGTAAAAGGTTTGAAGTCATCATACATTTGCTTCCACTTAAGATCAAAGGGCAATGGTCTCTGCCTTTCATATGAAAAAAAAATTTTTTTAAAATATATGTTACTATTATGAGAGCTAACCCATATTTAGAATTTAATTTTATTTCATAAAACTTTATTATAGCTTGAAACTGCTTTTAATTGGTGACATTTCTTTTGAATAAACACAGAAGCATTGAAGACATGTAAATGCTTAATATTTTTGCCAAATTCTATACTTAAATTTTGTTTTAACACTTCCTTTCTATACAGTGGCCAGCGTTGGCTATGGGTAGGTTTAAATAAAAGAAGCCCAGATTTACAGGGATCCTGGCAATGGAGTGATCATTCACCAGTAAGTTTTAACTTTCTTATTTGGAGTAAAGTAGAAGAGCATGTGCTTCAAAAACAAGCTGTAAATTGATATAGGCATATGCCTTGTGACTATTAAAATTTAGCTCTATCTTTACTGACATGCAAATAGATTCACATATATGGAGTAAGAGGGAAAAACAAGTTGCTTAGTCCATTTTCATTTTAAAAAATATATTAGCTCTTTCTATATAGTAAAGAATTACTAAAATACAGGTATAATTGTTATCCCTAAGTATTGTAGTGATTTTTTTCTTTGTACTGTTTTCTTTTTTCATAATAAGAAGCTTTTATTTTTATTATCTAAAACATTAGCTGTATAAAAAAGCACCATTATTAAGTGAAATAATTTACTTTAAGGGAAGCATAAAAGTCCTTAAATATTATTTCAAATATTTATATCAACCTAAAAAGAAGTTTTAGAGGAACAGTTATTTTCAAATAATTTGAAATAATTTAACTCCCGCTATAAACTTAATGCAGTATTAACCCCCTCTTCTGAAACTATAGTTTGCTTTTTTGGGAAACTCGTGACATTATGGCATTTTTTAAGTCCTCTCATGATTTATCATCCTGATATTAAAAAAAAAATATTTGAAGAGATTTTCCTTTTGTGGCACATAACACACTTGAATTATGAAAGCTGCCTAAATTACATCTAAATTGCAAATATTTATACATCAGTCTTAAATTCTCAGGCCTTTCTTGTCTTTTAGGTGACTACTATTATTGGGCCAAATGAGTTTCAGCAAGATTATGATACCAGAGACTGTGGTGCTATCAAGGTCAGTACAATGCGAGAAATCTGCATTAAAAAATAAATAAATCTGGCATCCTGTGCAGTCAGGAAACATCCATTATGGGCCTTTTGTATGTGGAGTATGATATTAAGTGCAGTAGGAGGGAAGAAGTACACTTATGACCTGGCCCCCAAGGAACCTAACTTCCACTTATTTTGAGAAGATAAAACTCATATTCAAGAAAGAAGGCTCTCATTATTGAGCAGTAATAATAGTAATAAACTCCAAATGAGTGGGTTGAGGAGGGCTAATGAAACTCAGAAGAGGAAATGAGTTGTAAGGCATTTTTCCAGGGAGAGGTGAATGTGAATTGGGTGTATGGATAGAATCCATACAAGTAAGATACAACCTCATGTTAGAAGGTTTTCTAATAGGAGAATGATATAAAGAGGTGGCACAGAGTGGGAGTAGAGGGAAGGGCTAAAATGATGAGAAGAACAGAATACAGATCAAGAATTTTTAATTTGCACTGTTGGAAAAAAGTTAGGATATTATGTTGATGTCGGATTAGGGAATTTGTACATTTTTTTCGGTAGGCAACAGTACATTATTAAAAGTTTGTGACATTCAACGAGGAGGATATGAAGAAGACTGACCTTAAGAAAGATTTCAAAACACAGCAGATAGATTCAGAAGACCAACTATCTTCTTTGCAGAATTAGTTTATTTTTTCAGCCCATAGCAATATGGTCAAACAGTCTCAGATGCTCTAGGGGAAACAATAGTAACAAGATCTAAAACAGGAATTGGCTTCACAGACCTTATTGTATAGTAGGAGATAACGACAAGTAAACAAGTACTTACATGGGTGGGACAAGCAAAATACAAGGTTATGCAACAATAAGTGTGTTAAGAAAATAGTAATGAAGGGGCTGGTGGTGGTGGTAGCAGTGGTGATAGCTGAACTGTCCTCAGGTGGGCACAGTACTTGGCTTGTCACTTACATTATTGCTCTTAAGCAAACCTGTGCAGTAGGTACTGTTACCATATTCATCTTATGAGGGAGAAATTGGAGCTCTGAGTAACTTACATGATTACAGAACTGATATTTAAATCCAGATGTGGCTGGGTCCACTCTATTATTTTGACTAGGCATTCACAGAAGCAGTTGAAAGAGGTACTAGTTTATGAAGAAAATAGAATGTTTAAATTTAGATATTTTTGAATCCATACTAGTTGTAAGCACTATCCAATAGTAAGTAGAAAATGAGACTAGAATTGAAGGGGAAATGTATATTAAAGAACAAATGGCCAAAAAGTGGATTTGGGGAAATTATCATCACATAAAGTGTAAGAAAATGAGGAAAGAGGTGATCTCTAGATATTATCTTTGCGAACCCAAAAAAGAGATTCAAGATGATGGGTGACCAGAAATGCTTCAGGGAGATTGATACAAAGAACTGAGAAGTGACTGTTCTAGCACTTGACTACATCATCCCATGCCATTTTTTTTAAAGATTTATTTATTTGTACATACAGAACTGGGGTACAGGCCCGAGGCTCAGGGGTGGTGAGAGGCTTCACCAGAGACAGAGTGGGGAACAGAACAGGCAGATCTACGAAGTACACTGCTGAGGGGAGCAGCGGACAGGTCAGGAGAGGTCTGCCACGCCATGTGGTCACCTCTGGGGCAGGCGGAAATTGAACTCATGTGGAAGTGGCTTTAGTTTCTCAGTGCAGTGCTTTAACCCGCTGCGCCACCAGGGAGGGCCCCCCATGCCATTTTTATACAATTTCAAATTTAACATATGTAAAGGTGAAAACTTCAGAGGACTTTGTGAAGTTTCCAAGACATATATGTAACAAACTATCTTCTATGTAGATGGAATCTCAAGCATAAATAGATTTGAAAATCTACCACAAATTGAATAATAGAAAGACTAGTATATCCTACTAGTCAGGAATGAGGCCAGACAAGGAAGTGTTCTGGAAGAAGAATCCTATCTCACCTGCCACAGTACCCACCAGAAATTTGGCCCTGACAAAAAAAAAAAAAAGGTCCAAAAAGTGATAGTTATGCCTCATGGGTCATATACTCCCATTTCATTTCACCCCCTGCTTGCTGACTGGAATTTTTAAGGAGTCACCTTGGGCATGTAGAAGAGGGCAACATCTTAGCAATGCAGAACAACAGCAAAGAAGGAAAACAGTCTCCTGATGCCAGATTTTCACGTCTCTTTTTCACAGATCTGTGTTAATCATAGCCTGATGTTTGGAAACAACTCAACATCATGTTCATTTCTAGTTTGTTCTATCCCAAATTTAAAGATGCAAGAATCTATAGTTTTATATCAACAAAAACAGAAAAAAAAACACATTAATTTGCATTTATGTACAGCATGTCATGTACAAAAACATGATCTTATATAAGTTCCTCTCTCAGCCCCTTTGAAGGCCTTTACTGTCTAAACACTACATTTGTTCATATATTCATTCATTAAACAAATTCTTTAAGTACTATAGCTAAACTAGAAATAATGACTAGAATTTACAGTTTGGTGTTTTATAAGTGCTACATCAACTTAAAAATATTCTGTAATCCTATATCCTTCTTTAGGTCATTCAGAGGTTATGGCGAAGAAACTGGTATTTCTATGAGGACAGAGAATTTGTTTACTTAAGGCCTTTTGCTTGTGATACAAAACTTGAATGGGTGTGCCAGATTCCAAAAGGTAAGTGCTAATTACTCCTTTCACAGACTTCTTGTGTGAACATTATGAATACTGAGCCAAAAGTACCTCAGAGAAAATTATAGCCTATAATTATAATTTTAAAATCTATGAAGATGCAGTAACTATATTAAGTTCCATCCTGCCTGACTCCTTGCCCCAGTGGAAGACTGGCTTATAAAAATTTGATGGTGCCTTCTTTTGTGAAAAGATTTACGTAACAGTTCAAATTTAAGGCTAATTTAGAGAGGTTAAATCTTGGAATGGAAAATTATTTCAATTAAAATGAGAGACTTAGCAAAAGAAATTAGTTTTAATTTTGATGGGGAGTAAAAAAATGTAGATAAAATTGGGGGGAAATGTGGCAAGATTTAAGAAATCAAAATTTGTCCATTACTGTGAAATTTAGAAAGATTTTTCAATGCACTCCAAAACTTCTAGTATATAATAATTCGGGCAGTGTCTCTGGTTGGAAGCATGAATGCTGGCACTCCCACTACCTTTCAGCATCTGGTTCACACCAATGTCATTGCTTCCTGCGAGCATATCTGCAGTGGTAACATTATCTGCCTCCAACCCCGTTTGAGTGGTGAGTTGGGCCTAAGGCAACCTTAGAAATGACAAACCAGTAACCATAGGATGTATTGCAAAGAACATGTGACTCTGTTTTTCTCCCTTCAATATTTTTAAATTTTAAATAGAAGAAATTAACTTACTTAGCAAGTTGCAATTAATAAACTAAATAAACAAATCTTTGAAATTATTACACTCATCTTCTTATGCAAAAACAAATTTAAAAACTAAAGAAAGAATTTCCTGTGTCATACTATTTGCAGTCATTTGAAGCAATCAACCTATTGCTTGGTCCAGGAATTAAATGTTTCTCTAACTCCACTTTTGCAGCCCTAAATTTCCAAGTTCAATGTATTACATTCATGTGGTTATATATTTTCTGCGTTATTAGAACAGTCAAAATCTGCTAGATCAATCTGTATTAACGTGTGTTTGTTTTTAGAAGGAAATATTCTCTTCAGTCACCTGAAACACCATGCCTTCTCTAAGGCTCTTGCCTTTTTTATTACCTGATCCAACCAGTTTTATTAAATCCCTTCTCTAAGAAGGATATTTTGATAGCCTAAAACTTTAAGTAGCCCATATCTTTTATAGATAGTTGTAATTTTTAATTTTTTAACTGTAGATAATAAATAAGACCCATAAAAATGTTTTTAGAAATTTATGTTTTAGGAAAATACCTGTAACAATCCAACCCAAACAACAAACTTTTAAACATACTACTTCTTGATGCCTTCTCTACAATTAATATTCTTGTTTAAAAATAAAACAACTTACATTCTGCTTTCCCACTGATTTAAAGAAATTTAATGACCCCCAATACCCAAATAAGTTTGACAAGATAATGATGAAGTTAAGATTTGGGAATATAGTGAGTGAGGTTCTTGGCTTCCTTCTGAGAAAGGGTTCAGCAAAGTTTCCTACACAGTGACACACAACAAGTTTACTAACAATCATAACATGAAAAAAAAATTTTGGGCCAGAAATGGACATCTCAGCAATATTGTAAGCCCTTTTGAATTACACTAAATGTTCCACTTAAAGTATGTTGTGATCTGTAAATGGATACTAAGCTTATTGCTTTCTTCCTCATACAGGCCGTATGCCCAAAACACCAGACTGGTACAATCCAGGTAAGTAAAAACAGAAACTAAAATTTAGACAAAGCTGGTTTTACCTTTTTAAGAATGTATTTAATTTTTTTTTTTTTAGACTAGACGTCACAGCCAGCTTCTCTTTTTTACATCCCAAGTAAGATGAAATATAGCTAGGCAGGAAAGGTGATTGGCTGGTTTGGGAAGGGGTTATGACTGGATTTGTCCTTCTCTATGTATAGAGGGGTGGTAGAGTCACTCACTGGCTCAAAAACCCTTGGTTCCTTCCAGGCAACTCTGTCCTGGCCAGAGAGAATCTATAACCCAAATGAATTATTACTTAACAATAGTTCTGAACATTAACTCATGCTTAGAGGGAGTGATTTAGTTTGTGCAGACATAACTCTGATACTCTTTTTCTTCTTTAGAGCGTGCTGGAATTCATGGATCTCCAGTGATAGTAGAAGGGAGTGAATATTGGTTTGTTACTGATCTTCACTTAAACTATGAAGAAGCTGTCCTGTATTGTGCTAGCAATCACAGTTCTCTGGCTACTTTAACATCTCTTTCAGGACTAAGAGCCATCAAAACCAAAATAGCAGAAGTAATTTAAACCTATGTATTTTAAAACATTTTTCTATTTTTCTATTTATTTCAAATATCTTCCCAAATTTACGAAAGTTAACTCTAAAATAAGAGTTGCCTAACAACATTTAAATTCATTGATTCATGTTAGAATCAATATTAAATATAATTGCTTAATATTTTAGAGTATTCAAATTAATTATGTCTATTTATAAAATGAGCATCCCTAGATAATATAAATTATTCTAATTCCTTATCACATATTTTTCTAAAAGTTAACTTTATAGTTGACCGAATTTATTTCTATTATTATTCTGCATTTAGAAGATATGATTGCTGTAATGTGAGCACAGAAACTAGACATGTAGTTTCCTAATGTAACTTATGATAAATTTAAAAAGACAATTTTTTTTCCAAAAATGTGATTTTGTAAGACTGTTAATAATAATTTCCATTTCTATTAATTATAATTTCTCTTTTTAAAAATCTGTTTATTTATGCATATAGAACTGAGGTACAGGCCAGAGATGCAGGGGCAGTGAGAGGATTCACCAGAAACAAAGTAGGGAGTACAACAGGCAGATTGTCGAAGTACACTGCTGAGGGGAGCAATGGACGAGACAGGATATTAATTATAATTTCTATTAATAGCCTTACAAAATCACATTTTGGAAAAAAAAAGTCTCTTTAAATTTACAAAGAGTTACATTATGACACGATATGTCTAGTTACTGTGCTCATATTACAGCAACCATATCTTCTACATACAGAATAGAACCTATGAGTATACAAAGAGTTTTCTCTTTTTGATAAAAGGGCCTGGTTTGTGTAATGACCAAAAAATGGAATGTCTGATACTTTAGTGGTGTGTTTTAGGAAAGGGTGTTTAAATCAAAATTCTCCTAGAAAGCTGGCACATGTAAGAATGGGTATTTGGTTTGTTTTTCAGATTGCTGGTGATGAACAGAAGTGGTGGGTGAGAACTTTTGAGCACCCAATAATAGATCATCATCCCTTCCAGTATGTAACGTCAACTGATGCTCTTTGTAAAGCTAGCATTTAAAAGAAGCAGTTATAAATTCCCTTTTACTAAATGGATTACTATTTATACTTAGTCTTAAACATTAACCTATAAACTGCCTGTAGTAATCTAATCCTTTTGCATGTTAGCATCCAGGAGAAATTGGTATAGAATGACCTAACATTAAATTTAGAATTATAATTACAAATGAAAGCAGAGTGGAGCGTGTAACTATGAGTTGTCAAATCTCATTCTCTTTCAGCTCACGATACTATTGGCATCGCTTTCCTATGACATTTGGAGAGGAATGTGTGTACATGTCTGTCAAGTCCTGGTTTAGCGGTAAAGTTAACTCCAAATCCTTTAATGTTGATTATCTAACATATGAATTTCAAATTCAATTAATAGCTTACTCTTGATTTCCTTTTGATTGTGTGTTTTGTAGCTTCATTTTATTCTATATTGCTAATGATAATTACTCATATCCCAAATACAAATAAAGGTGCTTTTCACTGTGAATAATTTTTTACTTATTTTATCCCCAGGTGGTTGTTTGGAAAGAAATTTACCATTTTCATAATTCATAAGTACAGAGACAGATTTATAAAGATAGATAATAGTTCAGAATATAGTTTAGTGCCCTTTTCCCCTCATTAAACTTCACTCAATTCTCTTGCCATTAGGAACCATGGTCATTACTACAAATGTGCTGTTTCATAAGCAATATTATAGATATGTTATAATCCATTGATATGAATGAAATTGAAGACAAAAATGACTGGGAATAAAAGGGAAAATATTTTAACCATTTGGGAAAGATTGACTTCATTTCTTTACCATGGGATTTTCATAATGACCTCCCTAGAAAATTCTCACTACAGTAATCCTGTTTTTCATTTCTCAGATTTAAATAAACCAGCTGACTGTTATATCAAGTTGCCCTTCATATGTGAAAAGCATAATGTATCTTCATTAGAGAAATACAGTCCAGATTCTGCAGCCAAAGTACAATGCTCTGGGGAATGGATTCCTTTTCAGAATAAGGTAAGAAGACAGTTGCTGCAATGTGCAAATGATGATTGCTTTCATGATGGTTTTATGGTCTGTGACAGAATGGCAATACATCAGATAACTTTACTAAGATAGCTTCTGCACATTTCTGTATGGGACCTGATACTCTACATTGCCAGAAACCAAGTTAACTCTCCTAGTCATGCATACATATCTTTCAGAGTACTGTGTTCCTTTCCTGTTGCTACTCACACTTAAGTTGATGTTTCAGTAAGTAGGAATACCCATTAATAGTCAGAACTATCTCTATGGCATGTGGTAAACTCATTTAATTTCTGGCTCATAGATATTCCCTCTTCAGGAATACAACCAAACAGCATCTACCAAACAAATTAGACCAGCATTTTCTAACTACTTTATGGGAATTATAAATATGCTTACAAAATGTTAAACATTAATCTTGCTTCCAAAGGGGGAATTATGAGTAAATAGGTGTGGAAAAGAGATAGCTGCCTCTTTGAGAGATATAATCCACAGCAGTATGTGTATCTCTTAGGGAATGCATTTGGCTGTTAAAAAGAGATTACTGCCAATTTTGTAATAAATAAAATTAAAAAAAAAAGAGATTACTGCCCTATATTTTAAAACATTTATCCTCTTCTATAAAAGAAGTTTGCAGGTAATCAGACTGGAATTATTATAGAAGCTCCAAGAAGTTTTCAAAATTTGGCTCTTTCTATCATTCAATTCCGCCACTCTTAATATAAGGCTTACAACTTTAGGTTTGCCTTACTGTATTTTCTAGAAGCTACCTAATGGCAAATACTGCTTTGTCCTTCCAGTGTGTAAGGAGACTGAAAAAATTTTGTAGACTGTTTCAAGGAAGACAATATGGTACATACTAAACTAATGTGGTCCATGTTACAACATGGATGAGACATGGAAACATTATGCTAAGTGATTAAATCAGTCCTAAGAAGGTCTATTGATTCCACATATATATGGGCTTTGAGTATATATCAGGATGGATGATGGCAATGGTAGTGCAATGTTGTAAATATATTTAATATCTAAATATATGTGTAAGTATATTTAATATTTAAATATATGTGTAAATTTATATGTATTTGACCACACTAAAATTTAGGGGGAAACTAAAAAAAATAAAAGAAAGGAAGAGATGAGTCTGATAGATGAAAACTTCTTTGCCAAAACAAGACACTTGTCTTTTTTTTCCTTCAAAGGTATTGTAGGCTAAATTAATTTACCTAGTTGATATAAATTTGAATTAAAATACTCTGCTAAGAAAAAGGGATATATTTTCTTTTAAAATGAGGTGTTTTTGTTTTTTGGTTTTTTAATTTAAGGAGTTGATGATTAGAGTACAGACTTTGAAATCAGATGGAACAGTGTCTAAAGGCTGACCATACCACTGTATGGTTGTTTGATTTATGGGTGAGATTACTGAATTTTCTGTGCATAACTATCTCCATTTGTTGTGAAAAGTAAATGAGATAATACTATGCACACTCTTTTAACACTCAGTAAGTGGGAGACTTAAAAAATGATCTGGAGAACATTCTTCAGTTGTTTATATCAAGAGTATGAATGTATTCCTATGGTACTACTTTGTAAATTTCTCTGCTTCACAGGCCAAAAAATTAGCAACCCTCTAAAAGATGTAACTCTCCCATGTTGGAATCTTATACTTCTTTTGTGGTTTTTGTTTGCAGTGTTTCCGAAAGGTGAAATCCAGGTCTCTCACATTTTCCCAAGCAAAAGAAGTTTGTATGTCTTATGGTGGAACTCTTCCTTCAGTGCTGAGCCAGAGAGAACAAGGTAGGTAAAAGATTATCTTTATAGATAAACAAATATTATTCATTGATATTTTTAGTAGGTTTTTAATTGAATAAATCCTATTTTTTTAATATTTCATTCTGACAGATTTTATTACATACTTACTTCTGAATACAAATGATACTGTATGGATTGGTTTGCGCTGGACTGCCTCTGAGAAAATAAACAAATGGACAGATAACAGAGAGCTGACATATAATAACTTCCACCCATTATTGGTTGGTCGAAGGCTAAGAATGCCAACAAATGTAAGTTTTTACATATAACCCACATGTAAAACAAAACAATATAATCTATATAGCTCTGTGATACCCCTGAGATTTTTATAAATCATTAGACTAAGAACAAAGGCCTATAATATGAGTCCATTTATATGAACCATTCAGAATAGGCAAATTGAAAGGTAAAAAGTAGATTAGTGGTTGCCAGAGAAGAGGGAGGTTGGAGATATAGGAGGTGATATCTGGGGAGCATAGAGTTTCTTTTTGGAGTGGTAAAAAATGTTCTAAAATTGGGGGTGATAGTTGCACAACTATGTGAATATTCTAGAAGTTATAGAATATTTACTTTTTTCATTTCCTTAATATGTCTGTTTACATTATTGTCCACTTTAAAACAATGTTTACATCCCCCACTTCACCCACCCATCATCACCATAGTCCCCCACATTCCTCCCTTCTAATGATCCCTCTCTGTCCCCATCCCCATAGGATATCTCTGGTATAATTATAAATTATAAAATTGTCTGTTTTTGTTTTGTTGTGTTGCGTTTTATATTGTAATAACAATACACTTTTTTTTCCTGCATGTCTTAATTTGGTTCTCTTACACTTCCCCTACAAGTGAAACCTTATTCAATATTTTTCTTTTTCCTTCTGACTTATTTCACTGAGCATAATCCCTTCCATATTGCTGCAAATGGCATGAGTTTATCTTTTTTGATTGCTGAGTAGTTTTCCATTGTATATATGCACCACATAATCCAATCACTGTGGAAAGTTGTATGGAGAGTCCTTAGACTACTAAAAATGGAGTTTATGACCCAGCAATTCCATTCCTAGAGATCTACTCAAAGGGCACAGAAAACATTAATTCAAAAGGATATATGCACCCCTATGTTTATTACAGCACTACTTACAATAGTAAACCCTGGAAACAACCCAAATGCTCAAAACTAGAATATGTATTTTAAATGAATGAATTGAGCCATATATGAATTTTGAGCCATATATGAATTTTTTACTCAGCAAGACCATCATAGGAACAACAGGACTTCAACCAGTCTTTAGGTAGATTCTCTAATTTTTCACTGTAACATAATTATTACTTTCATAATTATGTAAGACCATCATTGTGAATTTGTATTTTGCAAATGAGCACAAATACACTTGCTTATTTAACATTTTGAGATTTGGGACTGTTAGCCTCTGTCTCCCGAGGCAAAGAAAACAAAAAAATTAGTGATCACTTTTTTCCTAAGAACTAAGTGCAAAACTATAGTTGGGAAGATGGTATTACATTAACAATGATAATCCTATACCATGACATTTCTGCCCACTACTTCTGTCCTCCCTATTTGCTGAATATGAGCCACCTTACTTCACAAAGGGCAAAGATTAAAAAATTAACATTAAAGTCAAATCACAAAATATGTCCTACAGCAATCAATTGCACTCCTGATACAGTGTTATTTTGCTTAAGGTTTATGTTGGTGGCAAAGGTAATACTGAATTGTATGTAATTATGTACAAAGTGAATATAAAAGCAATATTTGAAATAGAAAAACTTGGACATTTAGGTTCTTTCCAGGTTTACACAGTCCTAACTAGTGATGCAATTAACATCTTTGTGCATGGCCTTTGATTACATTTTAGGTTAACTCTTTGAAAGACAGTGGAAATTATATAGCAAGATCAAAGGATGTAAGTAGTTGTAAAGCACTGGTTACTAAATTGTCTTCCAGAAGGTGTTGTTATCTGTTAACAGCATGTTGTGATGTCCCCTTTATCCACACTAGCATGTTAATAATTTCTAACATTGAATAGTTAATGGGTCAGACACTCTGCTATCGTATCACATGCATATTTCATTTAATCTGCACAATAGATGTAAAATAGTTCTTACTCCTCCCTAACCTAGAAATGCAGATACAGAAAGTCATATAACTTGCCAGCAATTAATTGTGAAGCTTCTCTGTATAGAATTCATGTTTAAATTAGGTCCAAGATCCTGCAGAACCCTTGTTCTTAGCTTCTGTACTAAGTCACCTCAAAGGCGCATCATCTTTTAAAAATTCATGCTAGTTTTATAGTTTAAATGATTTCATCTTTTCATTTATAGTTCTCTGGTTTCTAATGAAAACAAACTTCCATAAATTACATAACAATTTGTATTTCAACAGATGTGAATATTCTTATGCTTTGCCAGCTTATCAAAGCTTTTATGTATCTTACTGACTCTATGACTGTAAATATTAAATGTGCTGACCCTGTGTTTCTTATGTTTGTTGTAAATATTTTCCATGGATTTTTTTTTTTTAGTTCATTCTGGATGCCAAAAATATTACAGAAATAAGTTTTATTTTGGGAGTGTATCTTCAAATCCACTTATTTTTTTTCCTCCTTTACTTTAAGTTAGAAAGTCTATCATGTAAATATTAAATATATGCCTATATTTTATTCATTTTGCTTTTATAGGTTACCTTTTTCTCCCCGAGATGGAATATGGTTTATGTTGTAATGAATATTCAGTCTTTTTCCCCTGATTAGCCCATTGTATAGTACCATTATTGCATATATTTCCATTTGTTAAAAGCAATATAGGATATGTACTTTGTCACATGTATGTATGTATGTATGTGTGTGTGTGTGTGAGAGAGAGAGAAAGAGAGAGAGATGCCCCTATATGTAATTACCACAATAGCCTAAATAGTATAATTTCACAATGTTTTTAAAAGTGTTAGTTATGCTTTATTGTATGCCTTTTTTAAATGTTTTTATTCTTGTGCATTTTTTTCTAGACAAAATTTAAAATTGTGTAGTAAATTTTCAACCATAACAATTACATATATGACTTCTATGTGGATTTGACACTTTAGATGAATTGGACATCTTTTTTAATTTCCAGTTTAAGAATATAAATTTGGTAACATGGCTTAATTTATTCAAATCTTCCTTTAGACCTTTCTGTGATATTTTTATAGGGTTTCTGAAATTAAATGCTCCTTTCTCATGCTTTGGATATTATTAGGATTTCCTAGTGCTTTCATAGCTAGCTCCATCAGGAATTTTTTTTTTACAGGAGAGAAACCCAATTTCTTAAACAAAGTTCCCTTTCTAGGATCTTTCAACTATTAGTTTCATGATTGTTCCTACGTATTTACCTTTTTTTTTTTTTTTTTTTAGTTTTTTGAGGAAGATTCCCACTACCACTGTGCTCTACTAATCAACCTCCAAAAGTCACCTTTTACTGGGACATGGAATTTTACTTCCTGTAGTGAAAGTCACACTCTGTCTCTCTGTCAAAAATATTCAGGTATGGTTTAGTATGTAAATAACTGTGGTATTTATGCTATCACCTATATTGATTACTTTTTCATAAACATAAATGAATTACTATTAATGTATAATTACGTAGCTTCCTTAAAATTTCAATTTTGCTAGATCTTAATTTTCTTAGGTTATTTTAAACGGAATGATTTGTTTCAAGTATCATTGCCATATTTAATTAAATATCAAAATTAAGTTACAAATGAAGTTTAACAAATGGAAATAGTTTAATAGTTTAATAAGAGGAAGAGGAGCTGTCTAATGATAGAAAGTTAACATTGAATCTTGTCTTCCTTTCTACTCTGGCATTTTTCAAATTTCTGTTTTGGGGAAAAGAGAAAAAAGCACTTAATGTCTTCAGTTGAGTCCAGGATGGGCATTCACCATTAAATTTAGCACCAAATAAGAATTGGATGCATTATAAAAGGATCTCTCTTTATGCATTCTATAATCCAAATAAAAATGACCATATTCATAAAGAGATATTTTTAAGAAAGGTATGAAATTGTTTTCATTGATCACAGTGACTCTTTAACAAATGTGTAATTTAAATTTTATCGTGTAGTGAAAACTTCAGATTTCCCATGTACTTTTCAAGAACTTTTTTTACTAAATTAATTTTTGCTCATGTGTCTCACTTCTTGTAACTTCCTTATTCAGAGAAGTACCATAAAGCCATAATTCAAATACAGTTTATATCTCGTGGGTGGTTTATATACTTTTGGTGAGCGCATTCTTGATGAAAAATTTGTGAAGAAACTCCTAGTATCTTTTCCTACTGAAACGTTCCTAACAAAGGAGGTATTTGACACCTACCTGAAAAAGCATTCTCACTACAGCTATTTACAGCTTTTGGCCTTACTAAATCACAACAGATCTTTGTTCTAATTTTAGAAAGCAAATATGTGGTACATACATTGTGCCGAAGGTATGCCAAAAAACATACCAAGTTAAACATCTAAAATGCATAAATAGATAATTAATACTATAATTTGATTCAGATAGGGAGAAATTTGGGGAAATATCCCATGACATGCAGTGTGGGTAGTCTTTGTTTTTATTTTTCTTTTGTACATAGAAATTGAAGCCACCCAGACCTTGCAGAACACTTCAGAAACTGTAAAGTACAAAAATAACCTGTACAAAATAATCATGAAGAATCTGAGTTGGTTTGATGCTCTAGTGGAGTGTCAGAAAGAAAACATGCACTTGGTGAGCATCACAGACCCTTTCCAGCAGGCGTTCCTCACTGTGCAGGCGGTCCTTCGAAATGCTTCCTTATGGATTGGGCTCTCCAGTCAAGATGTAAGTGTTCAGTGCCAGCTTCCAGAACTGAGTGATAGAATGTGTCATTTTTTATTGTTCCTAGCCTTCATCATAACAGATTAAAAGAGAAGGAAGGCTGTAAAATCTTACTTCAGTGAATGGATTTTCATAAAGTAATTTTTAGAGACTGTCATCCTTGCACTTTTACAAGATCTAGTGTTTTATTGTTTGAGATGAAGTTCTAATGAACATGTAGTTGAACAGTTTTTTTAAATTCTTACCAACATTGTTTGTAATGAGGAGCAGCTGTATCTATTCAGCTAATGGAAAGAGAGGAAGGTAGAATTAAAAACTCAGATGGGGTTAGATTTGGGGGAGCATGTGGATGGTATTAAAGAGTTCTTTTCATCCCTTTCAGAATCAGTAGAGTGAAATTAAACCACATGAAAAGGAGTTAGTGTTTCTCCATATCTCAAACCCAAATTCCAGATGTCTTGAGTACTTCTCATTCATTGTACAGCCCAGAAAGAATGCTAGTCTCCTATTAATTCCAGCACTAAATTATGTGCATGTATAAGTATTCCCAACAAGAGTTATATAAAATGCTACTGAAGTGCTTGGCCATAATTAGAGAAAAGTTTTGGGCTTTTTAGATTTATTTATTTATACATACAGGAACTGGGGTATAGGCCAGAGGTATGTGGGTGAGAGGATTCACCAGAGTGGGGAGCAGTGGGGAGCAGAACAAACAGACTGAAGAATTACACTGCTGAGGCAAGCATCGAGCAGGTCAAAAGAGGACTGCCACACCATGTGGGTCACCTCCCTCCACAGGAATCAAACTCATGCTGTAGGGGCCTCAGATAGCTTCATAAACTATGCTTTAGCCAGATGTGTCACAAGGGAGGGCCCAAGAAAAGTGTTTTGCTTTGTTTTGTTTTGTTTTGTTTTGTTTTGTTTTGTTTTGTTTTGTTTTGTTTTAATAAAACTACAGAATTTCTCTCAATGTTACAGGCTATTTTTTGTCTTTTTCTAGGCTTTCTGTATAATTTGATACTCTGCCCACTGTGAGTTAGGTGAGACAGGCCGGTGTGTAAGGCAATCTGTGTTATATACTGTCGTGGGAGGGGAGGCAATTACAAAGATTGTGATGTGACCTCTGATCCCTGTCTCTGTGCAGTGCATTATGGGTAATGCCCTAGTTACATAAATATTACCTACACCAGTGTTCCTAACCACTCAGAGAAAGGATAATTAGCAGAGAAGAGTCACTGCATTTTGCAGCAAATCTAAGTATACTATAAGATAACCTTCAAGACTAAGATAGTTCTTGGGTGGCATGGAGAAAATGTGATTAAGGACTATTTGTTACCACGAGCATTTACCAAAAGCTCAATTTAAAAAGTAGCATTTATAAACTGCTTGAGAATAATCACTTTAAGACTACATATTCTAAGATATATCCTCAGATAAAAAGGCAGATCATCAATTTACCCAGGATTAACTTCCTAGATATTAGCTACTTACCCAGTATCAACTCTTTCATAACATTGCCTTTTTTTCTCTTTGGTGTTTGGTACTATGTGAGCCCTATCTTGTGTCTTTTATGATCTATCTTATGTCTGTGAGGGTGGCCATAAGTTATTACATTTCCCAATTAAACCTTTTGAAACAAAAACAAGGCTATCACTGTAGAAAATAGATTAAAAAAAAAGAAAACAAAATCACATATTGTCCTAGTACTGATATAGTTTAGTAATTTCACATATATTATTCAAACTATATTTCTTTGGATGTGCTTTTATATTTAAGATAATTAGAATCATGCTAGTATAACATTTTCCCCAACTTAATGATTTTATTTCTTATTTCATTTCAATATTCTCCTGTTTCTCTTTTTTCTAACATTTTTTGGCATATTCTATGCAGTTGTTTATTATGTACTCTCATTAATTGCCTTAAATGTTAGAACAGAGCCTTCTTAGTTGGCGTAGGGGTTAAATCTCAGCACCATCACCACCACAGCCGGGGCTCAAGTCCCATCAAGGGAGCTAACCTGCATGTGGTATGGCAGAACTTTCCTGTCTCCCTTAACAGTGTATTTCAATAAATCTGCCTGTTCTGCTCCCCATTCTGTCTCTGATGAATCCTCTCACACCCCCCCCCAAATCTCTAGCTTACACCCTAGTTCTTCTACCAAATAAATAAATTACTATTTTTAAAAATCTTATAATGTATAAAAATCTTTTTCAATGTATGAATAAGTAAATAAAACTACTTTGAAGTAATGGGGAGGTCTTGGAAGACTTTAAGCAGTAGCAATATCATATTTTTCCTTAAGAAAAATTATAATGGGGTTGGGTGAGGGAAGAAATGAGCAACCTACAGACAGAAGGCCAATTAGCTTCTTTTCAATATTCATGCAAGAAACTATGTTGCTCAGAACTGTGCTTTACAGTGTCTAAAGTACAGCAATTCTGAGTGATACAGGTCCAGAGTATGGCTGTGACTGTGGGTCACTCAAGTATGTAGAAGTGAAAGTACAAAGACGTAAAGGAAGTCAAGAAGACTTGAGTACTGGATGAGTCATCCTCAGGAACACAGACAACCCTAAGTCAATGATAGGATTAGGAAAATAGAGTAGAGGGGTGGGAGTGCACTGGACTATGGTGATGGCACACACGTGATTTGGTGATGGGAAGCCCACGGGGATTACACTGAGATGGAATGAGGCACAAAATGATGTAAAAATAAACTATTTTATTATTATTAAAAAATAGTTCTCATTCCACCTAAGCTTTCTGATATCTGGCAACCAACATTTCTTATTATGTGTGACACAGTGTAAAGAATGACTCCAAATATGGACTCTAGGTTAGAATATCAGCACTGCAGTTTATATTCTATGTAACTTTATACATTTAACATGCCTTCAATTTCCTCAGCTGCAAATGAGTATAATAATAGTAATTGTCTCATATGGTTAATGCATGGCTTAGATAGCTTAATATTTATAAGGCTCTAAGAACAGGCATGAAGCATAGTAATGCTGCATACATGTCTTTAAAGATGTGTTAAGATGAAATAAAAAAAAATATTGACCATGGGTGTCAAAATAATACATAGGGGATAACATAAAATATTATCACCTGAAATGTATTTCTGCCCCTTAGGATGAACTCAACTTTGGCTGGTCAGATGGAAAATACCTTCAATTTACTCGCTGGGCAGAAAATAATGAGCAACTTGAAGCCTGTGTAATATTAGATACTGATGGATTCTGGAAAACATTTGATTGTAATGATAATCAACCAGGTGCTATTTGCTACTATCCAGGAAGTATGCTAATTTTATTTATTTTAATTCTTAAATAACTGTTGGTCTCATGAATAGGAAAATGTGGGGATTTTGTAACATCTGGTTTTAAAATTGTAAAGAAACCATAACACTTTTTATGAGATTTGTGAAACTGTATTCAAGTAGCATTATTATATATTAAAAATCTTGTCATTACTTTGTTATTTTTAGACTTTTTTTATCTTTATTTTTCTGTTAGCTGACAATGGTAATTAACATTGATATAATTTTAAGTCCCTGTTAGTCTCAGTTTCTATATAAGCATATTTATATTTTTATAGAATGCTTGTATTTGTGGGAATTCTTTCATAATTCTTAACAACTGATATTGCTTTTATGAGCCACTTTTTTTTTTTGCAAGGAACAGCCCTCTACTCAGACTCACATAACCTTAAAGAGAAATTTAAGTCCTCAAAATTGGGGCTAGAGCCAAACCTCAAGAAGAATCGGAGTCAGGAACTTAAGGGGACTCAAGAATCAAAGTTACCTCTCTTCATCTCTCCCCTCTGTTTCTATCTGTGGAACTGCATTCTTTTGTCAATGTACTTTCTACTTCTCACTGCATGTGGTAAAAAGTGGTGGCTCTGAATCTGTTAGTTCATCTCCAAAACTGGAGATGAACTGACTATCTCAGAAATCCATATTTCATATTTTAAGAATCTAATGGATTCAGCTTAAATCAGATGTTCAAAGGACACTTGTTTTACAATAGAGAGGAGTCCTATTTGTGGGATACTGGTAAAAAGATGACATTACTTCACAAAGGGTAAGCTGGGAAAGATTCAGAGTAGTCTCTACTAAATGTCAAATCAGTTTTATTTGCTTTAAATATAACTTAACAATATTTTGCTTTGTTAAGGTGGAAAAAGACATAATTAGATTTTCTGGATGTCATATTTTAGATTATTTTTGTCTGCTTTGGTAAAGCAATAAATTATTTAGAAGATCCAATTTTCATTAAAATGTTCCTTTAGCCCACTCCCTAATGGCACAATGAGTTAAAGTGCAGCACTATGATGCTCTCTACAGCCACTGTAGCAGGAGCTCAATCCCCTGCCAGGGAAGTGACCCACATGGTGTGGCAGACCTCTCCTGACCCACTCTCTGCTCCCCTCAGCAGTGTGTACATCAGTACTGTGTACATCACTGTGTACAGCAGTACATCTGCCTGTTCTGCTCCCTATTCTGTCTCTGGTGAATCCTCTCACCCCCACACCTTTTGCCTGTATCCTACTTCTTGTATGCATAAATTAAAAAATGATAATAAATCTTTTTAAAAAAATGTTCCTTTAAAGTTAGAGATCAGTAAGCAAAATTTTTGAAGATGAATTTTCAAGGTGATAGATGGCTGATTTGAATATATTTGTATAGTTTCTTGGAAGTGGCCTCTCGTATTTGACATTTGGTAATTCAGGAAGACAGAAACTGCATTTAACCTAATAGCACTTCATTTTTACATTCTTTCACTCTCTCCACAGCAGGGGAAATAATTGGGTTAATTTCCTTGCTACAGAAAGCCTGTTAAGAGGTCACACTATTTTTTAATATAAACAGAAGGACCATTACCAAGCTATTATTTCTTGACTTCCTGGATATTTACTACAAATCATATCTAATTACTATGAACAGGATTTAACATTTATACTTGAAATAAGAATTCTTACCATTATTTTTCTAGATGAGACTGAAAAAGTGGCCAAACCAGTTGGCAATGTTCAATGTCCATCTCCTGTTCTAAATACTCCATGGATACCATTTCAGAACTGTTGCTACAATTTCATGATAGCAAAGAATAGACATGCTCCAGTAACTAAAGATGAAGTTCATAATCAGTGTCAAAAACTGAGTAAGTATACTATATCGCCAATATATATTGTGTAATACTCATGTTTTAAAAAACCTCACCTGAGTGTTATAATTATTTTTAACACTGATAACTAGATCTCCTAATTTCTACATTGTTGATGACAACATTATAAATTTATATTTAGTTAAAATAGAAAATTTAGTAGTAACTTATTTCTTTACCTTTTCATTACAGAACTAGTCTATTTCTGCCTATATAAACAAATTGGATTCTACTGTAAAAGAAAACGCAATGACAGTAGAGAAAAGGGTGTTAATCTATGAACAAAGAGAAAATAGGTTTTTGAGTAGTCAATAAGAGAGAGAAATTGCAAAGAAGCAATTCTGCTTTAAAGAAATCTGTATTTTACATTTCAGCTCCCAAGATTCTGCAGATATTTTCTGTGAAACAACTGAGGACTTAGAACTCTCAACAATGAACCTATGAATTTGGTGGAAAATTCCTACAGAAAATATTAAAACATTGTTCCCCAAAGGGAGATTCATAGAATACTAGCTTTAAGAGATGTTCAACACAAAAGGACACTTAAAAAAATGACAGTTTAGAAACACCATTGTGTTTCCTATAAGACGATAAGATATCACAATATAACTGAGGTAGTTTAACCTCATTTAACTAATATTTCAAAATTTTTATTCATGTAGCCTTTTTCTGAGGAATTCCTGTAAATTATTTTAGTAACACATTTTGGGAAATTTAAACATTGTAAATCCCAATATAAGACTGATCTTTATGCAAAGGGAAGCTCTATCTTATAACTCATCCAAGAATTTTTAATTATTATAGTCTTTGACAATATATCGTTAGTATAGATGGATTTGCACCAATTCAAAATAAGCCTTAAGTGGAAAAAGTTAAATTAATCAATGTTTTAAATTCTCATTTACCAGCTTTCTCACTATTCTATAAGACCAAGCTCAATGTTTGAAAATGCTTTAGCTTATTTAATTTAATACAAGATAGTTTTAATTTGTATGTCATTCTTATTTTCCACCATTTAAATTTTGGAGTATATTTAACTGGAGGGAGATGGAATTTTCTAAATTATCAAACAAAATAAAGCAGTATAGATAATTGTTTAAATATTGACTAATTTTTTTATTCAACAGATCCAAAATCACGTATTCTGAGCATTCGAGATGAAAGAGAGAATAACTTTGTTCTTGAGCAACTTCTATACTTCAATTATATGGCTTCATGGGTTATGTTAGGTGTAACTTATAAAAGTAAGTTATAAATCTGCTTACTTTGTATTCATACTTTTTTATGAACTATTTATGTTTCAAGCTATGTATTTCTTCAAAATATGTGCTTACCACTGCACTATATTTTAATTATGCACTGACCATAACATGTTAATGCCAACACAATTTCTGTTTCTTTGCTCTGCCATTTGTGTGCCTTCACACCAAACTGAGAGTTAAATGGTAGAAAATAATTTCTATCGTCTCTCCTTGCAACTCAAGACTAAAACCAATTGCTCTCCCAATACACATCTCTAATATTTACTTTATGTCTACTTTGTACTTGGAATGGAAACAGAATTACACTACTACTAATATTGTTTTGGCTTTCTAGCATTGGTTTGGAGTATACATTTAAGTATTGAGGTACATATTTTGACAATAGGATAAGATACTTAAAATTAGGACTGGCTACAACAAATCAAAGACACAATTATCATGGAAGTTTTAACATAGAGTATCTAATAATAAAGGAAATATGACCAACTTGGAAAGATACTCAATTAGAAATGCCCTGAAAATCATAAAAATTTTGGGGTTAGAAAAAACAAAATCATTCATTGGGCATGAAGTATTAAAATCAAATGTTTACCAAAAAGGGGCCTTCATAAGGAATACAGAACAATGATATGTCACAGGTAGGAAAAGAGCTAAATTACTCAAATCTGATCATTTTAAAAGTAGTCTTCTTTTTGTAGTCTAACTCATTTCTTAGAATTGCTAAAGTTTTTCTTAAATGTTTGTGGTTTCCAGGTGAGTTGATAAAATTTTATCACTCAAGCAATAGATAAGACTGAGGTTGTCAGGTGAAGATGAATTCATCATAATAGGAATTAGTTCCCCAAGTCTTTTCTCCAGTGACACTTCAGTGGACAACCCAATGACACTTAAATTTAGCAGTGGAAAAAAAAAAATGGAGAGAAACTAGTTGGAAATTTCCTGCGTTTTACCTGAAAAAAAATAAATGAAAGAACAGTGGTTCTTTATGGAGCAGTGGAGATGATATTCCAGATACAGTTAGAGATTTAAATTGTACCCTCTGATGTACTTTAAAGTTATACTATCAGAAACAACTGAAATTGTATTCTACATGATGGAAAGCATTTTCAGATCTGTGAACTTACTTGTAATTATCTCAACTTTTATAAAATGTGTAAGAACAATTTCAATTAAAATATGCAAATATGAGCAATATGGAGTTTAAATCTAATTCTCACTAAATTAATTTACATCTATATATTTTTGTTACTTCAGTATGCTGAAATAATGTGTTATATATATATATGTATGTATATATGTGTGTGTGTATATATATATATATATGTATATATATATATATATATATATATATATATATATATCACCTACACAAAAGACTTTGGTATTTTGTCTTTTTTAAATTCTGGCTTTTCAAAAGTAGGGCCATGATAGAAATGACTACAAAGAAACCACAATATGTCAACTATAAGACATTTCAAGCCAACTGAAAAAAGTGGCCCTTTTTTATAGCACTGAAGAAATATACCATTTCACATCATATTAGTCAGAAAATTAGTAACTGATATTTGGGAAGAGGAAGAGAAAAGCTGGGAGATATCAAATGATAGAAAGCAACAGGAAAGAACCAAACCATTGTACAGTATTTGTAATGTGTCACTGCTGCAGGCAGATGGTCAGGCATATGTCTTAGGAGATGGTAAATCAGTGCAAAGGACAAATGTGTTAGAAATAATGAGCAACTCTTCATATGAATTTATAATTTTAAGAAAGCTGGTAACATTTTCTGCAAAGTTTTATTAAGATATATTTACATACATTTCACCCATTTATTATGTACAATGTTATGATTTTTAATATGGTTACTGAGCTGCTCAATCATTACTACCACAAAAGAAAACACTATACCCATTAGCAGTCCCTCTTTATTTTTTATTTTTTTTTTTTAAAGGATTTATTTATTTATTCATACGGAACTGGGGTACAGGCCAGAGATGTGGAGGGTGAGAGGATTCACCAGAGACAGAGAGGGTAGCAGAACAGGCAGAGCAACGAAGTACACTGCTGAGGGGAGCAGCGGGCGGGTCAGGAGAGGTCTGCCTCGCCATGTGGATCTCCTCCAAGGCAGGCGGGATTCGAACTCATGAGGTACTGGCTTTAGCTTCTTAGTGCTGTGCTTTAACCCGCTGAGCCACCAGGGAGGGCCTATTTTTTATTTTTTAAAGATTTATTTATTTATGCATACAGGCCAGAGGTGCAGGGGCAATGAGAGGATTCACCAGAGACAGAGCAGGGAGCAGAACAGGCAGATCAACAAAGTACACTGCTGAGAGGAGGCAGCAGGCGGGTCAGGAGAGGTCTGCTGGGCCATGTGTATCACCTCCAGGGCAGGGATCCAACTCATGCTGAAGTGGCTTTAGCCTCTTAGTTCTGAGCTTTAACCCGCTGCGCCACCAGGGAGGGCCAGCAGTCCATCTTTATAGACTGTCTACTCTCCCAACTCTCAGCAACAACAGATGTACTTTCTCTCTACAGATTGCCTATTCCAGACATTTTGTATAAAAGAGATCACATAAAATGTGATTTTTTTGGTGACTGATTTCTTCCATTTAACAGTGGTTTCAAAGTTGATGCATGTAGCACTATAGCTTAAACAAGTACATCATTCCTTATTATGACATAAGATTTCATTGCAGGATATACCACATTTATTATCCACTCATTGGTTAATAGACATTTGGGTTGTTTTTCTTTTCTTTTCTTTTCTTTTTTTTTTTTTGGTTTAAATAATGCTGCTACATTACAAGTTTGTGTGTGTGTGTGTGTGTGTATACCTATAAGTAGAATTGCTGGGTCTTCTGTTTAACACTTTGAAAAACTGCTAGACTGTTTTCCAAAGCTGCTATGCCTTTGTCCATTCCCACCAAGAGTTTATGAGGATTTAAATTTCTTTACATATTTACCAATTCTTGCTTTTAGCTATGCTTTTTATTTTAACTGGAAAATCTGAGATTTTATTGCATTTTCTTGATAATTAATGATTGTAAGCATCTTTCCGTGTGCTTATTGGCTATTTGTGTATTATCCTTTGCAAAATCTCTATTAAGATCTTTTTCCCAATTTTTTTTAATGATTTGTCTTATGATTGCTGATTGTAAGCATTCTTTATATATTCTGGATATGACCCCTTATCAAACAAAGAAATACAAGTATTTCTCCCATCAGCTTTTAATAGTATAATTTGTAGCACAGAATTTAAGTTTTGATGAAGTACAAATTATCTGGTTTATCTTTTATTGTGCATATCTAATAAGGTTTTGCCTATCCCAGGTTTATGCATACTGCTCCTATATCCTTCTAAGAGTTTTATAATTGTAGCTCAGTGTTTAGATTATGACCTATTTTGAATTAGTTTTTGTATGCAGTGAAAGGAAAAGGTACATATGAGTATCCTATTGTTCCAGCAACTATCCCCTGTCCATTGAATTATTTTGGCACTCTCACAAAAATAAATTGGCTGCAAGTATGCACATTGTGCAGTGTAGGTCCAGAGAAAAGGTTTCTATCACTGCTTTTATAATGTTAACATGTCAGTTATTTTTTATAATATATATATGTTCATTTCCATTGCAATTAAACATTATATGAAGCAAATGAATAAATATTTGATAGAAAAAAAATGACAAAATTTAAAAAAATTATTAAGGGACAGTAGAATTACACGTAGATTTTAATTCTCATGTTTATAATTTGTATTTTCCAACTTAAAAATATATATGATTTGCTGTTACAGTCAAAATATTTTAAAGAAAGAAATAACTTTTAGAAGGTAGGAAAATAAGATAGTTAACTGAGTACAAAACATTAACCTGATAACTACAAAACATTAACCTGATAACTATTCGTATTGACGTAATCTCTAAGCATAGAAAATGTTTATTCTCTAGATGATTCACTTATGTGGTCTGATAAGACCATGCTGTCTTATACACACTGGAGAGCAGGAAGACCAGCTATAAAAAATGACAAATTTCTTGCCGGCCTGAGCACTGATGGTTTCTGGGATATTCAAACCTTTAATGGGATTGCAGAAACACTGTACTTTCACCAGAACAGCATTCTTGCTTGTAAAATTGAAATGGGTAAGTATACTAATGTAGAGTTTCCACTCCAGGGACAGATAATGAAAGGCCATTAGCTATACTAAAGGAATCTTGCAATCATATCCCTTGAATGCCTCCTCTGTGTTTAGTTCTATGAAAGAAGTGCTACAGAATTATGGAGGAAGGAAAACATAGTCCCTGGTACTGTATAGCAAGAGGAAAATAGCAGATAGTAATTGTTTTATGTAGGTTAGTCTTTGGTAGTCTTAAATTCATTGGAAAGTCAAAAAGATAAGTAAAACAGGAATAATGGGGGGAAATGCATTGTGGAAGAGGTAAAATTTGTTGAATCTTGAGGGATGGATAAGATTTTTGCAAATAAGAAAGCATGTTTGGGTAAGTTTTAACTTTAAGTGTCTTCCAACCTCACCCAGTTACTCAATCTATTTTTAGATGCACTTCACAACTTAAAAGCTATTATTACAGCCTCTCTGCTCTAAGCCTTCACTAACATGGGTCCTATTACAATTGCATTTGGGCTGATCTCCTCCCTTCACAGTGATGCAGAATAACTTCATGTGATTTTATTTCCATCAACAATCTCCAGAAATTTCTATTACCAATCACTTTGAGTCCATGTAAGCTTTGGGGATATTTTATAAACCAATGTCTATTCTAAACTTCTATACCTTCTCCCAACCCCAGTTTTTCTTCTATTCCATGGCTCATCTAGCATCTCTTTGTCAGTCAGGCTAAATTTTGTCTGTGTAAATAATATATTCAGTCTCCTATCTGCCCCTTTATGTTTTTCCTGCTAAAATCCTCTTCTTTTTATATCTTTAATAAACTTTTAGTTTCCAGCTTACAGAAAAATTGCAATGATTGTATTGAGAGAATTCTCATATACCCCATAACCAATTTCCACTACTGTTGTCATTACATTGTATGACACATCTGTCACAAATGACAAACCAATACTAATAGATTATTAACTAAAGTACACACATTATTTGGATTTCCTTAGCTTTTATTTAGTGTCCTTTTTGTGTTGAGGATTTGGTCAAGAATACCAAACTGGCTGTGACAGTTTGTTTTTTCTCTTGATGACCTTAATCATATATTTTGTAGAATGTTTCTCAATTTGGTGTTTTCCCCCCAATTAAATGAGGGTTTTGTCTTTGAAGTTTAGGGGAAAACCACAGAAGTACTGTGCCATTCTCATCAAATCATATGAAGTATATGTCATAACAACACTATATATCACTGTTAATTTCTTTTCTTTTTTTTTTTTTTGAAGATTTATTTATGTATACATACAAGAACTAGGGTGTAGGCTAGAATGTGGGTAGAGGGGGTAACTGAGAGGATTCATCAGAGACAGAGTGGGGAGCAGAGCAGGCATATCTACTGAAATGTACCGCTGAGGGAAGCAGCAGGCAAGAGAGGAGAGGTCTGCTGCACCATATAGGTTACCTCCCTGTTCTGCCAGGGCTTGAAATGCTGCAGTAGCTGGGGATAACTTGATAGTGCTGTGTCTTTAATCCCTGCACCACCAGGGAGGTCCATCACTGTTAACTTCAACTTTGATCACCTGACTCAAAATGTTTCTCACTTTCTTCACTCTGAAGTTACTCTTTTTCTTTTCCATTTCATACTTTCTGTAAAGCAGTCACTATACTGAGTCCACATTTACAGGGTAGAGAATTATTCTACACCTTCCTGAGGTGGTAGTATTTTAGAAATTATTTGGGAATTCGGCACTGGAAATTTGTTTGTTCCTGCTAATTTTATATCTTAGCCAATCTTTTATTTATGCTATTGGTTCATAGTTATTTATTTCATGCTTTGGATTATAACCCGTATACTCTATTAATTAATATTTTGCTCAAATTGTTTCAGCTTTATTGATTGGAAGCTCTTTTAGTTCTCTCCTGTGTCCCTTGAAATTGGTTGCTGTTGTTTTGTTTTTAGAGCTTCTTTGTTTACTGGTGACTTTATTCCTTTTTAGCCTTACTTGCACCTAAGCTAAACTCCAAAGACCTGATTTATCAAGCAGACTTCCTCCCTCCTTTAAATAAGAGGAGTTGCTCCTTCTCTTGTCAGTCCCACTTGTTCTAATGGTTGTTTTTCCTTATTTCAGATGTGTTCTGTCCTCAGCTATCTGTGAGCTCTTTATTTTCATCATCAAATGTTATTCATTTGTGAGTTGTTTATGTACTATATGATTTGTAGAGTACATTTTCACATCTCCTTGTGTGAACATGTTTTACCTACCTCCTCCAAAATGCCTAGACCAATGTCCTCTCCCCTTCTATCCACTATCTACTCCAACCTCCCTACTTTTCCCTCTGGTAACTGGTATACATTTCAGACCGTAAAGATTATCTTTGCTTTGCTTTTTCAGTTTGTATATGAGTTTTTTAAATGAAAGATGAAATTTGTACCTTTTTTTAAATTGTCCAGACAACTATAATATGAAAGTGCTTATTATATGCATTATAGCAATAAGTAAAGTATGCATTTGACATTCCTTTTAACAATAAACCCAGCTTAACTTTTGAAATGATTACATATCCAGTCTTTGCCAGAATGTCCATTTCAAGTAATTCAAAATTTAATCACTAGTACTTTCATTTTAAATATTGCAGTTGACTACAAGGAAGAATATAACACTACTTTGCCTCAGTTTATTCCATATAAAGATGATGTTTATAATGTTATTCAAAAAAAAGTAACTTGGTATGAAGCATTAAATATGTGTTCTCAAAGTGGAGGTTATTTAGCAAGTGTTCATGACCAGAATGGCCTGCTATTTCTGGAAGATATTGTGAAACGTGACGGATTTCCACTATGGACTGGGCTTTCAAGTCATGATGTAAGTCTTACATTGTTTTCCAGAAATTTTCAAATCTGTTATTTGAGGTTTGAAAATTTGAACATAAAATATTAATTCAAAGTGTAACATCAGGTTACACCCTGGAGACAAAATTCATAAAACATACTGATTTCTTATCATTTCACAACATAAATAGAACATTATAGAGTGCACTAGGCAAATCAACCTGGAATTGCAGCAGCTGCCCAACATATCCACAGGCCATACCAAGGGCCCAGCAGATTAATATATTAATGATATCTCTGTAACATCTTTAGGGCAGACCGAGTGCGAAGGTGGTGAAAAGAATAGCATAGAATCAGAAAAACCTGAGTTATAGTGTAGGGGCCTGTCTTCCATTTACATGGTGGATGGTGATAGAATAAGTTATTTAACCTTTGCAAACTTATTTCCTCATATGTAAAATCAGGATTATAACATTTTCCTGAAAGTAGGATGAAAGTGAAGCTCAGTACAAAAATTAATAGACCTCAATTAAAATTCTTAACATTAGGACTAATAAATGTTATTTTCTTCCCATTTCTCCTTACAAATAAGCACTATTTGAGATTAATCTTATAATGGTAAACACATCTTTTATTCCTCACTTTGAATCCAATTCATTAATATATTCTACCTGCAATAATAATGTCTAGTTTACCAAAAAAAAAAAAAAAGACATGTATTGAAATTAGAAGTGAAGATCTAGGAAGTATAATTTATGTATCCTTTAGAACAAATTGGGGGAAAAACAAATAATGAAGCGATAGTAAATTATGATCCTAGAACCATAGAAAAGTCAAAAAAAATCTTCCCATTAGAGCTTCTTGCAAAGTACTTTTCTTTGATCTCCTGCTCCATGATGGTTTTCCTATCATGGAAAAAATGTAGCTAGAGAATCAAACCACAAAACTATAGAAAATAATATTCAGATGAATATAGAAGTTGGGATTGTAAATCTGTAATTGTGACAAATAAAAGTCATTTGCATGTCATTTAATGTCAAGTCTTATATAAATTCATTCTTAAGTAATGTAGAGTATAATAACTATGTCACTGAGCTTTAAGTCTATTTAAAATGTGCCGGAGCAAATGTCAAAAGTTAATAAATCTAAAGTAAATCCCTAACATTACAAATAGGACCAGGCCTATAATGCTTGTAAGCAAATTATTGGCATTCCATTCCAACATTTCTAAAAGTTTATATGTTCTTTTTGAAGTCACACATCTGTATTTAGTTTATCTCTGTTATTCCTAAAACAGGGCAGTGAATCAAATTTTGAATGGTCTGATGGCAGTGTACTTGACTACAAACCATGGGAAGATAAAATGTCTGCTGGAAACTGTATTGTCTTGGAACCCAAAGGAATTTGGAAACGTGAAAAATGCAACTCTGTTAAAGATGGTGCTATTTGTTATAAACCTACAAAATGTAAGACTTACTTTGAATAGCTATATATTTGCTAAAATATGACCATTTGTTTAATGCACATAATTAAATAATCAAAAGGATTTTTATAGGTTAATCTTTAAGAGAAGCTTCAACATTTGGAACTAAGCAAATTCTTGCAGAAGAATATGTGAAAAAATTATCTAGGGATACAAGTAAATACAAAAGAGAGAATGACATAACTAATGAGGAATAAAGGCACAATCAAGAAATGACATCTCAATTGCTAGGTATCTAAAATACATGTAATCTTTTAGAAAGTAGCTAAAATAAGGTATGAAATGGAGAAATAAATGCAGAAATGGAGAGGACATTTGTTTTAGCAAAACATTTTATAGGATGATGGAGAATGACAACATGATCAAATATAAATTTAGTGCTGTACCTGTTGAGTAGTGTCACCCCAAAATTCATGTCCAACAGGAGCCTCAGAACGTGACCTTATTTAGAAATAGTCTTTCCATATATAATTATTTAATATGCCAGAGATCCTGAGACTTGACTAGGATGTGCTCAAAATCCAATTCTGTTGTACTAATAAGAGGAGAGACAGTGACATACAGATGAAGAAGTCCACTTGAAATAGAAGCAGAAATTGTAGTAACATAACTACAAACGTAAGGATTGTCAGCAACCCCCAAACTAGGAGAGAGGCATGAAATAGAACCTCCCTCATCTTTTCCAGACTGAGAAAGTGAATTTCTGTTGTTTTAAGCCACCAAGTTTATGGTTAAGATATTACATTAACCCTAGGAAATTAATCCAAGAGCCAACTTTGAAAAAATGGATCTTCAAAATGAAAAGAAAGTAACAAGTGTTGACAAGGATATAGAGAAATTAGAATCCTTGTGCATTGCTTGTGGGCATATAAAATGGTGTGTAACCACTGTGGGCAACAGTATGGTGATGGCCCAAAAATATTAACATAGAACTACCATATGACCCAACAAGTGTACTTCTGGGTATATTCACAAAAGAAGTAAAACCAGGGGTCAGAGAGATATTTACAAACCTATATTCACAGCAGCATTATTTGCAATGGCAAAAAAAATGAAGCAACCAAGTGCCCATTGACAGATGAATGGATAAGCAAAAATGGAATTTGGATACTATCAAATATTAGTCAGTCTTATAAAGAAAGGAAATTCTAATATATAGTTTATCATGGATGAACCCAGAAGACATTGGGCCATCAGACCATTCACAGGATTGACATCCTGTCACAAAAGGACAAATACTGTGATTCCATTTATGTGTGGTACCTAGAATTTTCAGATTTATAGAAACAGAAAGTGATATGGTAGTTGCTGGAGGAAGGGAGTTACTGCTTAATGGATTCTAAGTTTCAGTTTCACAAGTTGAAAATATTCTGGAGGTGTATGGTAGTGGTGTTTGCACAATAATGTGAATTAACTTTATGTCACTGAATTGTACATTTAAAAATATTTAGCATGGTATATTTGTGTTTTTACCACAATAAAAAAAAAGTTTTCTTAAACATGAATGTAGTAAACTAACCAAAAGGCATGCCCTTGCAGAAAAAGTAAGAGTTCGAAGTGGAAACCCATGAAGAAACATAAGGGGAGAGAAAATGTATGTAGCATAAGACACCACAGTTGCACACTGGACTAGAAGCAAATAGACTTTGAAAACAGTCATGTCTCTATGTTCCTAGTATAAGAATATTCTATCCAAGCCAAGTCATTTAGAAAAGTCCACCAGTTCTAGCAATGTATTGGTAATGTACAACGTATTTTGCATCTAATGAAATAATACACATCATTGACTCTTAAAACAATGGAACAATCAATTGTCGTCTGGGGGGGGGTGTTGGTTTTTTTTCGGTTTTTGTTTTTTTGTTTTTTTTGGCAAAATTAACTATTCTCACAGGGTAGTAAAGGACTTTAGTAGCATCTTCCTCCACCAGCAATGTTAGTAAAAAGTTGCCTCTAAGAGACTTCACAAAATATATTCAGCAAATGAATTCTGTTCATCTCTACTAGGACACTTAGGTATAGCAACTGTCAAACTGAGGGAAGACTTAGAGCTCAGGATAGTAGTGATAGTGAAAGAATATAGGCAAAAGCCAATCAAAGACTCCTGATAAAGAAGGAAATGAAGCCGCCATCCCTTCGGAATCAAGAAAAAGAAGAACTCTATGAAACCCTATCAAACTGAGGAAAAAAACGTGCAATCTTCAGTTACTGAAGAACATACAGATCAGAGAGAATGTGTTACAAAGCAATAGTTTGGGTTGAGATTACTGATATTTTATTCAGATATCTACATTTCACCAATAGGATGTTGATCTTTTCCGATTCTTATACTCTCCTCCACTGGAGTTAATAACAAGCATTAAGAGGTATAAGTATCACTATCTGGTTTCATGTGTTTTACAACATAATTAAAAATTAAACAGTTTAAGTAGAAACCAAGGCAATGTTTAAGGTCTGAGAAGCTATACCAACTCTTTTTTAAGACAAATTTTGCTGTTCTGATATATTGCATTTTGTGAACAAGTTACCAATTTTTCACTTAATACTGTGATTTCTGATTTTTTTAATGTTTTCACATTCAAAAATTTTTTTTAGTTTTGCCTTCATTTTATTAAGGTGGCATTTGTTTGCCATTGAATATGACTTAGATGCGATTTCAAAAAGGAGTTCTTCAATATGTCACAGTTTATGTTAGCAAAACAGAAAAGAATCCAAATGAAAAAAAATTTAATTATTTCAACATAGTCTAACTTTGCTTATTTTCCTGTTCTTACTAGTTGTTTTTACTTTAGTCTAAATACCCCTTTGAGAATTAAGTACTTTCTTCGTCTCTTAAGTTTTTTAATCAATCTTCCAAATACCTAATTAGAAGGTATACTCTTAGAGTCTGGGCTATTACTCTTTCTGGCTTGTATATTGAATTGATGCTCCTTACCCATAGTAATGGAGTTTCTAAGAGGAACATTTAATGAAATTTCAAAATCAGTCTTTTTCTTCATGTATGTTTACACTTATGCCTATTGGTTTTATAGCTAAAGAAGTGACCTCTCACTCATACTCCTCAAGATGTCCTGCAGGAAAAGATAAGGAACCACGATGGATCCAGTATAGGGACCACTGCTATACATCTGACCAGGCTTTGCACAATTTCTCAGAAGCCAAAAAGTTTTGTTCAAAACTTGGTGAGTTCAAATTTGTTGATTGTCTTTGACTCAATAATTTAATCACTAGAATTTTTAAGGAATAGTTTGAGGCCTTCCCTAGTGGCACAAGGGGTTAAAGTGCAGCACTATGAAGCTATCTATAGCCACTGTAACACTAGTTCCATCCCTGGCCAGGAACGTAACCCACATGGCACAGCAGATCTCTCCTGTCTTGCCCACTGCTGCCCTCAGCAGTGTATTTCAGTTGATCTACCTATTCTGCTCCCTACTTTGTCTTTGGTGAATCCTTTCACCACCCCCAACCCCCTGTACCTCTGGCCTGAATCACAGTTCTTGTATGCATAAATAAATAATCCTTTTTTAAAAAAGGAATAGTTTGTAATAATGATCATATTTTTTAAATTATGTGAAGGTCTCACTATTATAGCTATTATTTTAAAGCTTTCACTATAATATAAATATTATGATATTGTATTATAATAGCTCTAACTTAATTGCTCAGTGATGTGAAAATGGTTAAGGTTTGCATGTAAGCACAATGGAAGGTTGGAATAACCATTACAAACGATTGCTTTAAGAAAAGCCCATGAAAAATAAAATTAAGGTGAAACAAACTAAAAAAATTGAGTTATTTGAAAAATTAGGTGGTTTTCTATATAGTTAGATATGCTTAGAGGGAGCAATTAAGTGGTAGTTTTTTTTTTAAGTTGGTTAAATTTACAAATAAAAAATACCACTTTTTTTTCTTAGTTATAAATAAGCAAGCTTAGCCTGACCGGGGTAGCACAATCAAAGAATTTGGGTTTTTCTTCCATTCTTTAAAAGGAATGTCCTGCATTTTCCAAATACCTCAAAGAACCAGATTTTGTCTTCAGATTTAAATATTTCAGAAAGAGTAGCAATGAGTGACTCTTCCCCATGATAAATTTAGCCTAGTCAAACTGTGAAATAACTTCTAGCGAGACCATGCAGGGTCGTTCAAAGACCTGCACATTCAGGTCACAATTGTACCATGGAGAAAGCATTTTTCTCATCTTTATTACTTTCTGTTTGTGCATACTTTACTGATTTAAAGAAAATCCAAAGCCTCTCTATTATTGCTTACCTACATAGTGACAACTGTGTGTTTGTGTGAGTTTTTAGTGGTGTATATGTATATGAAATAGAAATTACTACCAGGTATATACATATATGCTCTGATAATTATGTATAGTTAAGTAGACAGACAGACAGACAGATAGATAGATAGTAGGTAGATATAAAATTCTGAAAGTTACAAGCTTTTTACTCCTAAATGTGAAAACAAAATTTAAAACCTCGGAGTCATGCAAGTTTGGCTTTCTTTCTTTCTTTTTTTTTTTTTTCAAAGATTTATTTTATTTATGTATACAGAACTGGGGTACAGGCCAGATTGCAGGAGTGGTGAGATACTTCACCAGAGACAGAGTGGGGAACAGAGTAGGTAGACTGAGGAAGTACACTGCTGAGAGGAGCAACGGGCAGGTCAGAAGAGGTCTTTAGGCCATGTGGGTTATCTCTGGGCAGGGGATCAAACTTGCACTGAAGTGACTGTGGCTAGCTTGCAGTGCTGCATCCTAACCTGTTGCGCCACCTCCGAGGGCCCAGATTTGGCTACACTAATAGGTTCCACTCCTATTAATTGAATGATATTGTGGAAGAAATATAAATGTTTCCGTTTCCTCATCGGAGCAATGATAATGAAAATAGTACTTACTTCAAAGGTTAGGTATGGTTGAGTTGTTGTAGGAACGTAAGTGTATACAAATGTAGCACATTACCGAGAAATGGTGAACTTTCAAAACTATCCTTATTTAAAAAATTGACATTGACTTTTCTAATTCTCTAACTGGCTGACTGTTTAAACTGACCAATTTATTTAAACTCATTAAGTATGTTAAACCTTCGGTTTCCTCATCTGTAAAATGGTGATCCTTTACAGAATTATATAATATTATACAAGGTAATATAGTAAATACCTGCACACTGTGGTGTTCTATAAAGGAGTGAAGATTTTATTTAAGTCTGGACAAACCTGTTATTGAAGACTGATCCATTTAGGATCGATTTCCAAGTATATTATTGTGTTATTTCAACTCCTTACCTGATGCTGGTAATGACACAGCTTTTTCCCTGTGGGTTTTGGACTGTTGATCAAGCTTCAAGAATACATATTTATTCAATTCATACTACATTTAGGAACAAATGAACATGACAGTGTGCACTTACGTGTAAAGTAATAATAAAATGAAGGCTGATGCTCCCCTTTAGACCAAACTTACTTGCTTTCATTTTCATTTTCACATAATTCAAAGCTGAGCTATTGTACAAAAGTTGTTGAGGAGAGAGTCCTGAACATCTATAAGGGAACACATGTTTCTATCATCTCCTTATGGCAGAAACAACTTATGACTAACAAAGGTAGTTAGACAGATTTAGGACCAAAAGATATTACTAGACAAACATTTTGAAAAATTAGACGTTTTGAAAAATTATAAACACACACATTCACACACATATATATAAATTTAAGGTTTCAATCTAGAAATATTTCTCACTCGTGGAAAACTATAGGTGCCATGCTTTTTTAAATCTAGTATAAATAACAGACTTTAAAAAAAGAGAATTCTGTATAAAGCTTGCTTTTTCTCAATGACCTTGATAGATTTTATTTCAAATGGCTTGTTGAAGACAAACAACTTTCTTAGTTTCCTTAAAGTCAATTAGTTTGGGGTTTGTTTTCCTTCAACAGATGATTTTGCAACTGTTGTTACCATAAAGGATGAAGATGAAAATAGATTCTTGAGCAGACTGATGAGGGAAAATTATAATATTACCATGAGAGTTTGGCTTGGATTATTACAATTTGCTTCTGGTAAGTGATATAATTGGATATTGTGTGCAGAAAATGTTGTGCCTTGTCTTAAATACCAACTCTACCTTGCTAAAGAATCTCAAATGGTAGCTAATTCAAAGACTTCTCATTAAGCTAGAACTGCTGGTTGTTTGGGGGGCTTATAAATACTGAATGAATAAGTTAGTGGCTTATTAGTAATGAAGGAAATCACTAATTAAATAGAAAATCAGGTTAATTGAACAGGAATTGTTCTAGAACTTTGTTCTTAATAGGTTCAAATCAATAGGATTTTTTCCTCCTATCACAATAGGAAACTGCTATACCGTGTCTTTATAGCTGTTATCCAAAAATTGTGTCCTGTTGTTCCTTACCTTTGGGAACATTTTCCCCATAGAGAAACATTAAATTTTAATAATAGGGCCTCCCTGGTGGTGCAAGGGTTTAAAGTGCAGCACTATGAAGCTCTCAACAGCCACTGCTGCACCAGCTTGATCCCAACCAGGAAGCTGACCCACATGGTAGCCCTCTCCTGTCTCACCACTGCTCCCAACAGCAGTGTATTTCACTGAATCTGCCTATTTTGTTCTTCACTTTGGTTCTGGTCAATTCTCCTTCTCTCCCTACCCCCGCATCCCAGGCCTGTACACCATTTCTAATACACATAAATAAATACATCTTAGGGGCAAATTTTTAATGATCATTTTTTCCCAAAAAGCATAGAAAACAGCAAATTGGTTTTAAAAGGTTGTGGAAGAAATTATCAATAAGGATAATGGAAGATTTAAATAAATTTGTAATTGATAAAGAATGAATCAGAACACCAATTTGACAGAACAATAAACAGTCTGTTTCACATTTTATGCAAAGTTAAATTTTAAACAGGTAAAGTGGGTGTGGCTTCCACAATGTTACCTACTTGTCAAAGTAGGTTCAAAGCTGACCATTTACTTAAATGAAATGTAAATTGTGTTTATATTGTCACCACAAGGTGGTGCTACCTCAGCTTCTAGACAACAAAAATGGAATCCTGCTGAGGAAACACTTTGGCCCTTTTCTCTCCCATCAGTACCTCTTTAATGACATAACTTTTTAATATGTATATGGTGAGGGGATCATTGGGAGGGGTTAGTGAAAAGATACAGATCTTTAGAAATCTATTCCTCATGATGTAAATGTGTAAGCAAAACACCACATTGTATATCAGTTCTTGTCCAAATGAACTTTCTACAAAGATGAGAAAACATTCTGTATCTCTGCATCCAGTGTAGTAATCACCAGCCACATGCAAGCCAGATGGTTATTGAGCACTTGAAATGTGTCAAGTGTAGCTAAAAACTGACTTTCAAGGTTTTTAATTTTTAATAAATATTCTTACTCATCTGCAAAATAATATTTTTAAAAATCTCACACAAACAGTAGAAGTAACACAAATTTGAACTTTGTATAAAAAATATAAGGGTTACCAGAGGGAATAAAGGAAAGACAGGTGGGTATGGGGGAGGGATGCAGATGTTGTATGGGCTCTGTGAGTAGGCAGAGGGAACAAAATGAAAACTAACTAAATAAAAGTCTTGTTCTAAGTGAGTTGGATAAATCATATGCCTTCTTACCTTAGCAATCCTGTGGCAATGAACATAGTTGTACTTAACATACTTAACTTTCTCTTTAGATCACTCTTGGCATTGGTTAGATGGATCAGATGTATCATTTGTCAAATGGGGAGATAAAAGAAAGAGCGGTACTGGAAAATGTAGCATTTTGCTAGCTTCAAATGAAACTTGGAAAAAAGTTGATTGTTTATCTGGTTATGGAAGAGTTGTCTGCAAAGTCCCTCTGAGTAAGTATGTAGCCTGAACTGAAGGAAAGTTTTATACAAGAATTCAGCAAATAAATGCACTGTCTAATTATCATTAAAGTCTTATACTTGGGCTTAAGTTTTTAGTCCTTAAAGTATATACAAAAAAGATTGTCGTACACTCTTTCCCTTGAAAAAGATAGATTACAAGAAATAATAAATGTGTAAGAATTCTAGGATTCCCAGATAAAGCTGTCTCAACTTATTATAATGCTTTCCTAAAAAGGATGGAAGCTGCCAGAGTACTAGGGAAAAAATGTCTGTGAAAATGTTAATTGTATTTTATTCTACAGTTTTGATATATAAAGGCTCAAAAGTCTCATTCTAAAGTTAGTTTGCTTCCTTTCTCCTCATTTTCATAAAAACAGTACAAAACTAGATTTAATTAAGTGCCCTGATTATCTGTGGGAAATCATAATTTGAGCTTGTCATTGATAGCTATATAAAGTAATACATGGTTATATGAAATACATCAAAATCCTGATAACTCCACTTCTTAAAAAAGCTCTCTAAATTTTCATATGCAATGTTTTTAAAGACCTAGAATAAAAATGTCCATTTGGGTATATAAATATTAAAGATAAGACTCAAATTCTAAGTGGCCTGTATCTGAATATTCATACATTGATTGAGTAAATATTTAGTGTCTACCACAGGGTATGTCCCGTTGTATGTTTTATGTTCACTATAAGACCTTGCAATCTAGTAGAGGGAGACTGATAATAAATAACCAAGAAGGTCAATCTTTAAAAGAAAGGAAAAGATAAAATAGTTACAAACTCATTATAGTCAAGATTAGGGGATTGGTTAGTCTAGGTAGGATTTTTCAGGGAAGATGTCTAAGAGCAGGATACTCTTACTTTCTGCTAGGCCAACTAAGCAGAAATCAGGGAAAGGAGCACACAAAACAAAGGCAGCAGTTGGAGAAAACCCTGAGGCAGAATGAATTTGGTGAGCACTCAAGGAACCACCTGATGTTATTTATGTAAGCAGGTGATAGACACCTGTGGCTTCTGAAACTTAAGCTAGCTTCTCAGTCTATTCTAAATGAACTGGAAAATTGTTGGAAGTGGGTAGACATAGCTTTGGAATGCTATAAAGTAAACGTTCTATTTTGACATTTTGAACTAGGCATTATTGGGTTTTCAGAAAAGCCATGACTCATTTTTGCATAGAAAAATGTCATGACTTTTCTGATAACCCAATATATATGGACTACTGTGTAGTATCCAGTGGGACACATGAAAGAAAAGTGAGATCAGCTTAAAGATGGCATTTAGGCCATGGACCAAAAGGAGCCCTCTCAGCAGCGTGTGCAGAAGGGACCTAGGACAACAGTTGAAATTAAATCATTATAGCTAAATGAAATCGTCCTAAGACTTAATCATATTGAAGTGGATAATACTTTTATTTGACCCTAGGTAGGTCAAAAACAAAAATTTATAACTTGTAGCTACTTACTATCAAATAAAAGTAATATATTACAAGTGATAGTCTCAAAGGGTGATGAAAAGGAAAAGTGAGAATAATGTTAATGCTTTAATTTCTTTGAAAGAAAATTGCTATGACAATGAAGAGGATTTGAATGAAAAGGAAACATTGACCGTATTCTGTATTAAGGGGAAACAATCAATACTGATCACTAATATATTCTCTCCTCCCATGTCAAACCTTTCCCTATTCTAGGGCCTGATTACAGAGGAATAGCTATTACTTTTGCTGTGCTAAGTGTCTTAGCTCTCCTCAGTGGACTGATTTGGTTCCTTTTCCAAAAGAATCGTTCATCCTGGACAGGCTTTTCTTCAGTTCGATATGAACAAGGAGTAAATGAAGATGAAATTATGCTTCCCTCTTTACGTGACTAAATTCTCCTAAAAGACTGCTAATTTGCACTGATGTGTTAAGAAAAATGAGCCATTTCAAATTTTCCCAGTATCAGTATTTAACACTGTTCCACCATAAGATCTTACTCTTTCAGTTGTTTACTATGATACCCACAAAATGCCATGCTTATAACTCTATTTAATAGACTGGAAAGGAACTGAAATTAGAACTGAACTCCCAACTTTTTATAGCTAATACATTTAATGTACATTTTTTTCTATAAGACTGTGTTTGATAATTGGGACAGGTATGTTTTAATGACTTTTTTTAACACAACTTCTTAGAAAATTTGAATTGGTGTATTGCTGGTAACTCAAGGTAAAACCAATGTAAATAAGAGTTAACATTGTTTTAAAATAGATATAGCATTAGGAGAAATTATTGAATAATAGGACATGCTTATTTATTACCCAGCAAAATGATGCTTCTTAACAAGCTGCTTCTTATACTGTTTCAAAGATATTTCATACCAATATCACTTAAATACAGTTGTTTTGTTTTGTTTATAACTGCTTATAAACCAATGGTTTTTAAAGATTTCATGCTTAATATTTTCTGTGAAATCATTGACTTTAAATTGATTAGAGATTGTATAGCAGTGTTTTTCTCTCATGTACAAATATGATTTTTTATTTTAAAGGGAATTAGTTGAGAATAAGTCTTCTTGAAAATTTTGTAATCCATATATATATATATTTAATTGACACATTTTTTGACTAAGAAACGTTCACTCCTTTGTTGTCTATTTATATGAATTAAAGAGAACAGGACTAGGGAAAAATTATACATCTTGCATTTACAAAAATGAAACTTTTACAATGAAACTCAAAACCTTGTGATTACTACTAAAATATGTAAAATTATAAATTATTAAGGAAACACTGCTTTGTGGTAATCACTTCAAAATTTACCAGCTGGAATATAATCTTAATAGCTTCCACTGAACATGGTGAATGTTCAGTGTTTAACTTATATTTATATTTTAGAGTTTTCAAAAAAAACTCAAAGATTTATTTTATAAAGTTTAGAATGTTTTTATATAATGAAGTTGTAAATAATTTTCTAAAGGTATAGTAGTTTTCCTAAAATGCTTTTTATTGAATTTGTTAGGCTAATTGTCTTGCCTTATGGTCTGTGCATTTTGAGTTGTAAAGACTTTCCACAAAAAACTGTACCAATTTAATGCAAAATAGTACACCTATATAGAGTACTGGCACTATAATAGAATTTTATTTTTTTGAACAAAAATATCATTGATCCTTGTTGAAAAAAAGTATTTCTAGATTGGCCTATACAATAAAAATATCTAGCAATATTGTAAAGTGATTCATCCTTAAGTTTTTGTGTACATTTTTAAAGAATAAACACCATATTTCTACATCTTTGAAAGTTTGCTGTCAGTCTGTTTTCAGATTTTCCTAACTCAGCATGTTTTTTAAGTACTAGAAAAACAGATAGTCCAACTATAGTCCACTTGCTTCTGATTCCTTTTGCCCCTCTCAGAAGCACAGCACTCCCCAACTTCTAAGTCAGTCATTCCGATGCCAAGTTCCAGGGTAGTATTTCCAACCCCCACTGGACAATCTGCATGAAAGTCCTTCTCAACATGACCAGAACTTTCCATAGCATTTCTCCAACCCCTTTGTCCCAGAAGTCTCAGGAAAACTGATGAAGGCCCCTTGTCTCCTCTTACTAATCCAACCTTGAAGTGCAGAAAATTGATGCGCCAAAACTGGGTAACTAAAAAAGTAAGCAAATAGACCTAGTGCTCAGGTGTAGGGGGTAGGGGACAAATGCAGAAGTGATACCAATGATCACCCTTTTTTGCTCCCCCTACACCCACAAACAGTAAGTTCTCCATCATCCTTAGCAAGATATATTCATGATCTGGGAATTAACCCCTGCAAATTGCTGCTGTAGTGTTGTTAAACCCCACTCCTGATGCTCCCTAAATCAAATCCCTTGCATCCCCCCACCTGAGTTTATGAGAAAATCAGAAATTTAGATTATTTTAGGTTCATTTAACCTTAAATCCCTCTTAGAGAGGTTTGCCATCCATATATCTTTGGTGAAATGTCTGTTCAGATCCCGTTCACATCCTAAAACTGAGTTGTTTTTATTGTCGAGTTTTCAGACCTGATTTGAAAGCACTCTGACTAATAAGCTGAATCTCTCAGGATTTAAGTAGTCCTGGTTTGTGCACTGGGCTGTCCGATTCCAGAGACCCTCACAAGTCATATTACAGTTGCAGAGTTTATACCTATAGTATGGCAAGTACAGGGTTAAATGATCAGAAATTTACTCTTTCAGTTCTGGAGGCTAGAGATCAAGGGTTCAGGACCGTTGGCTCCTTCCAAGGCTTGCTGCAAACACTGTGTATAGGGACTGGTGACAGAAAAGCTGCCTGAGAGCATAGTCCACTGGGAGGGTCCTTTGAAAAGAAGGTTTGTGGCTAATCCAAAGAGGCTTGGCAGACAGAACCTTAATCAAGTGACCAAAGTTACCACCTGTGATGAGATCATTGACATTGCTTCCAGTCAGGACACATCCCTTCTGTAGAAGTCTTAATGAGAAGAACCCCAATCCTGTTCTTCCAATCCCCTCGAGGTGACACCAGCTGGAAACTGAAGGACACTCTAAAAAACGAATGGGCAATAACGTGTCAAGATGGGAAAGACCAAGAGCTGGAACTGTTCCACATTAAAGGAGGTTAAGGAGACATGACATCTCAAAGCTACCTATGGTCCTGGATTTGATCCTAAAATAAGAAAATTACAGGGACAAAGGGATCGCAGTGACAGTGGCTGTAGATTAGTCAATGGTATTCTACTAATGTTAATGTCCTGGCTTCGATCATTGTACTGGAGTTGTATATGGTGTTTAGACTTAAGAGAAAATTGCTAGAGAGTTACAGTTCAAATGAAAAGTTTTAGAATTGCCAAGAGACGTTCTGGAAGGCAGCGCGTCAGCCACTGGGGCGTGAACGTGCAGCTGGGGTCAGCGGCGGGGTTGGTGCCCTGGGCTCCCGCCCCCCACCTTTCCCCTTTTCTCCTCCTCCCCTCTCCAACCTCGGGGGCCTGTTCGGTGGGAGGGGTGGGTCAACGCTCCGCTCTGACGAGAAGCCGTCACAGCCCACAGGCGCTCAGCGCCCCAACCAGCCGTCATGCCCCGGACCACCTCGCTGCCCGCTTTTCTGCTGCTTCTTTTGGGCCTCGCCGCCCATGTCGTCACGGGTAAGCTGCCCCCTTGCCGCGCCTCTCCTCTGCGTGAGAACCGGGAATCTTTGCGATTGCCTTCCGTGCCAGTTTCTTCCAAGAGCGTCCAAGAGGGGCTGGTCCTGACCGGGCATCTCCCCTCACCTGCTTGCCCACCCTCCTCCGCCAGCCCTCCCCACTCGGGGCGCTCTCTGAACAGGAAGGAGAGTGGGAAGTGAGGGGCTAGCGGCTCAGGATCCGAGAGCTCCCGCCCTCTTCCACTGTGTACACTTTCTCAGATAAGATCCCCCTTGGCGAAAGGGGACCCCAAACCGGCCTAGTTGACTGGAGAGTGGAGAGTTAGCGTCCCACGACGAGCAGTTTCAAGACCTCTTGGGGCTGAAATGAGAAGCAGGGAAGCTGGCTGCGGATATTTCCCCAGCTCAAGTGCAGCCGGAGTGGAAGGAGGAGGGTGGGGGTGGGAGGAAGCAGGCCCTTTTGCTTGCTACAACGTTGTTTGTCTAATTGGTTGGCGTTCAAGTTGTCGAAACAGGAAAACAGTTCAGCCAAATAACCCCTAAATCGAAATGGGACGTGAACAGGCAAAGCTTGGATTCCACTTAAACTATATGATTTAAAAATCTTTAAGCCTGGTCTGTTGTTGTGCAAGAGACATCTGAAAAATTACGCATGATTAGTCAGTCATTTCCAAAATGACTCTTGAAAACAGCTACTTCGACCGAATGTGTTTTGTTTTGAAACAAATTTTACATGCAAGTATGTCAAAAATGTTGATGAGGAACTCTGGGGAAAGATTCTATCCAAAAATACTATTGATTGAACAAATTCGGGAATTAAAGAACAAAATAAACAAGAACTGAGTGAATACTTGTGTTAGTCTGAATAATACGATTATGCAAGAGTTTGGTTTTCTTTTCCCCTAAATTTTACTGCCATTTTATAAATTCCTGCTCAAAGCCTGCTGACTGGCAGAACTATTTCAAAGGAAATCATTCTCAAGGCGCTCAATGTTGGCCGCAGCAGCAGAATAAGCAGCTTAGAACTTACCAACTGGAGTCTTTTTCCCTGAAAGTGTGTGGACTAAGAATTATGAGCAGTCACGCCTTCTGCTGCCTGTGAAGGAGCAGAAACCAGAGCTGCCCATTTTCACACTGTTCAGACTGAGACATTAGTTTTGACTTAAGAGACAAGGCTGGACTAGCGATTCGGTCAAGGCTGAACTGTCTTCCTGCACACCCTAATGACACATCACACTCACCAGTAACCTCCTACTCTCTGATTTCCCTTTTAGCCCACCCTTTGTGTTATCATGCCTTCATCTATTCAGCTTGTGAAAATATACCTTTGCCGGGTTTAAAAAAAAGTTTCTAGATGTTGTATTTCTCTTTTTCAGAGAAATTGTTTTTATCAGCAATAGCAGACAAGCTATCTTTGGAAACATTTGTTCTTTTCCTTTTCATAGGTTCAATAGGGATAAATAGGCTTTTTAAGAGCTTAAGAAATGCATGTTGAATAAATTAATGCTGTTAATTCACCAGGTTTTCTCAGTCAGTAGGCTTTAAGGATTACTTTAGAAAGTGTGTGAGCTTTGGAATTTGGTACAAATAGTGTGGCCTTGATCATGTTACCCAATTCATTTCACTTCAGTAACAAGAGGCTATACTCCATAGGGAAATCACTGACTTTATAAATCTAGCTGTCCTTCCCTCTATCCCTTTTATGCCAAATGAAAGGTAATTATTGCAATTAGAATACATCATGTGAATGTTACTTTCTGTGTGTTGGTTGTATATGGCTACTGAGCAGATTCCCATACAGATTGGTGATATAGGGCTAAAACATGGTATCATTTTTTTCATCAAAGTAGTATTATCCCTCCATACCCAGGAATATCGGTTTCAGAAACTTCTGAGAATACCCAAATCTATGGGTTCTTAAGTCCCTTCTATGAAATTGTGAAATATGTGTATACTTTAACTCATTTCTACATTGCTTATTATATCCCTTACAGTGTAAGAGCTATGAAAAGTTGTTATTCTGTTTTGTTTAGGGGATACCAACTAGAAAAAATAGTCTGTACCTGTTCAGTACAAACACAGCCATCATAGGTCTACTTGTGTAGCTTCTATATACTTTTGATTTACAATCGTTTGAGTCCTCAATGCTAAACCCATGGAGAGCTAACTATAGCTTACAAAGCTCCTTCCCAGACAGATAGGAATCATTTTCAACTTACACTAATTCAAGACAGACCTTTTCAAAGGTTATCACAGAATTAATTGAATAGCAAAGTCTTAACAGAAAAGCTCTCTGGTATTACATAATATAAATTGAATGTTGGAATTAAAACTATTGTTACTGTTCTGTTATTTTGGGTTGTATTTGTGTAAGTGATCTTCTATTGTTCTTATTTGTTTTCTGGAAAATTACAATGAATAGAACATTCTTTGAATTCCTAAGTAAGGTTCCACACATCCCTTTTAAAAAGTTCTTCTGTAATGGTGCTTTTTTTTTTTTTTGCACACAGTAGTCAGTATATGTTTATTGGGTCAGTGATTTTCCATGGTTGGCATTAGGTCATTGGATATAAACATATCCAGGGCAAATCCTCATTCTGTGGTCTTCGTGTTGGTCACAATCTAGATTAGCAATTTTGAGTTGCCATAGGCCTAGGTGTGGATCTCATTCCTTCTTCCCTGCTGTCATCTCTTCTCACCCTGCCATTCACTGTCTGTGTTGACCTCCTGAAAACTTAAGGCCTGGCCAGTTCTTCTGCCCAGACAATTCTCCCCTTCCTTGGTCTTCAGTTGGCTACATTTACCCACATTTATTGAGGTTTCTGTTCACATGTCAGCTCCTCAGATCTGCTGACTCTGAACACCCACATTATCACATACCCATGTTTTATGTTCTTTAAAGCACTTAATACTATCAATGTGTCTGGCTTATATAATCCTTTGTCTTCTTGCTTGTACCCTTACCAGAAAAAAAGTGCCGTAACAATGGAAACCTCATTGTGTGTGATTTTTTTTGTTTTATATCTCTATACTTTAATTTATAATAAAAGGACAAAAATTTAGATGAGTGATTTTAAAAGTAGTGTGATAATTGGATTGCAATTTCTTTCTAATTATTTTACCTCTGCCATGAACTCATAATTTAATTCAAAGCATTAAATTATCTGCTGACCCTTGTAGATGGCACAATTATGTTTCAGGGGAAATTATCTCAGGTATATTTTGGTCAATTTTGAAATCTTAATGAGTGTTTATTTTTCTTTCAATGAAAAAGTGAAATTACAATTAGATATTATTTCAGGACTTTTTTGATTGTTGAGCAGCTTTTAAAATGTGCAGGAAGCTAGCTTTACAAGATTATTATCCAAGCTTTTGTAACGCTGCCTATCAAGTAGTTTATTTCTATTATGGGTTATTTTAGATTTTAAGGGCAATTCTGGAGATGGAGACTCTAAGAAAACACAAGTGATGCCCAATGAAGAAGGTGCAGAGTTGCAATGGCATCCACTTAATGAGCAAATGTGGCAGCTCTTTAAGAAAGAATTTGAGGAGAAAAGATTGAGGAAGGCGTGCTGGAAGCTAGTAGGAAAGGGTAATGTGGAGAGGAGTTGGAGTGACAGACTGGGTGATCTTTTTGTGATTCTAGACAGACCTGGAAGCCCTTTGTACAGGTTCAGCTCCATCACCTCCCCCACCCCTCACCCCCATATAAACTAAACAGTAAAAACACTCTTCTTTTGTCTGCCACAGTTGCCCTTGTGGAAGGAAGTGGCTGCAACTTTTATCTTAATCGGGGAGGCAAAGGTCTTATTGACAAGGGGAAAAAATACAGTCTTTGGCTTTCCTTTGTTAACATTCAGAACAAGTATGTCTAAAGGATCACTTCCTCTTCTTCTCTGCCTAGTTGTTTTAAAAAAAGAAATTATAAGGGAACAGAGAGTTCTGTTAGAACTGACTGGTAATATGAAATATTTGTGTGAACATACCACTTTATTTTTTTAATCACATGGTAAATTTAGGCAGAAGGTCTATATTGAAACTATTGGACTAATGTTACACAGAAGGTTTTAAATTCTCACATAAATTTCTGTACACATTAAATCAATAGAATTGTAAGATCCATAGGAATCTTTTATCAACAAGCTCTCTTAAGCTCTCTTTCAGGACTGCTATGAAGAAGTAGAATGAAAAAAAAATGAAATGAAAAAGAAATGAAAAAAAAAACAATTTGGTGGGCAGGTTTTTTGCTTTTTTTTTTCCATAAAGTATACTTATTGGAGTATAGTTTTGTAAAGAATATTACACAACCTGTCAGTGAAAGGGTATGGCAGTATTGGAGGACAGGATTTTGTTATAGCACAGATATTTCAAATTGAAGACTTAGTTTAGCCTTCCTCTCATGAAGTGCTTAAAGTTTAAATGGAGATGTAGCCAGTCTCCATTTGAGCACTATTCCTATCAAAGTAAAATGTTTATTTTGTGAGTAGTGTTTAGAGCTTATTTGTAAGACACAGACCTGTAGCATGAGAAATATTCAACATGAATGGAGTCGGAAAGGATTATGCTAAACAATATAAGCCAAAAGGACAAATACTAGACGGTGTCAGTCTCATCTGAAAGCAAATGGTCAAAGACAAACTTAAAAACCAAAGACTTAGAAGCTGAGGGCCCTCCCTGGTGGTGCAGCGGATTAAAGCACAGCACTGAGAAGTTAAAGCCACTTCAGCATGAATACTATCCCCTCCCTGGAGGTGACCACATGGTATGGCAGACCTCTCCTGACTCACCTGCTGGTCCCCTCAAGCAGTGTACTTTGTCAATCTGTCTGCCTGTTCTGCTCCCCACTCTGTCTCTGGTGAGTCCTCTCACTGCCCCTGCACCTCTGGCTTGTACCCCAGTTCTGTATGCACAAATAAATAAATCTTAAAAAAAAAAATCTGACCATAGAACTGAGGCAACCAGAGGGGTTGAGAATGGTGAGAAAATGGATAAAAATAGACTGTGGTAGAAGATTATGGGTGCTTAGGTGATAGGTGCATATGGTAACTACTCCTAAAGAGAGCAATCTTATACGTCCAAAATACTAATAATTATGTAAAATTGCACTTAAGTGAAAATTTAAAAATAAAAAATTAATTGTGGAATATACAATCAATGAATACTATGCAGCTATGAAAAAGATGAAGTAGTGGCTTCTGAGACAAAATGGGTGGATCAAGGTAACATAAGTCAGAAAGTAAAAGATATGATTTTACTTGTCTGTGAAATATAAATAACAGAAGAAAATACACAGATTACAGCAAGAATAAATCTTGAACTCAGGGAAAGACTAGTGGTTACTAGAAGGAACTGCAGGAAGGAAGGCAAAGAGGGTATTGGTAGTGTGGTGGTGTATGAGTAGAACATGTGTATAGGTGAAAGGGAAAAAATGTTGCCCCAAATTAAAATTAAAAAATTTTTAATGTTAAAAATGATTCAGTTTTGGGCCCTCCCTGGTGGCGCAGTGGGTTAAAGCACAGCATGAGAAGCTCAAGCCACTTTTGCCTGAGTTCGATCCCCACCTGCCCCAGAGGAGATCCACATGGCGTGGCAGACCTCTCCGCCCACTGCGGATGTACTTCGTCCATCTGCCTGTTCTGCTCTCCACTCTGTCCCTGGTGAATCCTCTCACCCTCCGCATCTCTGGCCTGTACCCTAGTTCTGTATGAATAAATAAATAAATCTTAAAAAAAAAGATTCAGTTTAATGTGGAAAGCTGAGATAGATCAAACACCAGTCTCTATTCCTAGTCAACTAGGTTGTGAGTCCAAAGAAACTCCAGTGAGTGCCACTCCAGTGAACACATGAATGATGTAAAAGTGTAACAGCCTTATTGCTAATGTGGAGAAAGTTTTAGTGCCTGGATAGAAGATCAAAACCACAACATTCCCTTAAGCAAAAACCTAATCAGAGCAAATTCCTAAGGCTGAGAGACTTTTGGAAGCTGCAAAAGAAATGTTTGAAGCTACAGAGTTTTGTTAATGAGGTCTAAGAAGTTGTTTCCATAACATACAAGTGGAAGGTGAAAAAAATGCTGATGGGTACAGCAAGTTAACCAGAAGATCTAGATAAGACCACTGATGAGGGTGGTGACACTTTAAACAACAGATTTTTAATATAAACTGGAGACCCTCCTATTGGAAGAAGGCGCCATTTAGGACTTTCTTAACGAGGTCAAAGCCTAGCTTCCAACTTTCAAAGGACAGCCTCCTCTCTTCTTAGGGGCTAGTGGAACTGGTGACTCTTAAGTTGAAACCAATATATATTTACTCTGAAAATTTTAGAGTCCATGAGAATTATGGTAAATCTATACCATGCACTATTAGTGGAATAAAAAAAAAACTTGGATAACACGTATCTGTTTGCAATATGACTTTACTGGGTATTTTAAGCCTGTTATTGAGAGTTACTACTTAGAAAAAAATTCTTTCAAGCATTACTATTCATTAGCAATGCACTTGGGCATCTAAAAGCTCTGATGGAAGTGTATAAGGAGATGAACACTATTTTCATACCTGTAGCCTAGAGATCAAGGACTTATTTGATCTTTAAATCTTATTATTTAAAGAAACAATTTATATTTATATTCTTATATTTATAAGAATATAACTGCCATAGACAGTAATTCCTTTTATGGATTTTGGCAAAGTAAATTGAAATGATGAAAAGATACATCATTCTAGATGCCATTGAAAACACTTGTGACTCATGGAAGGAGGCCAACATATCAACATGAACAGAAGTTCAGAAGAAATTGACTCTGCCCCTCATAGATGACTTTGATGAGTTTAAGACTTCAGTAGAGGAAGTAACCACAGATGTAGTGGAAATAGCAAGAGGACTAGAATTAGAAATGGAGCTTTAAGGTGTTATTGGATTGTGGATTGTTACAACTCCATGATAAATCTCATAAATAAGTGTTGCTTCTGATGTATGAGAAAAGAAACTAATTTCTTGAGCTATAATCCACTCCAGGTGAAGATGATGGGAACATTGTAATGACAACAAAGGATTTAGAATGTTGTATAACTTGATAACGTAGCAGCAGGGTTTGAAAGGATTGACTCTCAATTTGAAAATAAGTTCTTCTGTGGGTGAAATGCTATCAAACAGCATCACATGGTCAGAGAAATCTTTTGTAGAAGGGTCAATTAATGTGGCAAACTTCATTGTTGTCTTATTTTAAGAAATTGCCACAACCACCCACCCTTCAGCAGCCACCACCCATCCTGATCATTCAGCAGCTATCAACATAAAGTCAAGATCATCATTAAAAGATTACAACTTCTAGAAGGCCCAGATGATGGTTAGTATTTTTTAGTAATAAAGTATTTTTAAATTAAGATGTGTACATGGTTTTTTAAAAGAAATTATGCTATTGCACATTTAATGAACTACAGGGTCACATAAACATAACTTTTATCTGCACTGGGAAGACAAAAAAAGTATGTGATTTCCTTTCTTGTGATATTTGTAATATTGCAGTGTCTAGAACTGAATCTGAATCTCTTTTAGGGTTGTCTGTAATCAGTTCCTGATTTAAAAAAGACTGAGAACTTTGTCACTAATCAATAAGGAAAATTGCCATCCTTTTTTTTCTGTGAAAATTTTATTATGATATCTTTATCTTCAAGAAATCATGAGATACTTATTCTCAAGTTATTTAATAATTTTTCTCATTTTCTGCATAGACTGTCCTTCATCTACCTGGATTCAGTTTCAAGACAGTTGTTACCTTTTCCTTCAAGAATCCATCAAAGTAGAAAGCATAGAGGATGTCAGAAATCAGTGCACTACCATTGGTAAGGAATGAACCCTTTGTTTCACAAATCAGTAAACAATATTCACTAATGTCTTTAAAAAGTGGCTTTATGATAACTCAGTTTTATCTTATAAGGTAAGGAGATAACTTTTATTCTACAGGACACACACCACAGACAGTGGAATTGGGTAAACACTTAACCCTTAAGTTGACAGATAAGACAATACTGTTGAAGCCAGAGTGAAAGAACGGTAGCAACAGCAATGTTGTTAGCACATATATTCTGTGCTTAAATTAAGTACACCGTATACTTTGCCTGGCCCATCATAAAAAAAAAACTGTCAAGTGGGTTATTTATTAGACTCCTCTTATCTAAATAAGAAATTAAGTTTAGTTATTTGTTTTAAGGTCACACAGATGAGATCCTGGGTGACAGCAAGGATGCTAACCAGGATCTGTTTGATTTGGGGACTAGAGTTCTACTCACTTTGCTGTTCAGCTATGAAAGTGCTACCTTAGGCCTTTGAAGTGGGCAGAAATCACATTACACAAGATCATGAAATGAGACTGTAGTAAAGAATGGTATGTTCAAGAAAAATGAGGAAAAGGTTATTTAAAGGATACACTCAATGTTCTATGGAAATGTATTTATAAATGAAATTTTTTTTAAGATTTATTTATTTATTCATACAGAACTAGGGTACAGGCCAGAGATGCGGAGGGTGAGAGGATTCACCAGGGACAGAGTGGGGAGCAGAACAGGCAGATGGACGAAGTACACTGCTGAGGGGAGCAGCGGGCAGGTCAGGAGAGGTCTGCCACACCATGTGGATCTCCTTTGCGGCAGGTGGGGATAGAACTCATGCAGAAGTGGCGTAGGCTTCTTAGTGCAGTGCTTTAACCCACTGTGCCACCAGGGAGGGCCCTATAAAGGAAATATTTTAAAGAAAAGTTTTATTTTTAAAAGGTATGCTTGAGTTCTCCTGACCTATTTAGGTGTTTAATCTGAAGTGCATCCTTGTTATTAAGTTGCTAATTGTTATAATATATGTCAGCTCAAACTAAAACTATAAGGTAAACTAGCATTTTTTCCTTTGAAGTATCAATGACTTTGATGTCAGAATTCTTGTTTCTGTAAAGGTCTTTTAATTATTGTGTGAGGTCTAAAATTCTCTGGATTAATTCATCATAGGCATATTCAAAACTTAAGGGCACTTTACTTAACAAAACATGCTGACAACTTACCAATATAAATGTTGGAGGAATATAAAGTTATATGGTTACTTTAATTAAAGTCATATTTCCTTATTCTAAAAAAATATAAACAGAAATTTTAAGTCTTATGTAGTGTCATACAGTATCCAGTAGATATTTATTTTTTCCCTTTTAAAAGCTCTTGCCAACTGCTCACAGTTTTACTGACCTTACAGATATTTTAAATGGGGTTTCTCCTACAATTATTTTCTCTCTCTTAAACAAACAAACAAACAAAAAACACTTAAGGGGCCTCCCTGATGGTGTGGGGATTTAAGTCTCAGTGCTATCTCAGTCTCAATTCATGATATTCCCCTGTGGCCTGAGTTCAGTTCCGGCCAGGGAGGTGACCCACATGTCACAGCAGACCTCTCCTTCTCGCTAGCTGCTCCCCTCAGCAGTGCATTTCAGTAGATCTGTCTGTTCTGCTTCCCATTCTGTCTCTGGTGAATCTTACCACCCCCCCTCCCCCTACACCTCTGGCTTACACCCTAGTTCTAATATGCAAAAGAAATAAAATCTTTTAAAATAATAATAAATTTTACTTTAAAAAACATTTAGGCATATTTAGACATAAACACAGATTTCAATAACAGAATTTATATTTGAAGCTCAGAACCAAAAAAAATATGTTCTTGTAATCTTATATGTTCTTAATCTTATTTGTATGAACCACAGGTTGAAGTTCATTGTCTTGCTTTATCTTAAGCAGTGAAACAATTTTTTACTATATAGAAGCATAATTAACACTGGCTGACTGACTTCCTCTATAATCCAACTGTAGTTGTAGGTGCTATTGTTTTCTTACCAACAAAGCAAAACAAAATTGATAATAACCAGAAATTTTGTGGCCTGATATTTTTAATTTGATTTTTTTTATTGTAGCCTCATTTTTGATTGCTTGTTTCATAGTCCATTAACTACTTGTTTAAGCAGGTTAGTCATTTAGGAATTTTTAATTTTGTATGCAAATTTTCTTGTAAAATTTATCTTGTGACTCAAAAAAATGTCTTATGGGTACTGGGTAAAACCAAGGAGTTCCCAGAAACCCCAAATTCTTAAGTTCAAAGGGAATGTGTGACATCACATGACTAGCAAAGTAATTATATTTGCGTGCTTAAAGATTTTTGAGAGAAAGAGAAGTAGTGAAGAGAAGGGTTTCAAAATATAGTTTCCTGATCAAATTCCAAAATTACCTATCTCTTCACTTGTAAATGCCTAACCAAAGAGGCAGGACCCAGAGCTGAGAAGGCAAGGCTTGAGCAAAGAAGCCAGGAGTTGTCCAAGGCACACATCAACAAGACCAGGGAGGGCCCAAAGAATTGGGTGAGGAGAAACCCAAAGTTCAGAATGTACTATCCTGGCTGGAAGAACTACCAGTTTGGGAATAATGACTGTGGCCATTATCTCTAAAGAGAGAATTGGACCCACTGTGCTGAAGCTGTGAAGAGCAAAACCCTGGAGCAGCCTCTGCCTGCAGGTCATTTGTTTCCGTTTCCCATACTCTTCACCTCACTCCTTCCCTCCCAGTAGTACCCCACCTCAAAGTTTTTCATTGCACACAGGGAGTTATAGTGAGATACCTGAAGTATCCATCAAAGTTTCTACCACCCCCACATAGTCTGCAGCTAGGCTAGGCCCAGCTGCAGCAGCCGGCCTGCTCTAACACTTTCTCCCAGTTATATCAGTTTGTTTTATTTTTGTTACTGATTTGATATTTTTAAACTTCTACTAACCTCACCACTTAATAATCCTGTACATTTGCCTTCACTCTGGAAATGCCCATTGCATCAATGAATCAAAAAAATTAGCTAAATTAGTCATTTTTGGAGAGGAAAGTCTTTGGTTTAGAACAGTAGATGAACATAAACTCACTGTCTCCTATGTAAGAAGAAGAAAAAGCATAAGGAATATGAGGATATTCACATTTGGATTTATAAAATTTTCAGAGCAATATAAAATCCTACCTTCAATCTATGATTGTTGTGGGTATAGAAAATAAGTGACTTGTTATCTACTGCAGAGAGCCAGACTGAGAAATACACCCAGGGCTTCATGCTGATCTACCTGATGGTATTTCTCCTTATTTTTGGTGCTAATATTCATTAGGAAAGTAATTGTGAGGCTGTTATTTTTTTTTCAACATTTACCTTTAATTTATATACTATACTTAACAATAGAACAAATAAATACTCTCAATCTTTTCTTTTCATGATCTAAGCTAAGTCACAGCCATAAAAAGAATTAAAGACCCAAATTACATCTCAGCAGGTAATGTCATTGGTAATGCATTGTAAAAAAATGTGCTTCAGCACATGCATTCTTCAGGGATTTATGCTGTCATTTGTTAGAGAAAATGAAAGTGTGTATTATTTACCTGACATAATAATTTACGTTTAGACAGTATTTAATTAGATTACAATGTTAAAAGTCATTAGAGTTCCATTGGCTGCCACAAGGTCAAAGAAAAAAAATGAAAAACTCGTCTCTGAACATTTAAGCCTAAACTATAACCTAGTTAAATCTTGTAGATTTTTCTAGAGTGGCATTTTGGTCACATTTTACCATTAAGGACTTACAGTAAAACAGATTAAAAGTTTGTATGACATTAAACAGACAGAAGTTTATAAGAAAATTTTCATAATTATTTTAAGAGATAGGACTGAGAGAACATGCTGAATTCTGACTTTGCATTAAATATCGTTTTAAAAGTCAGTCTTAATTTTACTTGTAAAAGTTACTAATTAAATAATATGAGTATTATGGAAAACTCATATATGCAAATCTTCTGACACTAAAACAATCACCTTAAATAGCACCATCCTAAGGAAATGCAATGGCTTTGTTAACATTTTGTAAATATCCTTCTAGACTTCCTTCCTCACATAGGCAAATATGTTTTAATATATCTTGCTTTTTCTTGTAATAGAAAGGGCTCGTCCAATAAAGACTTTTCTGTGATCTGCATTTTCCTTTACAAATATCTTTCCGGGCCTTCCCTTGTGGCTCAACAGGTTAAAGCACAGCACTAAGAAGCTTAAGCCACTTCCACATGAGTTCGATTCCCGCCTGCCCTGGAGGTGACCACATGGCGTGGCAGACCTCTCCTGACCCTCCCGCTGCTCCCCTCAACAGTGTACTTCGTCCATCTGCCTGTTCTGCGCCCCACTCTGTCTCTGGTGAATCCTCTCACCCTTCGCATCTCTGGCCTGTACCCAGTTCTATATGAATAAATAATTCTTTATATATATAAAAAAATCTTTCCACAGTAGTAAATTTAAAAAGTGCTTATTTACTAATAATTCTACCTTATTCTACTATATAGATAGGCCATAAAATCTCAGCTATAGGTTGCTCAAGTATTTCTAACTTTTCAGCATCATAAACATGTGCTCATTTGAGGACAGAACCAGTGACTGCTTTACCATAAATTGTTAAGTTTTGCTGAGTCTAGAATATGTATTTTCTTAAAGGACCTTTGATACATCTTGCCAAATTGTCTCTAAAATGGTTTTGCTGGGCTCTCCCTAGTGGCACAACAGGTAAAAGTGCAGCACTATGAAGCTATCCGCCACCTCTTAAGCAAAGAGTTTGATCCCTGGCCAGGGAGGTGACCTTCATGGCCTGGCAGACCTCTACTGTCTACCCGCTGCTCCCCTGAGAAGTGTATTTCAGTCCATCTGCCTGTTCTGCTCCCTACCCTGTCTCTGGTGAATCCTCTCACCTTCACCCACTCCCCTCTGGCCTGTACCCCAGTTCTTGTATGCATGAATAAATAAATCTTTAAAATAAAATGGTTTTGCTGATCTTTACTCCTACTAACCACTAAACAGCTCCTATTTTTCTACACCCAAGTCAGCATGCGTTTGAAAATCTTATTTTAATCTTCATTTCTTTACCACTCAAATTGCTTTTTTACACTCATTTCTTGTGTTTTATTTTCTTTTGTGAGGGTAAATTGCCTTTTTAACAATTTGAAACCAATTTTTGTCATTTATTAAGGTGCTTGCCTTTTTACTTTTTATTTATAATACAGCTTTAATCTTTTCAGTGTGATTTTCTTCTTTAATATGTTTCTTGGGAAATTTCTGACCCTACACATAATTATTCTTTTCCTTTGTAGTTAAATTTATTATTTTTTTAACAAAATTTCTTTTAAAAGATGTAATCATGCAGTATTTCTTACCATGTCAAGTAATGCCATAAAAGGAGGCTTCTCTTCTCCCTGTGACAGTTAACATTTTATTATGAAAATTATTTTAAATAGTATCTTGAATACAGTAGCCTATACCTTAAGCCTCTATAATTCCTGAGTTGTGGTACCAGGATCAGAAACATCAATATCACATGGGAACTTAAGGATTTAAATTCTCAAGGTCCCATCTCATGCCCACTGACTATCTCTGGGTGTGGTGACCAGCATTGTATTCTGCAAGCTCTCCAGATTAATCTGATCCACGCGCAAGCTCTGTTCAAAGATAACTTTTAATATAGACACATATTTTACACAAGCCTATCTTCCCCTGGAAAATTATAGGACCATAGTTACTTCTACAATTCCTAACTTTAACGTTATGTTCCTTAGGAAAATTTTCATGTTATACTCATTTAGCTGAGTACTACTGAAAGGATATTTCTTGTTACTTCTCTTTTATTTTCTCCCAATGCACAGATGTGTCTTCTCTACCAGAACTCCACTTGCTAGTATCAACTTTTATGTCGTCATTCAATTGTTTTCATCTGCAGAAACGTTCACTGTCATGAGAGAAACAAATTTCACTAGTATTTGTCTGAAGGGTTATCTAATTAACACGGTGGAATGATTTTTGATATGTGAGACAATCTTTGCTTGGTTTAAGAAACAAGCTTAAATATCTCTTGGAAAGTTGAAACTACTACTAATCTTTATAGGGTGCTAGATAACTTACGGATTGTAATAACAAAGATAGCTGAGATATAAAATACATGTGATTGCTGCTCCATAATCTTGACTAGATGAAAGTCCCAGGAAAAACCAACTATCCAATGAGAAATTGTCCATTATTGGACAATTTCCTTAGCCAGGACTTTGAAAAGATGACTACAGAAGTATATATGGGAAGTCATACAATGCAGGCTGCTAAATGAGCCTGGTCCAAGAGGTTGTTGTTAAACTCCACTGGCCATGGTTGTGTTCTTCCTTTTCAGCTCTCCTGGATGTGGTCAGAACTTCTCATTGCACTTGTGAACTGAGGCAGGAAGACCCTAGTTGTTTGAGGAAGTTGAGTGAGAAAAGGAAAGTGAGAGCTACGTGCATTTTACTGCTCAAACCTCTTCATGATGTTTTATTTCCATTTTTATAAACAAGATTACCAACTATAGGTGAATGAGAAATATAGTTACTCAATTGATTATTGTCATTTTACTTTTCTCATGAGTAAATATATCTTCAGAAATGTGCAGTCTCAAGCTAAATTTAAAAAATGTGAAAGTATTATAATACATAATTTTTATATGCTTCGTGTGATTTTCATTCACCCTGAGAACATGTTGGCTTTTCTCTCCCTTAAATAATTTCAGGGGCAGACATGATAAGCATACATAATGAACAAGAAAATGCTTTTATACTGGATACTTTGAAAAAACATTGGAAAGGCCCAGATGATATCTTACTAGGCATGTTTTTTGACACAGATGGTAAGTGATATTTTCCTAGTGGGACATCATTTTTTTTAATGTTAATAAAACTGATGACTTTAATTTTTTTTTAAATTTTCTAGTTCAAATTGTTATTTCTGTGGTCTGCAGGTGTTGAATTTTCGTATGTGCTGATGACTTGTACTGCAGCTTTCCTTTTATCAGCTCAATGTATTTAACACATAAAAGTCAAAGTTGACTGTTTTTTCTGGATTAAAATGTGGTTATAGGTTAATTATTTTTACAACAGGAAAGCAATAGGGTAAGCATAGACGGAACTATCAAATTTGTACTGTGTAAATGTATGTTATTACTATAGAAAATAGAAAGTACATGAAGATTTTCAAAATGAAATTACTAAGGTTACTGCATAAGTATGTTTTGTTTTTCTTGGCTCTATCCCTAGGAAAGTGTTCTTATACTTTTTCCTTTTCAAAAATGGAATCCTCAGAAACTTCTTGAACCATTACCTCTGATTTGTATACAAGATACATGTCTCCTTTTAACTCCTACAGTCAAAAGACAGACCTTAGTAACTTCCTGCTTTTAATCTTTGGCTGTTTCTTTGACTTCTTGTAAATACCTTCTGACACACTATCATAATATTGAAAATATTTCTCAACTGACAGATGCATGTTTCAAGTGGTTTGATAAGTCAAACATGACATTTGATAATTGGACAGATGAAGAGGATGATGAAGATCTAGTGGACACCTGTGCCTTTTTGCATACCAAGACAGGTGAATGGAAAAAAGGAAATTGTGAAATTTCTTCTGTGGAAGGAACTCTATGTAAAACAGCAAGTAAGTATGACTGAAGACCCTTTTCCATTTGAGAGAAAAGTAGGACTGGCCTTAAAATAATTTTGAGATAAGTATGCCCCAATAAGTAGAAGGAGTAAGACTTCAGGGTATATTAGTTTGCTCCTAATTTCAGAGGTTGGACCTAATCATGTGAACTAAGGGGTCAAAATTCCTTCTTGTTCACGGTAATTACCATAGCCTTTCTGAATGCAATTTGATTGAACAGTGGAAGTGGTAAAGAAAAATCCCAGTCTGATTCCAGCATTCTGTTAGTCTACAAAGAATTTGATTCTGTACAGAAGCAAATATCATTTTTTTAGGTAAAGGAAAATTTCATTGTTGTTTGTAATTTATTCAGGATTAAAATATTTTTCTTTCCTGACACATTAGAGTGTCTTCTGATGAGCAAAATTATCCTGTTCCACATTTTGATGTTATTGTTAAATATTAGACAAAGCTTTTTGCCTTCTAACTTTTATAAATAATTATTTGTTAAAAACAAAATTTCAAACTGTCATTTTGGGATACTTGAAGCATGACAAACTTCCCCACTTTATATCCTAAGTATTTTCCCCCTCTATATCAGTTGTAAACCAAAACTGTATATATGCCTCTATTTCCTTTCTATACATCTCAAATTATATACTTTTTTTTTTAACTTGCCATAGTAAGGTTCATAACTACAACCAGTTTTACAATGATTATGTGAGATTTGTCATAGTTTTATGGTTGTGGCATTCAGCTTCCAATATTTGTTTTTTTAGCTTTCAATATTTGTTTTTTAAGTATTGGTTCTTTTCATGCACTCTGCCTCAAGGCACCATTATCCAGACCAATTTTAAATTAAACTATAACCCAAATATCAGGAGTGACCATACTAATGACGTAAGGTCACAGTTGTATGTATCAGTTTTATGTTTATTTTTTACTGCCTTTCAATCAAAGTCCTCTATTTTGTTTACTTCATCATCTTTTTCTTGAGTTTTCTTATGTTTCTATCAAAGGCACCATTATCCAGACCAATTTTAAATTAAACTATAACTCAAGTATCAGGAGTGAACAAGTCCATACTAATGACATAAGGTCACAGTTGTATGTATCAGTTTTATGTTTATTTTTTACTGCCTTTCAATCAAAGTCCTCTATTTACTTTTCTTGAGTTTTATTTTTCTATCAATCAAGCTAAAGCATTTGGTAGTCCTATTTTTTAAAACTAAGCTTGTAACAGATAACACACGTTGCCAAGCAATAGAAATATGGATAGTATTGTTATAAAGCATCCATTTTAAATTATTTTCAGTGTTTAAAAGCAATCTTAGAATAAAGCATACAAAAATTTAAATTTTTATTTTCTTTTATGTTCTAGTTCCATATGAAAAGAAATATTTATCAGGTAAGTAATGGTTTTGTGTTAATTATTTTTTTTTGCACAAGTTATATTAAGATACAATGGGGTAAAATACACCGCAGAACCTTTTAAAAATGACATGGTGATGTAAACTATTATGTGACAGAAAGGTCTCTCATCTTAGTTATAATGTTTTAAATATAACAGGTTATATATGAAATGAACATTTTTGACATTGAATCATTTTTATTGAATTTTTATACAAAATGATTGCATCTTTTGTTTAAAAAAATCACCTCATAGTTGTACAAGTCATGCAGCATATATCTTAAGAGCTTATTAAATAATATATTTTCAAAAACAACAGGCAATATATTTACATGGCTCAAAAGACAAGGGGAAGGTGGAATCAGGTAAAAGGGTCAATTGCATAGTGGAGGATGGAATTTTATGGTGAACTTAATGTATAGTATTAGATTTGTAACGATGCATGACTGAAACTTATAATACATTACTTCAGTAAAATATTATTTAAAAAAGGCAAAACTTCGTAAGGCAAACTCTTGCCTCCCATCCACTCTAACCCATTTCCCTTATAGCACATCATTTCTAGTTTCTTTTTGCCAATATAAGTAAACAGATATAATTTTGTCCTTTTTATTCACTAGTATATCCTAAAGATCTCTGTTATTACCAACAGATTGCTTTTCCTTCTGATAAGTGCATTCTCTTCCATTAAATGGCTATCTATATTAAACCAGGCAAAGTCTTACTGGATTGTTTCAAAACATTTGCTATGATAAATATAAGAAATTAAATCTCATTAGACAAATGCATGTTTATCTGTCTGTAAATTAGATTCAATGAACTATAACTGCTGGATTTAAAATCAGTATGTAACTTTGATTTTTATGCTATACTAGGAGAAAATGCCATTTGGCATTCTCAGAGTGGTCTGTTATGAAATTTCAGATTTTTACTCTGCATTTTGAGAGACCATTAACAAAGGGTAAAATGTGCAGTTTGATATTTGCTTAAGTATCAACTGTGTTATCAGTTCAGTTAAATTACAGATGGGCTCCCTGGTGACGCAGAGGTTAAGTCTCAGTGCTATCACCACTGCTGCCCTAGTTCTATCCCTCCCCAAGGAGCTAACCCACATGGCACAACAGGCCTCTCTTGTTTCACCTGCTGCTCCCCTAAGCTATGAAATTCAGTAGATCCACCTGTTGTTCCCCCACTCTGTTTCTGGTGAATCCTCTCACCCCTGCTCCTCCAGCCTATGACCCAGTTCTTATATGCGTAAATACAAATACATCTTAAAAATATATAACTTTACACCACAAAGTTCCCTCATACTCCTCCCAATAATCATCCATCTTACCACCATCCACTCCACAGGGAACCACCATGAGTATTTGTTCTTGAACTTTACATAAAGTGAACTCTGTTGGCTTCACTCAAAAATTTACCAACCACACTATGTGTGTATATATTTTATTTTATTTTTATAGTATTTTATAAATATACCATAGTTTGTCCATTCTCTTACTTCTAGCTTGGACTTGATATAGCTGCCTCTGAACATTTTCAAAAAAAGATTTATTTATGCGTCCAAGAATTGGGGTATAGGCCAGATGTGTGGGCAGGGATGAGAGGATTCACCAAAGAGGGACACAGAACAGGTCGATCAACTGAAATACACTGCTGAGGAGAGCAGTGGGAGAGTTCAGAGAGGTCTGGACATGTGAGCCAGCACCTTGACCTGGCATTGAACTGCTGCAGCAGTGGCTGCTGACGCTTTATTGTGCTGAGACTTAACCTCTGGGCCACCAGGGAGGCCCTTCATACCATTTTCTGAACCTATGTTCAGTGTATTCCAAATAGGGGAATCTCAGAGCCATAGGCTAACATTTAGCTCTACTAGGAATCATCAAATAATTTTTAAAGTTGAACCATTTTACATTCCTGTTACTAGTGTGAGTTCCATTTGGTCCTAATTCATTAATGTAATTTTCATTCTCAATTTCCTAATGTTACACACTACACATTTGTTAACCATTTGGGTATTTGTGTGTGTGAGAGAAATAGGTTCATATCTTTTCTTTTTATTGAATTGCTCTTATTTTTTTTTTTTTTTAAACCTTAACACAAGCCCTTTGCCAAGTATCTGCTGATGAGTATTCTCTCTCAGCTTGGAGGGCTTACTGATTGCTGAGTGATGCAAACATTTAAAAAAAAATCGATCAAAACACCACCTCACACCACTGACAATCAGAAAACAGAAAATAACAAGGTTTTCCAGAAAATGGAAACCTTGTGCATTAGATCTCATAAATATGTGAAGTTACCTCCAGTTTTTTTTTATCCTGATGTTGGACAAGGAAGACACAGCAGTGACCAAAACAACAAAATACTTCTGAATTTAAGCGTATAATTTATTAGGAAGGGTGAATATGTCAGATAGTGACATGTGCTGTAGAAAAAAAGAGGGTGAATGAGAATGAATCAGAAATAAAGGGAAGTGTGGCCTGTCCCCTGAGGAGCATGGGCAGGGAAGGCCTAAGATTATCTTTGAGTGAAATGAAGACCTAAAGGAAATGAAAAGAACCTTTCATACAGAAGGGGATTAGGCTTAACAGTAGACCTCATTTGAAGCAACCAGGAGACAAACTAAGAGCTAAGTAGAGTAGCAGTCTTGGCAGAGTTCCCTTTCATAAAGGTAAAGGATAGAAGAGCCTCTAAAGAATGTCATCAAAAGAAAGTGGCTGTGCTAGGGCACATGTAATAAAATATATACAGGGAAGGGGAGGTTAGCCCACTAGGTTCAGTAAGTTTTACTGGAGATAATGCATGAATTAAGTATCCTGAAAGACAGGTAGATACTAGTTAGAAAACAATTATCAAAGGGACGATGGATCAGCATAAACCAGTGATTTTAAATTTATGTTCTGCCACTTAAGAAAATTACCTAAGCAAGTCATATAAACAATTTCTTCAATAGTAAAAATGGGTTATAAAAATCTAGGTTGCATATGTAAGCAGTTGAATTATCTGGCAAGCTGGTTTAAAAAATAGTTTCTTTCATTTTAAAAAGGTGGTTTGTGTAGTTTGGACACAACTAGAATATGAAGGCGGCAGGAAGAGTAATGGCTAAATAGGAAAAAGGTTTAAAAGAATTGCAACCTTGATTAGTGAGTCTAGGAAAATCTAGAATTCTTAGGTTGGAGGACTGTAGTAGTTACTGAGGTCCTAATAGGGGAATTCGAGAAAAAATGGATACAGGGAAGTAAAGCAAGCATCAACTGCATACACTTTTCCATAGATAGATCTGAGATTCAATCAGTTGAGCTCAAACAAGGGAAATTTTGAGTCTGAACATAAAAAGAACCAATGTCAGCTGAGAGTATCTGGAGGGTGGGTGGTTAAGTCAGCTGCAGCAGATAAAATTAAAATATGGCAATGTGTCTGCACTTAGTACAGAGTACTGGTGACTTTGGTTTTAAGACAGATTGTATGAGTTTGAGAAATGATGGGAAACAGCATGTTTCAGTATATACAGGTGTGTTTAGGTTTCAACTTTTACTAGTTTTAAAGAGAAATATCTTGTTTTGCTTTCCTAAATTAGGGCTAGTTGTTAGACAATACTATTTACTCAGGAAAATGAGCAATGGATTTTCAATTAATGGGTAGATAGATTTTCTAGTATAGAACTATCCATTTCTCCTGATGCAAAACCTTTTGAACACACTGCTCATTCACTGCCTCAAGATTGGCTTTCTTCAATGCTAAAGGACATTTGGCAGGAAGTAAAAAAACAACAGCAAATTAATGTATGATTGTGTCCCACCAAATGCTGGATGCACCTTAAATTTTTTACATAGAACTGGGGTGTAGACCAGGGTGTGAAGGGATTCACCACAGAACTGAGTGGGGAGCAGGACAGATTTGCTGAAATATACTGCTGAGAGACAAGGAAGATCTGCTGCTTCACGTGTATGTTGGCTCCCTGACCTGGAATCAACTCAAGCTGTAGTGGGGATTTGATTTTTTACATTTGTTTTCTCAGGTGTAGTCCCCATAGAATTCCCAATTCTGTGCACCATCACAGTAGTCCCTCGTACACATCCCACCTTTGTTTTCATTTCTTTCTCCTCCTCCCCTGCAGAATGTCTTGATTTATAGTTGCTAATTTTTTGTATTATTTTTTCCTTACCCATTAATTGAAAATCCATTGCTCATTTTCCTGAGTATGGTTTTTATTTCTCCTGTAAGTGAAACCATCTGATACTTTTCTTCTGATTTCACTGAGCATAATCCCTTCTAGCTCCATGTTGCTGCAAATGGCATGTTTTTTTGACTGCTTAATAGTATATATATGTGTATATATATATGCATCTTTTTGAGGATACTACACCTCTTAATTTATGTTAATGAATGTCTGTAAATAATTCCATTATGCTTTTTCAGACTATAAACTTATGAGCTGTGATCAGATTAGTGATACTAATTATGAATCTGTACTGTACAGCCACTTGAATTAAAATCAGTATGTTTACATTGGTAAAGTAGGAATTACACTACAAGTAGGCTTTATCAAATTAAAAAAACAAGTAGGTATGAAAGAAATCCTTTTGAATACTCTTGGCTTAACATTTTTATCATTAAAACATCTCTAAAATCATGTCCCATGCAAAATTTTATTAATCCAAATTAAGTAGCAGATACCATTTTCTCACTCCTCCCAACCACGCTTTCTTTTAAAAATCTTGTCAATATTTTAAAAATAACGTCTATCCCTCACCTTAATAACTTTTGGCCAGCTCCTTCTTGTTAAGTTTTAAATTATCCAGGTCTCACTATAAGCACCAGCTGTAATACTGAATATATTTCCATAATGCAGAAATAGATCTGTAAAGAGAAAACTATTCCGGGATTTTTATATTCATATAATTTTATTCAGATAGTAAATCGATATAATTTTGGATCTTTTATTAACAAAATTCAAAACCTAACTCCCACCAAATTTTCCTCACAATTTCTAAAAACAAGTAATTTCCCTGGTTTTACGGAACTAAATTCTTAAGAGGATTACAAGGGTTTTGAATAGCCAATAACTACAAGGTTGCACATAATTACTTCAGGAACACAAGTACAGCTCAAATGAAAGGGAGACACTGCCATTCTGTGTGTTTTTTCACTGAAACAAATCTTGAAATTTCCCCAAAGCCAAATGAACCATTTAGCCTCTTTAATGTAACAAGTATCTAGAAGATTTAAAATCGAAGTCTTAAAAAAACAAACAGAAAAATAGGACTGTGGTGTATCCTTAATGTTGTGGGTTAATTTCAATTTTGGGGACTCAGTAGTGAACTGTAAGGCTTATTTCAAATTTGAAAATACAGCCAATTGTTCAGGCTAAGAAATGTGTATTTATCTTCTCATCAGTAGGAAATTCACATGAACTGTACTACTTTCCCTTAAATGGAATACCAGCAACTTTAAGAACCTGATTTCCCCCTTTTCTTGTCTTTTCAGATCACATTTTAATATCAGCTTTGGTGATTGCCAGCACAGTAATTTTGACAGTTTTGGGAGCTGTTGCTTGGTTCTTATACAAAAGGAATTTGGATTCTGGTTTCACTACGGCTTTTTCAAATGTGTCCCAGTCATCTTATGATGACGACTGTGTTCTGGTAGTTGCAGAAGAAAATGAGTATGCTGCTCAATTTGATTAAGATTTTTAGAAATCTCAGATTAAGACAAATACCTTAACAGTGTTTCCTATGCAAGACTTTAGTATATAACAATAAATATTGTTTATGTGTATAAATATATATTCATATTTCATAAACATTGACTATTCTCATGCAGTGTCACAAAAAATAATATGGTTATAAAACGTTTTTAAAAAGGAATGATATACATTATCAATGGTTCTTAACTATTTCCCAAAATATACCTTACACTTGAATAAGGAAAGCGTAGAGCCCAAATTACAAATAAAAATAAGAACCCAGTTTACCCAGTCTGTGCAATATTTCCCCACCCATTTAGTCTACTTACCTTAGCCTTAGTTCCTTACATTCACGAATGAGTGCCTACGTTAAGCAAGATACAGGAAATAAACCTGACTTTTAATGACTGCTAAACATTTAGACCTCTAATATTTGTCTTATGACTTAGATGTAGAAAAATTTTAGATTTTAACACATTTTCCACACTTTACAATTTCATTACAAAACTTTAACTTTTAAACAAAATAAGTTGCCCAACCAGAGGGGTGTGGAGGCTGGCAGTGAAGGTGATACCTTTATCAGTGTCCCATTAATTCTTTTTTCCTGTCACCATACCTTTATCTATATAAAGTAGCTCAGCATTGATAAACTATTATCCAATGACATGAAAATTAAGAAGAAACTGCAGCAAAACATTGTAATTAGTGTTGTGATTATAAAAACATTATAATTAGTGTTGAAGTGTCTTTGCTGTATTTAGAAACTTCGAAGTTTAAGGAAAGCATTCTTGCTAGCTCACACCCATCATCTTATGAGTAATACTTTTCTGATGGGGAAAACAAGTGACCCAAGTTTGGCCAATGGCAACAAAGTCCATTTCACCAGCCACTATGAATCGAAAATGTCCTTCATCTAATTACTGGCATTTTTGTTTTTTGGTATGAATAAAGTGACACAAGTCCATACTGTGTTGTTATATATACTAAGGAAGCAAATACTACAAAGTCATATACTACAACTATGCTCTAAAACAGCTTTAAGATCCTGAGATCTTGTGCGATCAAGATGTCTATTATTGAATTTTTTTTTTCAAAGATTTATGCAGAACTGGGGTATAGTCCATTGGTAGAGGCAGAGTGAGAGGATTCCCCAGAGATGAGTGGGGAGCAGAACAGGCAGAATGACAAAATACACTCCTGAGAGGAGCAGTGGGCAAAACAGGAAAGGTCTGCTGCACCATGTGGGTCACCTCTCTGGCTGGGGATTGAACTCACTCTGAAGCTGCTGTCACCAGCTTCATAGTGTACTTTAACCCACTGCGCCACTAGGGAGGGTCCTACTGATGGGCTTTTAATAGTACCAATGATGAATATTAAATGACTGGAATTTCTTCATGTATTTTCTATTTTAAGTCTGTTTCTTTGAGAACTAAAAAGCAACCATTTTCTTTTCCTATAATGTTGAAAATGGTAACCGCTAGCCACACGTGGCTAATTAAATATATTAAAATTCAGTTCCTCAACTGCACGAAGTACATTTTGAATGCTCAAACTTCATGATTTAGTAGCTACCACATTGGGCAATCCAAGTTATAGAACATTTCCATTATCACAGAAAGTTTTATTGGAAAGAAATACTCTATAGACTCTCTTCTTCCGCTAATGCCCATACAACTAAGATTACATTTTCGTGTTCATTTGGTAACTTCTACCCAGTGGCAATTCTTCCAAAAAATAGGTTTCTCCACTGTGTGAAGGTAGACCAATTCCCATTTTGGTAGGTCATTTTTAAGGGAATTTTATGGGTCATTAAAATTTTTAAATAAAAATTTCTGTGGGTTAACATAAGACATTCCATTATCAATATAAAACATACCTAAAGATCCACAAAAAAAAGAAGTTCCCTTCAATTGGATTCATAGCATTACTTATATAAGTTCAATACAAACAAATTGACATTTTAAATTTTGCTTCAAGTAAGATATGTAAGCAAATTGAACCACTGTTTAAAAAACATTCCTTCTGTATGAAATGGGATTTGAAATTTTAATTCTTGACTGTAAGGTTGAGGCCTTCTTTAAGTATCAGTTTAAAAAGAAATATTTCAAACTCTAAAGTAAATCAGTATGTTCTTTATTTCAAGCCAAGATTTCACATAAGACCAACAAAGTGTGGGCAAACTGTTTATTCACGTTTGGAAAATTACATGGTTCCAACTTAGGCTCTGAAAAAATACTTTGCTGCCATGACATAAAGACTTTTATTTAATCAAAAACCACCTGAAGGTGTTTCTGAGTATCGTCTATGGATGTTGACAAAGGAAATATACAGTTATGGAAGTGAATATAACTCATGGCCACATTCATGGTGAATAATTATTCATGGTGAATAATAGTAATTATTCATGGTGAATAATTTTGTATGTTCTCCAAAGGTAATGAAAAATATTAAATCACCAAATAAATGCTCAGAATTATCAAGGAACAGCTTACAAAGGACCAGGATCTAAAGAGGTTATTTATATCATTTATCTATAAAGAAGTGACAACACTAAAAAAACATGTTGAAAACCAGTGTTTTTAAACTCTGAATGTGGGATTTAAAAATATTTCGTTAACTTGAGATTTTTTGAAATCAAATCGCACTTGACTGGCAATTCTGATTTAATTTACAGCTGTAATATTCCTAAAAGGAATATCTACATGCTATAGCCTATCAAATATAATCTGCATTTGCAATCAGTACAAAAATGTATCCATCATTTATACATTTTATATTTAAATACCTTTTTAAAAATTAAATTTTATTGCTAAGTGAATTTAGAATCAAATTTGGAAACCTAATATAATGCTCATTACACCCCCTTTCCCATTTTGTTTTTGTAAAACACTGGAAATAAATGATTGTGAAAACGAGACTGTAACTTAAGGCATTTTAAAAGGAAAAGTAATTAGGTGCCACTTGGCATTTTGTTTCAAAAGGATACTTTGTCCCACTTTTTTCACTAGCAAGAGACTAAAACATGAACCTTTTCATAAATATGACTACAGTAATCAGAACACAAAAGAGCTGTCAGCATTAGTTAGCTATTTAAAACAAGGGTAACATTTTCCCACTCACCTAAAAGAAAAATACTTTTGATTACCAGTTTATAAACATCAGATTTCACTGGCATCTTAAAAGGTCCAGTAATGGAATTTAAATTCAGCAACACTCGTGAGTGAATATATATATACATGCATACATCTGTATATATATATTCATTATATATATATAGCCAATGTACTCAACAGGCATTCCTCACAAATTAATTCATACTTAATTGCCAGTTTTAATAAACACACTTGTTCACAGACCATCCTTTTGTCTTATATGAAGTTAGGCAATATCAAATGTTCTGTTATGGTCTCCATCTTCTTCGGAATCATCCTCTGAAGCTGTTGAAAGAAAACAGGATGATCAAGAATGATTTTAAGGGGGAGGAGAATGGAGTTGTGTAAATATGAAGCCAGAACAGCAATGACTTATAAAAATCCCAATTTAGTAACCTGTTTGGTCAATACGGTAGGTTATAATGACAGGGTGAAGGTGGTTTGACTGAGGGTGATATCCATTACAATGTTCCCACCCCACATTTTTTTGTTAGTTATATAAAAATGAAAATGCTTAAAAATGTGGCTCAAGAAATATTGTCTAAAAAGTTTCTGAGGCCAATTCGTGTCCATAGGAGCTAATGGTATATACACTAGAGATAAAGTGAACTGAAGGCAAGTGCTCTCACACACCTGAGAAGAATCTGGCTTATTACCGCTGCAATGTTTGATGCATCCGATGAAAATGAAAAAAAATGTACACAGAATAGTAAGTTATGGGTGTTCTTGCAATTTACATAAAAGTTATGTCTATACAATGCCAGGAAAAAGCTCCACTTAGTAAATAAAAGCTTTATATAGACATAGCCTAAGTCAAAATAAATGGATTTAGTAAAAAACAATTTGTTGAGATTAGTCCTATGCAGCTACACTGTCAGAAATTTATTGTGTATGTGACATTTCTGAGTTCAATTTTTTTTCAGATATTAGCAGCTCAGGAGTTTTCTATAAAACATCCTGAGATGTCTTCAAGAACAACATACTATAAAACATTAAATATTCTGTAAAGTCTATGTGTGAAGAAAAATTGAAGTTCACAGAAAACAAACCATCTATACACATCTCCCCTTTTAGCAGGGGCAGAAAGATTAAATGTATATTCTTCTTGTATTAATATCAGAAAATTTATGAGGACACAGCAAATGGAATCAAGAAAACTACCCTATGTGTTGATGAAAACTCAAGTTTTCATATCTTAAGTCTATTTGCTTATTTTGCTGAATTATTACATTCATTTATAATTAGCGGTATCAAACATATTTAACTCAAGAAATAAGAAATTCTATGGTTAAGTTGTAAGTTATAATAGGGAAAAACAAACTGAAAATAAAAGTTATCACAGAATTTATGTTTTCTTTAAGTAACTAACTCCACAGGAGAAGATAATTAGTCAGAAGGTTTTTAGAATATATTAATACTCCTAAGTATTACAAAGGAGTTACATTGTACCAGGAACATCTTTCACTCTCAACTGAATTTTAACATATTTTACCTCCATCTTTTTCATCTCTCTCACTGGTGGGACTAGACTTTGTTATATTTAAATAGGAATTCTAACAGGAATGTTGGTTTAAAAAAAAAAAAACAAAATCTAGGAAAAATGTAGAGTAAAACAAATTACCGTTAACACACTTGGCAAAGTATAAAATATAGTTTACAAAAACAGAGGTATCTTAGTATTCTCCCAAATTAAGGGATCAATACTAAGAAAGCAAGAGAAAAATTGACTTACAATCAAATAAATTTCATATACCATTGGACTCCATTACTATTTTCATACAAAATAATTCAAATTGCAAAAATGTATTATCTGGTTATATTGCTAACACTTTAAAAATTTTTAAAAACAGTAAAGATTTAATGATAAAAACTCACGTCTTAGACTATTTAAGGAATTAAAAATTTTCTGAGACTAAATCCTTATTTCATTTTTATTTCAAAGGATGCCGAGCTTTTTCTAAAACTTATTCACGTTACGGATAACACTCTCAAATACTTTGAAGATGAGTATAGAAGATAATCAACTGGAGAGTACATAGTTTACAAAAAACACTTCAGAAAGTGTACTGGACTTTGATCATGGGGAATCAGTTACTTTGGGTACTTATAATAAAAAGTAGGGTAATCTTCGATACCCAAGAACTGTTCCAGAGCCACCAATATCTGTGCCCACCTGGTATGAAGCACCCTGGAGGTTGTAGGACTTTGAGGGCAGCCTGTGCAGTTAGATGCCTGTAAAAATTTGGGCATTAAGTGCCTTCACATAGGAGCCCAGGTAGAAGTCCTAATGCTGGAACGTGATCTTAAGAGATTGGAGCTGCTGGCGGAGTTGGCTGCCTATTAAAGGTCCATGAGGACCTGACAAGGAGCAAACAAACAAACAAAAAAAACCTATGGCTTCTGTTATGGACTAAGAATTAGGACTCTTTCACCCCTCTTTTCCTGGAACCATACACGTAAGCCCGAGGAAATTCTTTTATGATCTAGCAAAGCGAAACAACATAAAAACGTCATACCAAAAACAAAAACAAAATCAACAAAACAGATTAAGGCATGTAGTTTGATTAGTAGGCCTGTCTTCTTTTCGCTCACAAGTGTTAAAATTAAGATGATCAAAACTAAGATCAAAAGAATAAAATACTGGTGACTAAAATTACATCCTTGTGTACCTTAAAATTAGTATCAATTTAAAAATTATGCTTAAAAAGTAATTTGCCCAACCCATATTCCCCAAATCAATTATTTTGGTATTATTAGAAGCCTATAAATAATGCTCTTTGGTAGAAAGAGTATATACTTAAATTTTGCTATGTGGGTTTAATTTGCAAAATGTAAAGTCAACAAGTCTGGGGAGGGGAAATTCCACCTACTTTCGAGATCTTCCATATGTGCCTGAAGAGTTCTTGCAAGGTTAATAAACTAGAAACAATGCAGAAAGAAATACAGTAGTTTAAATGTTGCAAATGGATCTAGAGAGAATCAGTTTAGGAGATTCATTTCTACTTAAAAAGTCAAACATTTTAAGCCTTTAAAAAGGGATCTTTCTTCCCCACATCAAGAATTACAAGCTTAAGGATATTTTAAAAATGTTTTATATATTATTAGTCATGTAGAAACTGGAAGCATATACAATAATTGTATCAATGGTATTGTCTTCTTGCATAATGTAACACTTCAAAAATTATGAAAAAAATGAAAACCTTTGGCATATAAACCCAAATGAATTCAATTTTAGTGGTCATTTAAAGAAAACACAGTATTTCCTACCTAGATATGATGATCTCTGGAAGTATTAACATTTAATCCAATACTTGAAATGATTGTAGTATATGTTTTATGTGGTTTATTCTTTCTGAGAAGATAAATCATCTTTCCAGAAATCATTTTATGGCTTAATTAAATTTAGGTGCTACCTAGCACTCATATTTGCTCAAATTCTGAATGTTTTTGAGAATTAGTTTTCTTTCAATGATAATAACCAGTCAAGTGGCTTAATAGTATCCATGTGATAAGAAAAGTTTTTATTAATTTAGAAGCAGTGTTATATATACAATGGTTCTCAATAATCTTCAAAATACACTACTGAATTTTTATCACCATAGTGAATAGGATATCAAAAATAGTTTGTTAATATACTTATGAACACATTTCCATATATAGAATTCAGAATCTATAGTAATGAGATGCAGATTCTAGCCCCTGCTATATACAAAAGGCAAGGGAGGGTGTAAATTTTTTGATACATGGAGGCAACAATACTATTTACTTACAAATACTAAGAGAAGCCTAAATACTATACTAAAGTACTATACTAAAATAATGAGTGGTGTTCGGAGTAAAATACTAAAGAGTCTGCATCTTAAGTAGTTTTTAATATGGTGGCTTACATTAACAAACTGGTAATTTTTCACAAGACAGTAACAAATTGAAATCAATTTACTCTAGTTTTTTGGAGTTCAATTTCAGGTTTGAAAGTTACACTGAGTTTTGAGGTTTTTTAAAATTAAAATAACCGTTTCTCCTTGATTTCCAATTTTGTCCCTGTTTTTCCACTGAAATAAATTCCAATTACCTTTTAAGAGTCAGGAAATTACTACTTTTTCTAAAATAGCTTTATGAGAAAATTAGGTGGCTTTATATAGAAGGAAGACAGCAATTCTATTAAGTCTACAGTATCTTTATTTTTAAGAAAGAGTTCAAGATAAGAGCTCTCCAACGAAAATAGAATTCAAACATATAAAACAATCTGTTTTCCAAAACTAACACTTGCTGCATCCAGCCTCCCTTCCTCTCCCACTCCAATATTACTTACTCGAACACGTGTGCTTGGTTCATTTGTATTTCCCATCATATCTGAAAAGCTCTGTTCACACAAGTGCAGTAACACGACTAGGTAGAGACCAGAGCTGATAAACTCATATTCAGCCTTCAGTAGAGAAGCAAACAAGAGAAAAAGAAAAAAAAATTAGAGTAGACTTGAGCTTGATATTCACAATATACTGATAAAATGAGAGGAAATGTATTCATATCCACTTCTTAGTAAGGAATATCGTGCCTCCTATTAAAACAAAAAGCCATTCTTTGTAATTTACGTGAACATCCTCTGTACTCTTACATAATCTCCCCTTTAGGCAGTGATTTATTTTTAAAAGTGGAGCTTTATAAATCCTATGAAGGGAGAATGGATCATCTGGTTCTCAATAATAGATTTCATTATAAAAATAGTTTAAATTCACTTAACTATTACCTTTTCATCTATAAGCAAGTCACTATTTTATGTAGCGAGGGAGGACCTATTCTGATAGGTCAATTGTTTCTTTTGTAATACAATTAACCCAAAGGCAAGAGTAAACACAAAATGAACTAAAAGATAATTGAGAAACTGTTCCTCGCAGCATTCACAAGAAATTTGCAGAGGTTCCAAACAATTCTTTGCTTCAAAAGTGTTCTATTGTTTTGAAGTTAAGAATACAAATCATGAATATAGTGTTATTAAAAATTTAATCTTTTTTTTTATACAGTGAGCTATTTATAAACTACATTTTGGGGGGCAATTAATTTACCTAAAGTTAAGAACTATATATGTACAAGTGCTACCTTCAGCAATTAGCTGATTATCAGATTTTGCAGAGTATTTAATTTGAAACTGACTTATTCTTTAAATGTTTTACTCAATTATTTACTATTTTTAAATTAAAAGGAAACCATATATCCAAGATTAAAGACAATTTTTAATGGTGGCCACCATGAAAAAGATGTAGCCCCTGAATTATGAGGAAGTAAACTGCATTAAACTAATTATTTAATGAAGGTAGTAATTAGATCACTAGAATCCATGATTCATATTGAACAAACAAGGCCGGAAATTTAATGAGGACTGTTCATTGTTTGTACAATGACTCCACCTAATATTCCTTAGCACTTCTAAATGATTTAAGGTTTATTAAGCGGGTCATTAAAATTCTAGAAGAACAATAAAAACATTCCTTGTTGAACTGAAAGATAAAGAACCACCTTTAAAAGACATGATGGTGCATTTAAAGAGAAGGAAGAATGGCAAAAGAAAACCATCCTTTGAAACCTATTATCATTCTGAAAAGACAAAAAAGAAAATTTCTTTACAGCATTCCACCTTGCACTACTGTCTCCCCTTCTGTTTAAAATACCAATATTTAGCACCTACTGACCACTTGAGACAATTCATTCTGCAAGTGATAACTGTTTTGGACAACTAACTTATGAGAGAATAAAATTAGAGTGTCATCTGTATTATATTAATTGCCTAATGCTTCATTCATTCTAGTGACTTTTTTTTTTTTTTTAAAGATTTATTTGTGCATACAGAACTGGGGTACAGGCCAGAGGCTCAGTGGTGGTGAGAGGCTTCACCAGAGACAGAGCGGGCAACAGAACAGGCAGATCGACGAAGTACACTGCTGAGGGGAGCAGCGGGCGGGTCAGGAGAGGTCTGCCACGCCATGTGGTCACCTCTGGGGCAGGCGGGGATCGAACTCATACGGAAGCGGCTTTAGATTCTCAGTGCTGTGCTTTAACCCGCTGCGCCACCAGGGAGGGCCTCATTCTAGCGACTTTTAAAAAAGATTTATTTATTTATGCATACATAACTGGGGTACAGGCCAGAGGTACAGGGGTGGTAAGAGGATTCAGCAGAGAGTGGGGAGCAGAACAGGATGACTGATGAGGTATACTGCTGAGGGGAGCAGTGGGCAGGTCAGGAGGTCTGCCACAACATACAGATCACCTCTGGGGCGGGGATCGAACTTATGCTGAAGTGGCTTTAGCTTCTTACTGCTGTGCTTTAACCAGTGCACCACCAGGGAGGGCCCCTTTCAGTGATTTTAACTTGAATCTAAACAATTAGCTTCAGGGGGTCTGGGAATCCCTTAATTTAAGTATATTTTGTGTCTGTGGGTTTGAGAGTTTGTGTTTTAATCAGATTTCAAACACTTGAGTAGTCCACAAAAGATTGTCTATTGCATTATTGTATGAAATCTCCAGAAAAGATAAGCCATAGAGAACAAACACAGGTGATTGCCATGGAAAGGTGGAAGGAGAAAAGGGAGGAACTGGTTAGTGGGTGTAGAATGATGAAAATGTCTTAAAACTATAGAGATGATGGTTCTTTGGCAACACTGCAAATATACTATTACCACTGACATGTAGAGTTTAAAATGGATTTTATGTTCTATGAACTTTATTTAAAAAAAGGAGGTAGGAGAAAGTCCATTCTCCCTTTAAAAAGTATTTTTCAAATGTTCATACATCTTCTAATCATCATGTCTTATTTTATATTAACACACTTGAATAGTACTGCTCTAGTTATCTTTATAGTCTCCTTTAATGCCATTTCCTCCCCGAGAATTATTTAATACAAAAAAGGGGGAAATACTGAGCTCCTCATTCTATCAATATAATTTAAGCATCTCAAATGTTTTCCTTCATAGAGCTTCAAGAAACAAAAATCAGTGATGAAGTCAATTATGGGGAAGGGGTACAGTTACCAATACATGCCAAATATCTAAAAACGAGACAAAAAATATTTGCAAAATTTTACTATCAGATAAACCACACTGTTCAATACAAATATTAAATGAAACGTGAAATAATGGGAAAGTTGGAATAAAAGATTTTATAAGGTAACTTTTTCAACATAAAGCTGGAGGCAGAAATTGGGGACATGTGGTGGTAGAGGGAAACAGAAGAGAAGGGATTACAAGGAGTTAGATAGCAACACACTAAAAACTCCAAATGTAAAAAATACAGAAATAGGATGCAGATCTAGTGCTTGTGTGTTTCAAACATATTCCAAGTTAGAAGTATTTACAATTGAAAAGTTCTGAAGAGATTTACTTTGGCATGCATACTTTGGGACTCCATTCTATGCCTTTATTATTTTCAAAGTTTTTTTAGTTATTATTTTTATAAAATTTATTTATTTATGCATAAAGAACTGGGGACAGGTCAGCGGTACAGGGGCAATGAGAGGATTCACTAGAGACAGAATGTGGAGTAGAACAAGTAGGCTGATTAGGTACACTGCTGAGGGGAGCAGTGGGCGAGACAGAAGTCTGCCATGGCATGTGGATCACCTCAGAGGCCAGGAATTGAACTTGCACTGAAGAGGTTGCAGCTAGCTTCAGTGTTGCATCCTAACCCATTGCACCACCAGAGAAGGCCATATTATTTTCAAGTTTATTTAACAAGCTTAGGGTAAATTTTACCTTAATAAACTTAAAAGGTTTTTCTTGGTTATTGCCTTTCACTTACAATGAGTTATGGGGAAATTTAAAATTACAAAGCATTAACTGAGAATTACATTAAGATTATCATTATCACTGTTTTTATTGTTTTAATGGAGGCTTCCTGACCATGACAATCTTTTCTTCAAGAGTTGTCCTTTAAGCATAGAATAGACACTTACCAAATTAGGCAAAATATACTAACTTGTTCATTTGCATGAGCTCTATGTAGTTCATGAATATCAAAATCCTCCAGGTTAAGTTGCAACTTCTCTTTACAGAGTTCACAGGTAGTTACAGCTTCTAATGAAGAACCTGGTAAAAATTAAATTACAAGAGCTTAGTTGTGATGCACAAACTGTACCTCCTTGAAGTTTTTGAGCTTAGTATACAGAAAACAGAAGAAAGGAAATCATTAATACTGCCAAAGTCAGCAATGTTTCCAAACATAGCAATCCATAACATTTAATGAGCACATCAGATCCTACCTCTATGGTATTTTAGCCTCCACCCAATACTTTGACATCTCTTTACTTTTTTCTCCAGATACCTTGATTGTGGGAAGCTGACAATGGAATGCCATGTACTTCCTGCTTCCTCCTTAAATACCACAGTAAGATGGTATGAACAATGTTGAGTAACACAGTATCTCCAAACAACCAGTCACATATGCCAAGACCAAGAAAGAAAAAAAAAGGGGTGGGGGGTGGGGGCGCTCCACCTTTATCCTGATCAAAACAACTCATTTCTAGCTATAAAAGGAGTTATGAGGTCCTCCCTGGTGGCACAGCAGGTTGAAGTGCAGCACTATGAAGCTAGTTGCAGCTACTTCAGCATGAGTTTAATCCCTGGTCATGGAGGTGACCCACACATGCAGTAGCCTCTCCTGTCTCGTCCACTCCTCCCCTCAGCAGTGTACTTCGTGTACACTGTACATCTTCCAGTGTACATCTTCCTTTTCTGTTCCCCACTCTGTCTCTGCTGAATCCTCTCACCACCCTTGCTCACTGCACCTCTGCTCTCTGTGCATCAATCAATAAATCTTTAAAAATAAGTATGCTGCAAGGATAGACTTTGAAAATATTCTAAGTAAAACAATGCAGATACAAAAGGACAAATATTACATGCTTCCACTTATGAAATAATAATGTAACAGGCAAATTCAGAGGGAAAATTGATCAAAAGTTACTAGGGTTTGTAGGGGAGGAGTGGAGAAGAGAGCGCTACAACTAAACTGGTATAGTTTTCCTTTGGGATAATGAAAAAGTTTTGGAAACAGCTAATGGTCACACAGTTGGAATGTACTTACTGCCACTTAATTATGGCCAAAAGGACAAATTTTACACTGTGGATATTTACCACAATTTTATAAGGAATTCAACTGAGTATTAAATATTTTATTTGTTTTATCTGAGTAAGGTCACATCCCAGCAGACTTTGAAAGGAGGTCCAAGGGAGTAGAGCAAAATCAGACTTTCATAGGAAGAAGGGAGTTGGGAACAAGGAAGCTGAATGAGCAGGCTGGTTGTGCGCTATAGGGAATTTCTTTAACTCTGTCTACCAAAGGGAAATTACCTCACTAACAAGGTGATTCTTAATTGGTTTAAAGTTTGTTTTGGCACTCCCTGGGACGCAGCACTAGGAAGCTATCCACCACCACTGTAGCATGAGTTTGAATCCTCTCACCCTTCACATCTCTGGCCTGTACCCCAGGTTCTTGTGTGCACAAATTAGTAAGTCTTTAAAAGAAAAATTCATTTTTTGGGAGAGGTTAAACACGTAATTAATCTTGGTTTGGTGAGTCAGGCTGTAGCATAGGTAACTCCATTTAGAACCTTTTTTAAAAAACTAATAAAATTTGGCATAAAGTTCAAGACAACACTAGTAACTTAATATGCACTTTCTAGAAAATAGCCAAAAGCAAGGTAAGTGCTATTCTGAGATAGTATGCTATACTTCTGTTGTCTCAAAAGTGACGTATAAAATTACATATGACTTTTACTATACTTCATTTATATGAATAAAACAGCCTTTTAAGGGTCTTAGCACACATGAAGATATTAAGACTAGTAAATTTTCTTATTTAAAAGTTAATACCGGGCCCTCCCTGGTGGCGCAGTGGGTTAAAGCACGGCACTGAGAAGCTAAAGCCACTTCTGCATGAGTTCGAATCCCGCCTGCCCCGGAGGTGACCACATGGCGTGGCAGACCTCTCCTGACCCGCCCGCTGCTTCCCTCAGCAGTGTACTTCGTCGATCTGCCTGTTCTGCTCCCCACTCTGTCTCTGGTGAAGCCTCTCACCCTGAGCCTCTGGCCTGTACCCCAGTTCTGTATGTACAAATAAGTAAATCTTTAAAAAAAAAAAAAAAGTTAATACCATACCACATAACTAAAGACAAATCCATATTATGATCTGATATGGAATAAAAAGAAAATGAAAGTCCTTTGGAAGGCTTTCTCTTATTATACATTTCTTAAAACTATTCTCTGACTCACAAGCAGGAAAAGTTTGATAAACACAAAATATGTATCTAGTAGACAACTTAGTACAAATTCTTTTACTTTGTAGAACTTCAATTTTCTTTTTTATGGAATTAATGACTTAGAAGTTGTCCAAGATCATATAGAGGTGGGCAGAACCCATTTCTTCTTTACATTCTTTAATCTAGGACTTTGTCCACCATAGCCCACTTCATTCAACAGGCGCTGTTGACTCCGCCTAAATTTGCATTTGCCTAAACTTATCTCTAGACTTGTTTTATTCATCTTTGTATACCCTTTCAGTTTAACAGCCCATATAAGTCAGTCCATATATACAGCAGCTGTTTCATTTTCTCACCAGAATACCAGGAAGATAACATTTGTATCTTTGGTAAGTGTGAAAAATGCTTATGAAAATACATTAGGAAAATATATTCATTTGACCAAATTAAAAGGACTTATTATAACCAATAAAAATTACTTCGTTCAGAACTAACCAAATACCCAGTAATGTGAGAAACCTCATTTGACCTTCACAAAAGCACTAAGAAGTATTACTCAGTTTTATTCTTGTGAAACTGAGGTACTACCTCAGACCTACTTAAGAATGTTCAGGAGGACCTCCCTGGTGGCAAAGGGGCTAAAATCTCTGCTATCAAGGTATCTCCAGCAATTGCAGCAGGAGTTGGATCTCTGGCCAGCCAGGGAGCTAACCCACACAGTGCAGCAGACCTCTCCTGTCTTGCCCATTGTTTAGCAGTGTTACTTCAGTTAATCTACTTGTTCTGCTCCCCACTCTGTCTGATGAATCTTCTCATTACCCTAAATCTCTGGCCTAGATCCTAGCTCTCGTATGTACAAATAAAATAAATCTTAAAAAACAGTTCAGGTGTAAATTTTAGGTATTTATACAATTTTTGAAACTTTGATGGATAACTTTCATCAGTAGCCAGGATTGAGAATTAGTATTAAATCCTACATTCAGTCAAGTGTTGAAGTCATTATTTCAAACTACATTATCTAATCCCAAAAAGTCAAGGTGATTAAACAATATAGTGTAACATCTGTCTCCTGCCCACACAATATTAAGCAAATTCAACTGTAAATATATCAGAAGGTGAGTCAAGTTGTTTCATTTTGCTAATAGCTAACATTCCTGGGCCTTTACTAAGCATCAAGAGCCATTCTGAACACTCATTAAATCTTAACAACACCCAGGAGCAATGACTAATAAAGCCTATGAGGCTGTTCTAACACTGCACAGTCAAGAAACTTCTGTAACATGTAGAGTGGCCTGTCCAACAGCTTTGGAAACAGGCAAGCTCAGAAGAAAAGATAACCCCTTTATCAAAGAGGCCTTTATTACCACAACGTTTTCAAGTAGTCTGATAATCTCAGTTCAAACAAGTTACTCAACTCCAACAGATTATTAAAATTAAAAGAAATGCCAGTCTACCTCTCATATCCTATTTGCTTATGTCACTAAGTCACTATCAGACATTCAATTTCACACAATCATGTACATTTATTAATCTAATTTCCCGCCTTCCTCACCCTACTATTTATTTTACTATGTCCCCTGATACTTGTGGTCTAGTATAAATTCTTTTCTTAACTAATCTCTTTTGGATGATTCTTTTAAGATATTACCTGAACCACACAGTGCAGCCTCAGAAAGATACACACTTTACTGTTCACTGGCATTGCAAATCTCTATTTTTAAGCATCTTTTCTTTCTGTGCACCCACAATTTCTCATCATTCTAGTTCAACAGTCATTTATTTTTACCTCCTTTGTTTGACCTCTCTGCACTACATCACAGGGCTGTCGATCAAAGTCCTTCCTTACAACACTTTCTTTTGGCTTGTACAATACTACATTTCTTAGGTTTCTTCCTACCTACCTTGGAGGGTCTCCTCAGATATATCTCTCTGTTCTCACTAAATTTTTGGGTGACCCAGAGTTCTATCCTGGGCTCATTTATCTAACATTTACTCTTGGTCATGATTCTTAAAATTATACCTTTCAGTGCTAACATTTTCTAAAACACCAAGCTAACTACCTAGCTGACATCTCCATATAGCTAAAGAATAGTCCACATACAGTATTTTTGAAGATTTACTTTACTTATTTAATGAATACAAGAACTAGGGTCTAGGCCAAAAGTGCAGGGGGAGAGGAGATTCACCAGAGACAGAGTGGGGTGCAACAGGCAGATCTGAAAAATGCAGCAGCTAAGATCTGCTGTGCCATGTGGGTTAGCTCCCTGCTGGTGACTGAACTCTTGCCTCAGTGGCCGACAGTCTGATAGCGCTCATTCTTTAAACCCTGCACCACTAGGGAGCCTCAAACAGTACTGCTATATTATGAACCCAACTCATTCCATTCTGCTTTATTTCAGTAAATGACACCAGCATTTAGTTAGGTGCTTAAGACAAAAATAATGACCTTCCCTATTTTTTTTTTTTTTTACTTTTGTCCCTCCAGACAATCCATTGGTCAAATCTTGCACAACCTACCTCCAAAACATTCCAGAATCCATCCATTTCCACTACCACCATCACCAACTTTTACTAAGTGTCTCTACAAGAGACACCTGGTTGGTGTTTATGTTTCTTCTCTTGCCTCTCATCCCTACCCCCAATTCGGCCAAACTATAAATACGATTATTTCACTCCCTCTCCTTCAGAACTTACCATCACAAGATGAAGAAACCCAAGCCTCATACACCTTAAATGAAAAATCCTCTGCTAAACTGTTTCAACTGTGTCACCCCTCTCCTAATCCACTAATTATACCCTGCCACATGGAGACGCATTCTGTTGCTCTAACACACCTAAGTTATTGTCACTTGAAAGTCATTCACTAGTTTGTTTCTTCTGTTAGAATGTGCTTGTCCTCATTCTGAAATAGCTAGCTCCTCTTCCTTCAGTTTAGATGTCCTCAATCCAACAAGGTATTTTTTTAATGCCCAATACCACCACAAGAGCAGTGCCATTTCTGTCTTGTTTGACAACTCTATACCTCCTTTATCTGGTACTATGTCTGTTTCCTCAACAGACATTCAATAAATCAATATTTAAAGTAATATTATTACAACACAAGGGCAATCACAGATTAGACACAACAGCATCAGAGACAATAAATCTATCTTAAGGATATATAGCTAGTAAACACTAAGTATGCTTGTTTCTTTGACCTAAAAGGATCTTAAATGAGTCATCAATAAAACAAATTAACAGTTGTATTACATATATATGAAGTAATAGTTTCTTGGCTGAAATGAAACACAATAAAGACAGACTATAATTTTAAGAAAACTAATGTATTTGCTTCAATTATTAAGGCCCTTTGATGAGTCTAATTTTGATAAGCAGTAATTGCTAAGTAGATTTGCTAACTAAAATGCATACATACATGTATGTTTCTGGGAAAAAAATCAAAAACAAAATACACAAAAGGGTAACTCTTACCAGAATTAATTTTGGCCTGTAACCACTTTTTCATACACTCTTGGTGGACATACTGCAAACTTCCTGTACACTTGCATGGTTCTATCAGCAAGTTAGATGAGGAGGCAGCTGCCATCTGACAAATTCTACATAAGTCACCTTCTTCTTCTTCAGAGTCCTCTAAAAGGAGGCTGGAAAAGAAGGCATATTTCCTAAACAGTAATCTTGGTTTGGCATTTCTCAGCACACCTAATAACACCATAATATAATTTCTGTTAGTATTACTACTCATGCTCTCTTTAGGTGGGGAAAAAATATCAATCAACAGCACTTACCACGAAAAACTATTCCAATGAGAATGAAAAACTTTTATATTTAATCCCACTAAAAACAAAAGGATAAATCAGTTCTTCATTAACCCCAACAATTTTATTAAATCTGCAGATTTCTGTAAGAGTTAGCTTTTAAAGTGTAAAGTGGTTCAATTAACCTATGTCCTTCATTTAACAAGGCAACAAGTACTGCTTAATTTGGATGCAAAATGACTACTATATAAGCAAAGTACTTTTGTTACAGCCCCTATTGCCTTAGTCCACTGCGGGAATGGAAAAGGTACTCAGCAAACTGGTAACATTAAATTATCACTGAAATAACCAGGACCACAGAGGTTCCTAAATGAATCTGGAAACAATTTGTGGAATGAGCAACAGATGTAGAACTGTTAAGTGACTTTCACACCCTGGCTTAACCAGAGATAAAATCTCAAGCATAAACATATTTTGCCTAACTTTCTTTGTCTTAGTTTGAGTATTTTTCACTTGGGAGATATAATTTTTTTTATACCCTTATTGATTTCATTGTAAGGTATCTTAAAATTTTCATTTATGAGCAGAATAAAGGAATATACACACAAATTCTATAGTAAAATAAACAAAAGCTGCTTTGTAAGTGATCTAACCAAGTGGTGGTGATTTACCTTGTTCCTGTGAAAATCGCTAATGCTTTCCTTCCACTTATAGTACTGTATTAATATTAACCTAACTTAAATTAGCTGAGTGCAAGTAGTATAATAGTTACCACATTCTTCAGAAGACTGCTTGTATAAGAGGGAATTGCTATACCATTAAAGCTAACATAACTATGGTAAAATAAATCCAAGAAAAGAAAAACAGCCAATTTTAAAAGCAGGAAGATAGTCACATAGTACAGTATGAAGTATATAAGGAAAAACAGTAGTCTTTAATAGCCCAGTGCCCAGCATCTCAAGAAAAGTGTGTGAAAAGCCTGTTAACCTCAGAGTTAAGACTTGAATGCCTTTCTTCTCAAAGTACAAAATAATTTAAAACAACAAGCAATACACTTTCCAACAATTGTATTACACTAGGCCTTTATGAACAGGAAAAAACAAAAAAAACTATAGTACCCTAAAATCTTAACTTTATATGGCTTTTCTTCCTAGAAGTGTATTTTACACTGATTAGCCTATGGCATTTTATCATAAAAAGCACTTTAATAAATGGAAAAAGTAAAGTAGACTAAGTGAACAAAGTAATCCAGTTGGAAGTAAAATCTCTGGGGAATCTCATTTATCTCTGCATTCTGATCAGAGAATTTAAATCAATCAACTCCACAAAGATTTAATTTGTAAAAAGAACTGAATTTAAAATGATACTTCGGTCAAATACTTAATACACACGGGTATTCTTTATACAAACTGGATTTCAAAAGCAACGTTTTTGTTTTGCAAGTGATTTTAATTCATACCAAAAGATCAGAGATAAGAAATAAAAATAAATGGAAAGTAAATGATCTCAGTAAAGGTTAGGACAGACTAGAAAATCCATGACATTTGGGCTTCCTGACAAATCCCAATTTAGCACAAGTTTACCAGATTTTTGTTGTCATCTGTGTCCAAAGGTGGCTAAAGGAAGCTTTTAGATTAATTCTTAATCCACACCCCAATTACCACTACATTATTAACTTTCATCCATTTTACCTCTGAATGAGACATTGACAGTTGTACTGGATATAAACTTTAAGGAAGATTTCAGTTATCAATGCTATGAGAAACTATTTAGAAATAGCACTCTTTCTCTAAACTACTCTTTTTTTATGGGTGGGTTTAAGACAGAAATTCAATTTACCTCTCTTTTATTTTCCGTAGTCTTTCTGGGTCTCTCGAAGGCATACTTTTAGTCTTATCATTTTTCCCATCAGATGAACTCCAACCTGAAGGAATAATATCTACAGTGATCATGACATTGTCAGTCAAATTATTCCCAAGTGCTGGGGGAACTGCAAATCGGAATAAGGAACCAGGAAGGATCCCTGTTATTCCCGTATTTCTTCCACTGTGAGTTGAATCTGAAGCGGACCCACTACTAGCAGCACTGCTTGATGCCGCGAAAGTTTGTGGTCCATTGGCAGAAGCCCCTAGGGGATCATTCTGTGCTTCAAGGTGAACCACTTCATTTGATTCTCTTCTAAAAATATGATGAGATCTAGATGGTATATCAGAGGTAGGTATCCTTGAAGATTCATCTCGTCCCTCTCGCCGCCTTCTGGAGAACAAAGGTGTGCATCTATTTCTAAGTGAGGAAGATAACCATGGTCCTGTATTTCTACTTTCAGATTCTTGATTAAAATTCTCTGAATCTGGCTCAGAGTTATGATTTTGGCTAAGAGATGACAAACCCCATCTTCGTCTAAGAAATCGAAATCCCTGAGAAGCTTCAGATGCCCTGTTATCAGAAGCATCAGAAGCTGATGCTGCATTACTACGAGATTGTGACGCTGTCAAGATCCTTGGAGAAATATAAGAATTTTCAGAACTCAATGATCTTGTATTTAAAGAATCCTGACTAGATCTTCGTGAAAAAAAGGTAGATGACATACTAGAAGCTATACGTGACAGCAATCTTCTGGTTGTACGTCTACCTTCATTATCAGAAGATTCTTGAAATGATCTTTGAGATGAACCAACTCTATCTGAACTGCTCATGGTTGAGGTTTCATCTCTATTTGAAATATAAGAAAATCCAGGGTGTGTGGTATTTGAGGGCGATTCCAATTCTCTTGGAGAAAAATTTGATCTTAAAGAATTTCTACTGGCATCCCTAGAACATGGTATAGTCTGATGTTCAGAAGGCATTTGGTGGTTTGTTGATGATGTATTCAATTGTAAAGTGCTCACTGAGTTCTCTTTTGGTCTTGCTCCCTGTGAATATGAAGTCGGAACTCTGTCTTGCACATCTATTTTTGAAAGAAAGAACAAATTACACAAAATAATGTATTTTTACATTTCTATATATTGACTACCAACTGTTGTCAAAATGACAACACTGGACTCAACTGAATACTTCCATGTAAACACATAAATAATTATTATAGGAAACAGTTTTCTTTCTATCCCTTCAGTAAAATCCAGTACTTCTACACCGTCGATATCATAATTTCAAAAGAAACATATTGAAAATAATGCAATTACAAAATACTTTTAAAAAAATCATAGCATACGAGAAACATGCAAAATGTGAAGCCACTCAGAAAAATATCTAATTGCTAAATGGGTAAGGAATTTTAAGTAGCTCAAATAATTCAATGTAAATAACTCTAAAAAATAAAAGTGAAATCATCCCAGGAAAACCATGTTTGAGTGATTTTCTCATTATGCAGTACCTTATCACCCTTCTAATTTTATGGCAAACCTTGCCGAGAGCTAAGTTTCCTTAATCTTTTGTTCTTTCAAATTATCAGCAGTAGTTTTTATCTCTATTTAATCAACAGAAATACCTTTGCTTTAAAATACTGGCTGGGAGCTAAGAGTCAGAATAGATCATTAGCATCTGCTTTCTTAAATATTTTTTATTGTCAGTTAATGTACTGGGAGTACATTTTCGAACCTATGCATGTATACATACTTCACTCATCCTCCACCAAAACTTGAGTGTCAATGTCCCTTTCTCCCCCAATCCTCTCCTCCCCTCCATTCCCTCTGGTAATCTGTGTATTTTTCACAGAGCCAAAGATTATTTTTTGCCAGCACCTACTTTTTAAAAAGTATCATCACCAGTGGTTATAATATTCAAATAGGTGAGAAATACTTCAGCATTCCTTTACAAAGAATACTCATACATGCACCTAATTTAAGAACTAGATTGCCACTGGTCTAATACATAGAACTTAATGAGGGATGATCTGCTAACTATTAGGGAATAGATCTATATTTTATCCCCTCCCCAGCCCCACATCAATCTACAAATTATGATACGGTCTACTAAAATTCTCTATCCAAAATCAAGCAAATAAAAGCATGTTTTCATTTGTATCATGTTTTTAAAAAGGCTTGACCCAATATGTTTTTTTTTAACCCCAAACTTTTAAAAACAAATGTTATTTACTTGTATGAAAATCAAATTCCACTTTGTCTGCTCTGTCAATTTTATTAGCTTTTTTTTTTTTTTTGGTCTTTCAGTTAGTTAGCATTATCTTATGGTATTTATTTTTAAAAAATTTGCTGTCTATATATTGGCAGAAACTGTGGATCTTTATTCAACTGAAAGAAAACAAAGGCACATCTGTTAAGCTAAAGTTATTCTTTGAATTAAAACTTAAAATGGTGATTTCTAGCTTTAATTCAATATTTAACTGTAGCTACTTGTTACACTATATAAGGCAAGTTATATTGCAGTATACAAGATTTACTGTATTTATAACATATACACTTTTGAAAAAAAAGGTAGAAATACAGGTGGACCAAATCTGAATACTTGTTTACCTATTTTAAATTGTTTGCATTTTTTAAAGCAAAACAAATAGGGTACTACTTATTAAGGTGCTCTGCTATCTTCATTAACATTCACTTCCTTATTTTACCATAATTTTAATGAAATGTGTAAGTAGGAAAATATAACATCATTAGATAAGCCATATAGAACAATATAGTTTATACATACATGATGAAGTTGTGAAATCACCACTTCGATGACTATAATCCATAAGATTACTAATGGAGGAATCTGCTCTCCTATCTAAATCTCTCCTCTCTCTCAATAAGTCAGTTCCAAATGATCCAAGTACCATTGATGAAGATCTGGGAACTTGATTATGCCTCCAAGAAGAATCTTAAAATAATTAAACAAGTCTTAATTCAAAGAAAACTTTTAATGTTTCTGATAACATATCTTCAGCATGTTGTTTACTGTTCATATAAATAGGAATCCCTACAGTTATACAGTTGCAGTCAGAAACAAAATGCAAAATGAAATTATTTGCTAATTTACTAATACCTTATAAACTTATTTTCTACTCAAATATATTCTTCTCTAATACTATTATCTACCCACTGCCCAATCTACATGAATGTCTCTGCAACATCTTACACAATGGAGAAATGAATGCAGAACAAAAATGTATTAAAATGAAAAACCTTGCTGAATGGAAGACACCTGCATATTACCTGACTGACAAAATGTCAATATCCAAAATATTAAGGAACTCATAAAACTTAATAAAAGCCAAACAATCTAATTAAAAACTGGGCAGAAAATCTCAACAGACATGTCTTCAAAGACAAATGGCCAACAGACACATGAAATCATGTTCAGCATATTGTGATAAAAAGACATCACCTTATACTTGTGTGAGTAGCTATTATCCCAAAGACAAAAAAGCAAGTGTTAGAGAGTAAATGGAAAGAAGGGAACCCTTAATATACTGTCAGTGGGAATGCAAATTAGTGCAGTCATTAAGGAAAGCAGTATGAACAATTTTCAATGAATTAACAGAAATTTCACACAATTTAGTTATTTTACTTCTGTGTTTTTACCCATCCCCAAATACAAAAAACACTAAATTCAAAGAGCTGTATGTCCCCTCATATTTAATGCAGCAACATTTACAATAGCTAAGAGATGAAAACAACCTAAATGCTATTGACAGATGACCAGATGAAGCTGCAGGATATACAAATAATCGAATACTGTTGAGCTATAAAGGTAATAAAATACTGCTATTTGTAATATGAAAGATGGACCCAGAAGCAATTATACTTGGCAAAATAAATGGGTAAACTAAATAAGACAAAAATAAGCTTCTGGACATTTAAAACCAAATAGTCATTAACAGGACGTGTAAGTAAATCTGGAGGGGGGACAACTGACAATTATATGGTGGATAGAATTAAACTCTAAGTGACGAATTCAACATAGTATATATATGCTAATTTTTAATGATATATTCCAGAAAACTATTATAATGCAACATTAGTTTAAAAGCAAAACAAAAATATGTAAAATTTGCCAAAGATACTGAATCTCATGAAAAGTCAGTGAAAGTAACGGAGAATAGTCTAATGTCAAACTCAAAAAGTCATCCTGGAATGGAAGATGTTATGTGATAGGTTATACTACTATTTTGTTAAGTGGCACTATTATCACTGTCACCATACTGAAGTTCATTCTTAGTCTAAGAATTTATTCTGGAATTATAATCTAACTTCATTAAAAATGACAGCATTTAAAAATAGATTTAAATTAAGCCTCAAAACATTTTCCCCCCTCACTATCTTGCAACTTTGTTTTTCCTCTCCTGGTCCCAAATTAATACCCTTATTCACCAAGACCATTATGGGAAATGGCCCATGGTTCTTAATGCTATGTCTTCAGAGCAGAGAGAAAAAATCTCTCCACATAATGATATTATCTGCAAGATTAAGGTCGGTCAGCAATTACCTAATGACAGTACTCAATAAACCTTCTGATGGGCATGTCTTCCCTATGGTGATCTGCCTATCAAAATAGAAAGGAAATGCTTAAGCTAATCAAATTGGTAATATATTATGTGTTTAAAATTTTATTCTTCCACTGTATCACAAGCTTTGTCTCACCTTCAAATTATTTCAAGTTTTCACTAGTGTTTCACTTGGAAGAGATGTGTGGAGGGAGCCTCCTGCCCTCTCAATAAAAGATGTTTCCAATTCTCTTTAACAAACAATGACTGTGAGTACAAAATACCAACTATAGAGTTTTTTATGGCTCAGTCATCAAAGTAACAGGGTGAGGTCAGGTGATCAGTACAATGCCACAAAGCTAGAATCATGGTTTACAAATTCTTTGTATAGAACTTGTACCAGAATACTAAAAAATTTTCTTTTGTTTGAATAATTATTACATTTTCTAAAAATAAAGATGTTAATGCCTCAGTATTTGACTAGGAACTATTTCTAATATAATACTAAATCTGGTTTTTACTTAACAGACAATTTTAACAATCAGAATGTCACTTTTATTAATTCCATTACTACACTTATGAACTAACCTGTTTACTTAAGTGAAGACTAATTTTAGTTCTAACATTACCTCAGTTAACACTTGTGAAATGTCGGGGCACCCTGGTGCTATCAAGCTATTGCCTGCCACTATGGCATTAGTTTGACCTCCAGCCAGGGAGCTGATCCACAGGGCACAGAGGATCTCTCCTGCTTCACTCCCTGCCCCCCTGGCAATATTTCAGTGGATCTGCCAGTTCTGTCCCCTATTCTGATAAATGCGCCCACACCATATCTCTGACCTACAACCCCAGTTCTTATACGCATAAATAAATCTTACCAAAAAACCTGTGAAATGCCACTACATTACTTACCAATAAACAACTCTTACAAGCATTTTTTTGCAGCGCTTTGCTTCATATATTACCTTGTGAATCACTTTTGTCAAATATATATACAGACACGTGTGTGTGTGTGTGTATATATATATATATATATATATATATATATATAAAATGACTCCTACTCAAAGTTAATTCTCACCTGATACTGCATTTAAACCATGTCCAACACTTCTCCCAGCTGAGGTAGATGTACAGTTTGTACAAGAAAGCTTAGGTCTTTTTGAATCATGATCCCGTTGCTGGTTTTGAGATCTTGAGCGAGCTCCCTGAGTTATCTCAGATTCACTAAACCATGTAGACCGAAATGGTGATGCAGATGCTGATGCTGATGTAGACTGTGAGTTAAAAAACAAATTTTTAAGAAAGGAATGACACTACATTCAGTATTAAGTTTAATGTGTAATGCTCTAATACATTCCTAAAGACCATCACTCCTCACAAGCACATTTTTCTGTCATACAGGTTTTTCTTTAGCCTTCATTCTTCTCTTTTCATCCTCTTGTCCCTTTATATATTGTCACTGTACTTTGCTGGACAATCAATCTAATTTTTTATGTAACTATAAATAAGAAACAGTGAAGAGCAACAACTTTATAATCTTACAGACAGGATACCAAGAGATATAGAGGCACAGATATAGAAAATGAGTATTGTTTAATTAAAATAATATTTTCCAAGTAAAAAAGAAAAATATTCAGGTCCTAATGCCCATTCTCCTCTCTCTCCCTCTGCCACTGGACCCTTCTCTTTCTCTGTCTCTCTCTCTCACACACACACACACACACATACACACACGTTTGGCTGGAAAAAAGACTTGAACATAAGACCTGAAACCATAAAAAACATAGACACAAAACACTACACTGACATACATCTTGAAACATCTTTAGAGATTCATCCCCCAAAGCAAAGAAAATGAAGGAAAAGATAAAAGGCTGGAATTACATCAAATTAAAAATCTTCTGTACAGCAAAAGAGACATCAACCAAAGGGACACCCTACTGATTGGCAGAAAATTTTGCACTCCATACAACTGGTAAGACAGTGATCACAAAAATCTACCAGTTCTATGACTTAACAAAAGAAACAGTCCAGTCAAAAAATGGGCAAAAAAGTTAAAAAAAAAAAAACATTTCTACAAAGAACAAATGCAAATAGCCAATAGATATAGCTAGGTATATGAAAAACTGTTCATCAGCATTTATAAACACGTATAGGCAAATCAAAACCACAATGAGATACCACCTTACACAAGTGAAAATGACACCTGTTAAAAAAAAAAAATGACAGCAACAAAATTGCTGGCAAGAATGTGGAGTAAAAGGAACTCTCCTCACTGCTGGTGGGAATGCAAACGTCCAACCACTATCGAAAGTTGTGTGGAGGTTCCTCAAATTACTCAAAATGAAGCTATCATATGACCCAGCAATTCCACTCTGGAATCTACCCAAAGAATACAAAAACATTAATCTGAAAAAACAACTGCACCCGTTTACTGCAGCACAATGATAATAGGTAAGATGTGGAAACAACCTAACAAAATGGATGACTAGATCAAGATGTGGTGCATATACTATTCATCAAAATCAAAAACAAAAATACCGTAGTCCCTTCCAGCAGCATGGATGGAACTGAAAGTGATTACGCTCAGTGAAATAAGTCAGGAAGAAAAATAAAAATATAGATTGGTTTCACATATAGGAGGAATATAATGGAACTGAATAAGGAATCAGGAAATAAAAATAATAAAATTAGCAGACACTAAAAATTAGAGGCTTTCTGCAGGAGAGGGGTCAAAACAAGGGGCACGAAGAGCATAAGGAACTACGGTATGGTTCACAGGTGAACTAGTGGTGGGAATTTTATGAGGTCTACACCTGAGAGGAGAAATCAAATATTGTACAAAAATAACAATTATGTAATATATACATATTTCAAAAAATGAAAGCTACTACTTTTAAAAAAAGATACATCTGGCAAACAATTTGTACTTGTTTAGACACAGTAAAGTCTAAATTGAAAGATGGCAGTCTGGAGTTTTTTACTTCTAACTTATGTCTGATTTTAGGATCAGGGTAATGCTGGCTTCAAAGACTGAATCAGGAAGTAGTCCCTCCATTTCTACCTTCTGAAGACTTCATGGCAATGCTACAGAATAAACTTTGTTTATATAATGAAAAACAGAGGATGAAAAGCGGAAAATAGTAAATAGCTCTTAGCTTTACTTTTTCATGTTGCCCAACATCATACGTCATCAAGGAACTCTAAAATCAAAACTATACTGAGATACTATCTTGCACTCAACTCAAGAGTTTGTCTAGAAACAAAAAGTTTGGTAAGGAGGTATAAAGAACACTTTATATATATAATGTTGATAGGAATATAAAATGATTCAGTCAGTTTGGAAAAAGTTAGGAAATACCCTCAACTTATAGAATATATAATTATTCAGTAATTATACTCATATACCCAAGATAACTGAAAGTATAAAAATATAAATCCACACAGAAATTTGCTAATGAACATTTATTTATAGTTGCATTATTTACAATAGCCAAGAGAAAAAGCAATTGTCCATCAGTGTATGAATAAACAAAATGTGGTCTATCCATACCATGGAATACTATTCAATTGAAAGGTTCATGTTAAATGCTACAAAATAAATGAAACTTGAAAACTGTTAAGACAATCATTACAAAAGACCACTTATGTTTTTATATATATGTATGTGTGTGCAAGTCCAAAATAGAGAAATCTATAAATACTGATAATGCTACTTAGTACCTAGATGATCATAACAGATAGGGAGGGAAGAAGGGTGGGAACAGGACAGAAGTAGGTCTGGGTTTTCCTCCTTCAAGTATAAAGATCCATCTGTGAAGTAAAACTGCCAAGATTGACTGAGGCTATAGTTGCACAACTCAGTAAATATACCAACAGTCACTGGTTGTGCACTTTAGTCATACAGCATTCGACTTACATCTTAATAAAGCAATTTTTAAAAAAAGAACCTTAAGGCCCTCCCTGGTGGCGTAGCGGGTTAAAGCACTGCACTAAGAAGCTTAAGCCACTTCCACATGAGTTCGATCCCCGCCTGCCCAGGAGATCCACATGGCGTGGCAGACCTCTCCTGACCCGCCCGCTGCTCCCCTCAGCAGTGTACTTTGTCGATCTGCCTGTTCTGCTCCCCACTCTGTCCCTGGTGAATCCTCTCACCCTCTACATCTCTGGCCTGTACCCCAATTCTATATGAATAAATAAATCTTAAAAAAAAAAAAAACCTTAATATTGCTGCAACCATCCTCTAGACAATGCTTCAACACAGGAAACTATCTAACATACAGTAGTGAAAGCAGATCCGGAATGAAATACTCTTCTTTGGCTCCTCATTACTTTGATCCAATCTTCATTATGATAACCTAACAATTTCTGCTTTGAAAATTTCCCAGTAACTTAAGCCATCCAAAGTAATTTAGAACTTTGTCATCATCTTCTTTTTAAATATTCATGGAGGGTTAAAGGGTTAAGTCTCAGCACTGTGAAGCTATAAGTAGACAGGTTCCATCCACGCCAGGGAGGTGACCCACATGGCACAGCAAACCTCTTCTTGTCTTGCCTGCTGCTGCTCCCCTCCCCTCAGCAGTGTAGTTCAGTGGATCCACCTGTTCTGCTCCCCACTCTTTCTCTGGTGAATCCTCTCACTCCATCCCCTGCAGTTCCTGTGTGTATAAATAAATCTCTAAAACAATAGCTCTTGAACTAGAGTACCTATTTCCACATTATCATGAAATACATTCTTATTTGTGTGAAGTAGTCTTATACTACTAAGTGTATTACTAGGTCTAGTGGAAATAGTCTTCTCAATTTTCATAAAAGACACTAACTGGTCTTAAGAATTTTAGGAGTCACCCATGTCTAATGTTTTTTTTTTTTACATTCTAAAAGAACAGGTCTGTAAGGAAGAGGATAAAGAAAAAGAGAGGCACCTGCTTCATCACAGGCAGGCATGAGAGCTACTACTCATTCATCCCCAACTTCATGATAAGTCCAAGTCAGACATAATATTCATATCAGAAAACTTAGAAGTCCATTTATCCCTCAACATACTCTAGGAAGTTAATATTTAGATCATTTCAATTCCCCTTTGTAATGGTGTATCCTTTGTGTACAATGAGTTTTACCTATACGAGGTAAATACTATGAAGACTGTCCATGCTATTATTCACTATTCCTTTTCAGACCAATCTGCCAAATATGGCTCCTTTGAGGAGCTGATAGTCTTTTTCTTATGAATATACCTTATACACTGGTTGTGTTTGCCTATAATCTCCCTAACTACTTTCTAAAACAAGAGTCCAAGCTTAACTTTAAAATATGGTAGGGCTTATGAATGTTTATCAGTATAACCTTGACCTGCTTTTAGTATTTCATCTACATTTTCCTAATTAATTTTCAAATTACTTGTGTGTGTACATACATACATACATATACACATATATATACACACAGGCTACTCTATTAATTGATAAGCAAAAAATGAACTATCTTGGTTCTTTTAATTCTTGAAAAAACACAATATGAAGATATGTAATTATACTAAGCTTTGTAACAACTAAAAAAATATATAGGTAACAATAAAAAGGGTTGATAAAAGGAACCTTCTGAAAAGCCTCTTTATATTAAAAACTAAAGTCATCTTAACAAAGCAATCAAGTGCAGTGGAATTACTGGCTGCTTAAAATTAAGTTACAGGAAAATATATAAAAACAAAACAGTCAATTACATAGTCATAAAATACTCCCAAATTTTTACTTTTAACAGCAAATTGTAGGAATTAAATTTTCTTTTTCAAAGATAGCTAATCTACTTACTATCAACCAAAGAGGTTAAAAGATCTGTTTCCAATCATTCAAATTGTAAAAAATTTAACAACAGTAACAGAAATATCAGCAAGATTAGTAATAGAGGCAGCCCAGTTACAAATGACCAAGTTTCAAAAAGATATTTAGAAAATCAATTGTTCGGAACTTGGAACTTACATTTTCCCAAAGAAACAATGAAGTGTTAGATTCTTAAACTCATGTACATTTTAAGATAATCATAAAACTACAGAAAACCACGTATTTTCCAGATTTTAGAAATCCATGAAATGAGATAGTATCTGTCCTGTTTAACTAAAACTGAAAAATAGTCTATAAAATGTCAACTTCTATAAAAACTATAGGGAACTCCATATTATTTAATCTACAGTATAACTAATATTGAACTAATATTCCCTAGTCCTGACCCTCTTTTCTGAAACTTCAGCTTCCCTAAGTATATGGGAAGAATGGAGGTATCATGTTGTAGACAGTTGGAAGAAAAGCAAACGCAACTTAAAAAAATGTTCCTTTTGCTATATAAAGATCTCTCATTCACTAAACTTATATTTTAAGTAATCGTAAGATTATTAAATCAAAAATTATCCAAATTGCAATATTCTGATAAAAAATGCACTGTAACTCAAAAGATATAACCTATTCAAACAAACATAAGGTCAGAAAATGATGTAATTATAAGGTAACACCTAACTTTTAAATTTCAGGCATTGTTGTTCTAAGTGCTTTACACATATAATTTCTTCGAAATAATAAAAACTCTACGAGGAAGCTACTCTTGTCACCATTTTACAGAAAATAGAAATAAAATTCTTTGCGCAAGACCACAGAGGAATTCCAATCTCTATTAACAAAAATAACAGGGCCCTCCCTGGTGGCGCAGTGGATTAGGACACAGCACTGCAACCTAGAGGCAGAAATGTCAGCTCGAGTTCGATCCCCAGCCCCGGAGGTGATCCACACGGTGCAGCAGACCTCTCCTGTCTCACCCGCTGCTCAGCAGTGTACTTTGTCAATCTGCCTGTTCTGCTCCTCACTCTGTCTCTGGTGGATCCTCTCACCGCCCCTGCACCTCTGGCCTGTACCCCAGCTCTGTATGCATAATAAATAAATCTTTAAGAAAAAAAATAATAAAGCAGCCTAGAATAGTTGATTTGATTGGTAATATGCCTATAACCCATTTTTTAAAAGTCTGCATCTGAAAAGCAGTATGGGAAATCCCTATACTTACAAAACTGATTTGTATGAAAAGTTGCATTTCAAAGTAAATGTCAAATTTTCTAAATATTTCAAGACTTTCCACCCTAAATTATTACAATTAGTAATAATAAAAACAAACGTCAGTATTTATGATGTGAACACTCACTGTGCTGCACATTTATATTTAAAGTATTATGATATTGTATTTCTCAGATCCAGCTGAGTGTTGTAAATACACCCAACTACTTTTCCAAAATAAAAAAAAAAAACAACATGTAGTCCAAAGGTTTTTGAAAACAGGCTATGCATATATTCCAAATTAAAATATTACCTGATATTCAGGATCCAATCTAAATGAAGAGTCTCTTGAGTGATAGGTGTCATTTAAACTACTACCCCTGCTTCCAGACATCATCCGAGCACTTAAAGAGCTGGAGGGTTGAACAGAAATTCTTCTTGGAATCCTTGAAGGTTTAGATTCCATTCTTAAGGATCCTGTAAAATGTAAATTTTGATTAATTGCTGTTGGGAAAGTGTGCAAACCTTAAGATTGTTAATCTTTCTTAATCATCAGCTCAAGTCAAGAATTAGCAACAAATTTTATCTGGCATGGTATACATATGAGACTGTGATCACCCCTATTTTCTAAGGAAGAGGTCTGAAATCCAAACATTACTTACTGGCCATAAAAATAAAGCAAACAGCGTAAAGAGGGATGAAGCTTGTTTCCAAATCCTGGAGTCTTTTCCTTACGCAGTTGTCTCTCTACATAAAATCCTACATGTTTTGCCCAATTCTCTTGCTATCTAATACTTTTAGTGTGCAGTATGCATACCATGAATATTAGCTATATTTTGTTATCTGCAAACCCTGTAACACAGTATGTTTGCACATGACTGTGTGTCTAGAAAATCTACACAAGCCCCATTCAATTTCTAGCCACAGTCTTTATGCTGTTCACAGTATATACTTTTAAGATACTATACATGACTGAGGCTGTAATTTGTCTTCCTGTATATCTCTCCTCAACATAATTTCCAAGTTTTCTTCACTAAACATTCCTCAGCCCATTTAAGATTAACTACTAGCTACATACTATATTTTAAATACAAACACACACATACACAGAAATAAAAGTTTGAAAAAAAGACAAAGAACCCAGGAACATAGTTACAAAGGTATGTAGAAAGCATAGGGAGCAAATGATTCAGACTTGAGCAGGATCACAGATAATGGAAGCAAGGTTATAAAAGGAAAAAAAAGCATCATATGGAAACTGGGCACATGGCAGGTGATACAACTGGAAAAAAATTGCTGAATGTAGAAAACAAACAGCATTTTAAAAATTTAATTCTTAGGAAAAAATGTTTACAAAAGGAGGTATGATTGGTTGAATTTATAAGGAAAATAGTAAACAGTAAAAAAAACTGAAAAATCATGAAACGACTGTATAAACACATCATTTAGAAATATGAAGATAATGTCTACATCAGCTAAAAATATTGAAGGATTGCTGCCGTTAGAAAGTGGAACAGATAATGAAGCAGGGCTATTTCCTGGTTTGCCTAGAAGAGACCCAGTTTACAGCCAGAAAAGTCCTAATTTATGCTTACTATTCTGGGACAATTATTAATAGTTCTCGCATTGTCTCTTAAAAGTGACCTGGTTTGGATAATAAAGCAGTTTTTTAATATTTTATTTTTACTTTTTATATATGCATACAAGAATTGGGTGTAGGCCAGAGGTATAGTGGGTGGGGGGTAGTGAGAGGATTCACCAGCAAGAGTAGGTAGCAGAAAGGACACGTGTACTCAAATACACTGCCAATGGGGTGCAGCTGGGGAGACAGGGAAGGTCTGCTGAGTCATGTGGGTGAGCTCCCTGGCTGGGGATTGAAGTCATGCCACAGTGGCTGGTGATAGCGTGGTAGCACTGAGACTAACCCCTGTGCCATCAAGGAGGCCCTTTAAAGCAGATTTTGAAATAAGCTCATTCACTAAGTTTTTTTTTTTTTAATCAAAAACAAATTGGACATTTAAAGAAGACTGAGAAAGAAAATACTAAGAAAGAATAATGTTTAAACAGAGACATGCAAAAAGCTATAACTGACTTAAAGTAAAGAGATACTGCATGTGTGATCTGAGGATTTTAAACAGAGACAAAAAGCTATTTAAGAGATTCAGGCCTACAAACAGTTGGTTTACTTTGACTAAATCCATACCAAATTCTTACTTGTAGATTTACTTGCAGAACGAAACTAAGCTAATAGGAAATCTGCTCAAAACAAACCTCCTGGGAGAAGGCAAAGAGGCAGAGTCCTCTGAGAGGTATAATTTATATTGTATGAAATTATATTTGGTAACTCCTCTACATAAATTGATTGAATTTTGACAACGTAGGTGTTACAAGAAAACTTACATAATTTGGTTGCATAAGTTGTAGGTCAAAACCATAAAAGTTAATACAATGTACAGTCCTTGAAAAACTTTTACCAGACCACTTACAAAGCTACAAGAAAACATCACTCCTAACTTACCAGAACAAGAATAAGCAAATAATATATAAAGTAACTTTAAGTCTACCAGAGCTATAATCACAAGGCAACCTGACAACTAAAATGCAGAGTCCCTTGAAAAGGAAATATGGGGAAAAGGCAGTCACTATAAAAGCTGAGAGTAGTCAAAATTTATTGAATTCTTAAAATTCCCCTAGGTCAAATATTTGCTAGTAAGTTTAGAAACTGGAAACTCAACTACAAAATCTTTTATGTAGGCTTCCCTGTAGGCTTTCAGGGAGTACTGGTAAGAATGAATGATAAAAGATCTAAAAGTCTTGCTCTCTGCCGCAGGGCCCAACCAATGCTTCCAAAAAATTAAGCTATTCCAAACCTTGCACAAGAGCACAATGGAATACTACTAGTTGAGAGGAAAAACAACAAACCAACTTGCCATTTGTATCAACATGGAAGGAACTGAGGGGACTATGCTAAGTAAAATAAATCAGATTACTTTACATCTGTGTGAAATATAGAGACCTTACTTACACATGTACAGCCATTAAAAAAATTGAAGAAATAAAATCATTATTAACATTTTACTGCATTTTGGGATGGCTTTTGTTTTTATATTTAGTTTTTCAGAATTTCTTAAAGGTACTTCATTGCACTATCATAATTAAGGGAAAGGGTGATTTCCAAATGAAAAGACATAGTAATTTAACACATTACAATAAAATCTTTAAAAGAACACTAAAGAGTAATTCCCTTTCTAAATAGCAGTACTGATGGCTTAGACTCTATTATTTATAAATCAGAAGCAGCATTAAACAAATACTATTCTAAAAACAAGAGTAAAAGTTAAAATCACTTCACAAAATGGAGTTTATATTTCTTGAGCCTTCAAAATTTCAAACATACACACAGCAACAATACAATACATACAGTCCTAGCAATTATCAACATCTGACCTACCTTGTCTATTTTATAACCTAATATTTTAAAACAGCCCATCGTGACATCTGCATGGCTGTTCTTAAAAAATGTTCTCAATAACCTGTGGTAAATTAGAATATGGCTATGAATCCCTTCATCTGAGTACATTTACCCCTTTGCATTGTGCTTTCATTGGTATGCCTAGAAGAGACAAAATCTTGTTTCCTCAACCCCTGAATGTGGGCTACCATGGGACACTTATTTTAAGAATAAGTGAGAATGAAGTGCAAGTAACATTACATGATTTGCAAAGCTGTAAAATCTTCAGCTTCACTTTCACTGTCTCATAATGCTGTCTGAGACCCCCATTATATATTTAAAAGTGGAAACAAAGCCTAAATGTTAGCCAACACCAACTGCCAGACATCTGAGTGACACCATCTTGGATTTTCCAGACTGAAAAATCCTCCAGTTGAATGCTGGTATGTTAGTAAGCCCAGGCAAAACCAGCAGAATTCTTTCTTTTACAAAGAACTGTAAAAAAAAAAAGTAAACAGTAGTTTTAATCCAGTAATTTTTGACACGGTTTGCTATTAGCACTAGAGTAAAGCTTCATGATAAATTTATTCTATTATTACTTTCCTACAGTTACATCACTATGTTTCTAGTTTCTATGAAAACATCTTATTCTATTTCAGGTTTTAACTTACAATCTGCCTTACATAGCTACTGGGATTGCAGTTACTGAATTAACAAAACATTACTGTACAATAAATTCATAGCATTTATTTCACAGCATAGCCAATAGTCTTTCAGAAATACAAATTCACAATTCCATTATTTATTTCTTTTAAACTTGGCATATACTTTTGCTTAACAAAATCTGCCTCCAGGTATATTTTTAATTTAATGGAAAATCTTAGTAAACTTACTAATGCTAATGAACATGGACACAGAGAAATGAAGCCATCACATCAGAAAAGTACTTGAAAACAGAACTTTGTGTGTTTTTAGAAAAATGTCAGGCCCTCCCTGGTGATGATGCAGTGGGTTAAAGCACAGCACGAAGAAGCTAAAGCTACTTCCACATGAGTTCGATCCCCAGACCCGGAGGTGACCCACATGGTGCAGCAGACCTTGTCTGGCCCGCCCGCTGCTCCCCTCAACAGTGTACTTCGTCAGTTAGCCTGTTCTGCTCCCCACTCTGTCTCTGGTGAAGCCTCTTACTGCTCCCGCACCTCTGGCCTATACGCCAGTTCTGTATGAATAAATAAATCTTAAAAAAAAAAAAAGTCTACTAATTTGTAGCTGACATATTTAAGACATAGATATATGCAAGTACCCAAGCCTAAAAAAAAAAAAAAAAAGTAGCTACAAAGTTCAGCATCTCCATTAAACAGTATCACTATAATGTAAGTCTACACTAGATTATAAAATAACCTGTTCTCCTTTAAAATATGTTTAGAGTCAAGTTTCAATCTTCATTCAGTATGTGGGGCTTTTTTTCTTTCCTAAAAAGTGACAAACATGTTATACTGAAATGCAATGATCATAATGGAAAGATGAGAGAGCAGTCTGTAAGGTTCAAAATTTGTCCTCTTTTTAAAGCTAATGACAAAGTGGGTGTAGTGCAGTGGGTGATTTAAAACCAGGTGTTCAACTTATCCAGTCTAACCGGTAGAGCCACAGAAAAATATATTTGAGAGCAAGTAAAACCAGCTTTGATCACATGAGTTCAGACCAGACTGGAAAACTTAAAAAATTAAGATCAATATAATTTAAACATCAGTCAATATTCAAATTATAATTTTATCTCCCTCTCCTCCTCACTTCTGGGATTTACCTTGAGATTACCAACTGCACCAAAGACAGAACTTCTGTAAAATACTGATTAGTGCAAGGTAAATTATTTCACTGCTTTAGCAGAAACTTGAAGCTCTTACTCAAGTTGTAATCACCCTAAAGCAATTGGTTTTTGATTATTTAACAGTTAAAAGGTTCACTAGTTCTTAATGTTGGTCAAAAAATGAAGTTGGATGTAAACCTGTTTCTTTCACTTACGAATTAATTTCTCACTGTTCTTTATTTCTGGCACTTTGTAGTAACAGAAAGGTGTAATAGCAAAAATAACCAAAAAGTCACTTTTATTCAGTTTAAGGACAATTTCTTTCTATTCTCTACTGTATAGAGCACTTTCTGAAAAGAGTCCAGTCTTTCATTTCATGGCAGTCATGGTACTAAAGTTCCATTCAATTTATTTCAGTTGGTAGGAGCCAGTTGTCCATTTCTAAAACAAGATATGACTTCCCAGTTTCCTTATCAAACTCCCCACTTATCTTTCACATGTCAAAGAATACTTCCTGTACAATTTCTCCCCAACATTAAACACTCCTCTGTTCTGTGTTCCCACATTTCTACTATATACTTAACATTAAGGTCACAGTTCTATATACATTATTGTGATGATTAAATTGTGAGTTGCAAAGGTCACTTTGTCAAGCTCTTCTTATGTGAAACCATAATTGGTAGCTAGAATACAACAGATTATAAAAAGTTTTACATTATTTGTTCATTTTGCGTTATTATATCCCTTAAATATAATATAAAATTTGTGAACCACTCCTATAATATAAAATTTGTGAACATATATAAAATGAAGAGCAGTGTGAAGAGGTTGTGATTAAAACTTCACTGTATAAGAATGCTGGATAACTTTTTATATCCAAATTGACTACGTGAGGACATCATGTAGAATATAGGTGCATGTGTACATATGGCGTCTTCCCAGCACATAAACTCTCTTGCAGAAAAAGAAATCACTTGTACTTTAAAAAGTAGAAATAGTTACCCACTATTATTCAATACACATCTAATTCAGGATGCAACTTTCAAAATAAGCCATGACTATACAATAACCACCAGACTTTACACAGGTGGTATAACTTTGAGTGAAAGAAGAGTTTAAAAGTTCCTGCCCACATTTGTAACCTAGAACTTGTATAAATAGAACTATTTTCGCATATAGAAGCAGTCAGTATTCTGGGAGGGAAACGCGGAGTAAAATTTTAAGGTTATGATGACCAAAAATGTGTTACAATGAACATTCTAACTTTAGGTATCAATTCCAAATGTTTTTATCCATTAAAATTTTAGTCTGCATGTATTATACCCCCTTCCCCCCACCCCCAGCATGTTGACTGGTACACACTAGCTCATGTAATTTAATACTCACATCAACTCTAGGAATTAACTGCTATGTTTCAAAATATATTTGAAGAGGTTAAATAGCTACGGCAAAAATCAAAACTCAAACACAGATCTTCTGACTCTAATGCATCAAACAACACTTTCTGTTCCCAAAATGTTGTAGACCTGCAAGTGAAATTTTAGCCCCATTACTCAAACGAAATTTTTATATATATCTCAAGGGAAAAAAATTTAGTTACCCAATGTGCCTTGTTAACAGTTTACGCTTGATACTTAAATCAAAACAATCTTTAACCTTACTTCTTACTTGCGGATAGAAACGGAAAGGCCGGATTAAACAAACAGGATTTTTTAAAACAATGAAAAAAGCCTAAAAGTGCTGCTGAATCAGAGGGAAAAACTTAATCAGTTTCACTTGGTACATTTACTTGTTAAGTGCCTCAGGACCGAGGTCGGAGACATTTACTACCAACACGTTGATTTTGCAGATTATTAATATTTAATCTGTGTACTGGGAAAAAAAAGTATTACTGTAATTTGGGGGGGGGGTTGTTTGTACACGTTCACCTTCACTATGTACGCAGTTTCTTCAAAATGAGAGCGTATTCTCCTACCGGTGACTTCCATATTTTTACTTCTTACGCCAACAGGTCCTTTTTAATACGCATTACCTATTTTGAGTAACGAACAACTGACCCCAATACAAAAAGAACTCATAAATTATCACGATATTCAACAACTGGGGCGATCAATGAGCAAATCTTCACTGCCTCTCAGGAGCTGGCAAAGTCCCTCCAATTCGAAGCTGGATCGGCAAGTCCTAACCCTCCCCGCCTTCAACACCATGTTCACTAAAATACCTCACTCGTGACACTCCCAGGTCGCAGGGATTCCCCGGAGGACCCTCCTCGCCCCGACGGAAGAGGCGGCAGCCGCAGCCGAAGCGTTCAAGCCCCTTGCCCTCGCCCGCCACCCGTCACAAACTCCACCACCCGATGAAAGGTCAGCGGCAGAGGAGGTCTACGCACAGCCCGCTCCCACCCCCCGCCTCACCTCCACCCCGTACCCCTCGTCCGGGATCCAGCTCCTCCGACCCATCGTGCGAGGGATCTGCCTCCGCGACCTTAGGCCCGCACTTCGTTTCTTCCCCTCCCCCACCCTGGCATAGCCTCCAATCACTTCCCGAAGCAGCCCGAGCTCCGCAGCTTATTACCCCCGTTGCCGAGTTCGCACTGAACTGAGCGCGTCCGGCTCGTAACGACCACACCGCCGCCTTCCTCCTTGGCGTTGTAGGCCTCTAACTGAGGCAGAGCAGTCGACAACCAAGCACAATGGCGCCCGCCCCTCTCCGGGATCCGGCGCAGAACCAGCCGCCACCGTTAAATGCCCCTCCCTCCTCCACCTCCCCCAACTTCGCGGACTCCGCCGGCCTCTCGCGAGAGTGGCGGCGCTGCGGGGATCCGAGAGCTGCGGGCTGGCTCGACGTACCCCACCGCGGGGTGGTGCTCTGACTGCGGCAACCGTTGAAGGGCTGCCCCGGGGGAGGCAACGAGGCGCCACCGGTAAGCGGCTGCGGCTGATCCGCCGGCGGGCTGGCGGCTGGGCCCGCGAGTGTGCGGTCGCCGGGCTCCGGGCGCCAGAGGCCCGGCCCAGGCTGGCTACCCTCGGCTAGGTGGCGAAGGGCTGGAGGATCTAACCCTGCAGCTCCCTGGCGCCCTGGTGCCCGTCTAAGGCCCTTGATTCCACCGGCCATACCTGCAGGGCCCACTACCCGAAATACCGCTCTTTTTATTTTTTTTTCCCTTTTTCCTTTTTTTTTTTTTTTTCTTTTGCTTCTGGTAAGCGGCGCACTGAATGTTCATTGACTGGAACCAAGCACTGCATTTCTTCCACCCCCTGCCCGCCCTGTTTGATCTAGCTGCCAGCCCTCCCCTGGCAGGGGTTGAAGCCCATTTGCCTGGGACCATGGTCCCTTGCCATTCAGTCTTGAAAGCGGTGCACATTTTGCAGTCCTGTTCTTTCAAAGTCGTCATGCTAATCTTAGCGTAGTTACAGATTTTGTAGTAAAAAACCATCCATTGAGAAACAGGAAAATTGTGAGGTAAATGATACGCGGTGACTACTGGACGAAACTTTCCGAAAACTGTAGATGTGGTTAATGAAGACATAGTTGAGGACTGTACTAAAGAAAGGGAGTGGCTCCAATTGTGGATTTTAGCCAGTGTACGGATTTAGGAGGTATGTGGATTTTGAGTGATGTAGCTAAGGTTCTTTAACGGTAACATGAAGTTACTGAAACTTCGAGTCTTACCTAGGGCACTTCATTTGAAAAGTGACCTACTCAGTTGTTTTAAGCAATTCACGGGGTCCAAATCATTTCAATTAATGAAGTTTAAGGTTTGTATGTGTTTTTTTGTATTTCATCTGAAGAGAATGGACCATCACTCTCATACCCATGCCACTCTGCCTTACTGTATTAAGTTGGAAAACATTATTTTGAAGATTTAAGATTTGATAATGAATGCCAATCTAGCATTTTTTTTAGGATGTGGGTTCAAGAGTAAGCATCTGGTATGGGATAAAGTGAATTTATTACTTTAGAAACGAATTTTTAAGAAAATTTTCTTCTAGCTCATTTGAGTATTTCTGTAGCTCTATGGGTATGGGTATACATACCCTGAGGTACCAGACCTGCTGCCTCTCGCTACTTTGTTGTCTTCAGCAATTTCTTAGCCTCCATAAGCCTTGATTTCCTGCAAAATGGGATTAATAACAGTGGCTTTTACCCCCATGAGTTTTTTGAAATGATTAAATGAGATAAGGCAGTTCCCAGAATATAGTAAGCATTTCATAACTGTTAGAGCTTACATTCCATATTTCCTCCAAGCCACCACGAATCTTGTTTTTCTGTGGCTTAATATTACATAGGCCCCTTAAACGTTTACTCAAGTATATTCTTCACTAAGAGGAATGACTGTACCATTTTCCTGAACAAGGCAGGCAGGCCCGGTAGAGCTATCTTGTCTGCAGAACCCCCATACCTGACAAGGATGGTTCAGACACTGGCGGATTATGGCTTCTTCCCCACCCACCACTGATGATATCATCAGAGGTGAGTGTGGCACCAGTTTTCTGTGCTTAAACAGATTTTCTGGACTCTAGTTTCGTAGTTATTTATTTATGCTGGTAAATAGGTAAAGACCATTGATCAGTAGGTTTTTTAATTATTTAATAGTTAGCTGGATGGTTTTTAATGTACTTTTTTATTTGAGTCTCCAGCTAATTATCATTTTCAAAATGATATTTTGAAATATATTCCTATCTTAAAGACAATTTCATGGGTGTTGCGGGTGCAGATATTAACAGTTGTAACTATATTTTTTAAATTAAAAATCAGGACAAGATACCTGACAAGAAAATTATTTGATTTTAGAACTCTCTTAAACAATCTGGACACCTGGTTTCATTTTTGCAGAGATCCCCCACATGAACTTTCTTTGGGGAACATTTTATCCTTATGACCAACTCTGACACTTTTCAGTATTCAAATATCTTTGTTCACCATTTGCCCACACCACTAACATTTTAGTTCCATATTTAATCTTTCTTCTCTGAATCAGGATTTTGCTTACTGTTATTTATGTTTCCCCCCTTTTTACTTTTGACTTTTGTCTTTTGGCATGGTCATAAGAGAGCCTTCTTATTATGTCTGAGTGTCTTTTTAATTGTTTGATAGCTTAGAAATCTTTTTTGGATATTGCATTTCAAAATTCCTGTTTTCCCCAGTTTTTAATGATCCCATACCCTAACTTTCTCAGAATGTTCTCTATGAGCTGGCAATCTTATCAGTGTTCTTCACTTTGCATAAAAGGTGTGATTTTGAACACTTGCTTTTTACAAATCAAATAATTTTTAAATGTGGGTTGTTTTTTCAACATTTGAGGAATAGGAGCTAATGCCTGGGATAAGGTAGGAATGCTTATAGGGAAGTCCCTAAGTTGAAAGCAGAATATGCCAGTTTCTTCTCAAATGGAAATCTTATTAATCCTTAGAGAAAGCAACCTTGTGGTATCAACCAACTTGAGGATCTACTGTTTAAAGTTGTACGTAATTTTAAATGTATGACATTTATTATTATTTAATAATGGCCTACAAATTGACAGCTATTAAAGATTTCACTAGTTATAGGTCCTTTTTTAAATATTTATGTATATTTTATATCATTATTCATTTTTGTACAATGTTTGATTTCTCCTCTTAGGTGTAGTCTCCATAAAATTCCCGGCAGTGAGCCACCACCATAACCTCCTGTGTTCTCCCCACCTCTGTTTTAAACCCTCTCACTTCCCATCTACTACGGGAATATCTTCAATTTATAGTCACTGCTAATTTTGTCTTTTTTTCTTTGACCTCTTATTTGGTTCTCTTATATTCCTCCTATAAGTGAAACCATACAATATTTTTCTTTTTCTCTCTGACTTATTTCGCTAAGCATAATTCCTTACAGTTCCATCCATGTTGCTGTAAATGGCATGAGTTTTTTCTTTTTTTGATTGCTGAATAGTATTCCGTTGCATATGTGAGTATATATACACACCACATCTTGAACCAGTCATCTATTTTTGGCTATTTAAGTTGTTTCCATACGTTACCTATAATAAATAGTGCTGCAATAATAAACATTGGATTGCAGGTTCCTTTTGAATTAATGTTTTTGTGTCTTTTGTGGGTCCTTTGCTTTAAATCTTTGGCATAGTTTCATGCTTGATTTGGTGATCTTGTGAATTTTAATTTTCCCTTTACCAAATTTAATTGAAAGGTGCCACAGCCAAAGCAATATGTTGATTGAATTCTGCTGGATTCGCAGAAGTAACTTCCAGTAGTTGAAAAGATGTAAAAACGAGAAATACTATCTTGGAGCCATCTCAGAGAAACCCTTTCTTACACTTTAGTTTATGGCCTAGATCTCACTAGTTCTAGGAAAGTCATTCCTGTTCATTTGACTGCTACAGAATAGCTAGTCCAGCCAGGAATCCTAATTTTTAGGGCGCTTGGAATCAGTAAGTGAATCACCCTTTACACAGTCTGAAACATAATAGCAACTACCTTAACACTGATATTAGGTGTTGGGAAACTGTGGTACACAAGTCAAATCTGGCCCACTATGAGATTATTGGAACATAATAGCTTCATTGGTTTATATACTGCCTATATATTATTCAGAGAAGCAATGTCTGTACAATAAGGTATCTATCTATCTTATACATACTTCACCAATCTATCTAACCCACCTAGAGCACTGACTTACATAGTGGGGGTGCTGTCAAGTTTGAAATCTGTAGGGTAGGCTGAAAGGCTGAAACCTCCATGTAGTAAGTAGTTGATACTGCAGTGTTAAGGCAGAATTTATTCTTCAAAAAATTTGATTTTTGTAGAAATTTCTCTAACCTCATCAAGTTTACACATAAAATTAGCTATCACAGTCTATGACTACTTTCACTATACGATAACAAAGTTGAGTATTTTTTTTTTAAGATTTATTTATTTAATCATATAGAGCTGGGGTACAGGCCAGAGATGCGGAGGGTGAGAGGATTCACCAGAGACAGAGTGGGGAGCAGAACAGGCAGATCTACAAAGTACACTGCTGAGGGGA